GGGCGCGAAGCGGCGCGGGTGCAACCCGGGCGAGGAGGTGATACAAGTGAGTAAGATGCGACGATGGCGGCGAGGCGACAGCGGAGCTCCGCATTCGTGACGAGTAGACTGTCGCGGCCGCGTTTGAGCGGATGCCTCCCTTTGCGACATGGCGAGGGCGATGCGACAAGCAGTCGATGACGCCGCGAGGCCGCCTCGTTTGTGGCTCCTAGCCTGTGAATGGGGTTGCTGGTTCCCGTGGGATGGCGTATATTATGCTGAGGCCGGCGTGAGGGCTATGACGTACAAACGCGCCTCTAAACTGTTAGAATCCTACTACTGATGCTAGTAGTAGCCCGTCGTAGTTGAAGTCGCGTTCCTATCACCAGTTGTGAGAAGGGTCGGCTTTACGTTGCTAATACCGCTCGGTTGTTGGCAGTTATGCTCACCGGGGCATACGTTTTCTATTCCGATTGGTTATTTGTATTGGGCGCAGGATTTTCCGCATTTCCGTGGATTAGTTCCCCCAAGCAAACCTACTCACGAAATTGTTTGGCATCGCCGGCGGTGTTTAATTTTCTCGCACAGGTGTTTGGGGAAGAAGCTCACTTCACTCTAGAGTCATCGTGCGCCAAAGGGTGTGTACTTATATTGCCCCCCAGGAAGGTAACAATCACGGAACAGAGTGACGGATTTTGCATTATATTATGTATGCATCCACCGTCGTAACTGATCTTTGGGAAGGGGAGGCGACATGTAACCTACCGTGGCCCTTCCACGCACTGCTTTGTACGGGTTTTTAAATGGTCATCGGGCGGGCCCAAATAGATCTGAAACTGTCGCTCCACGTTCACTGCCTCTCGTTGATGTCAGGGCCGATGCCTTGCCAAGCGACAAGTGGCTCCAGGTGGATTGGCTCTAAAAGCTGCGTTGGCTGAAAGATTTTTTCACTGTATACGCACGCATGCCTTTAGAACAAGCTTCTGTTGAAAATTTTCTATATCTCGTGTGTTTTCAACCGCCCTTGATACAAAGTGATTGAAATGAGCGTCGACTCTGGGAAGCCGGAAGATGTGCGATCACCCATGAACAGTAGCTCTTCCAGGGTGCCCACTCATCGTCCGGGGTTCAACAACCGAAGCGATTATGCAAGCGCGCCGATTGCTCCTTGAGCGACTCGGCATTCCATCAGACGGTGGCTGAGGGACTCCTCTGCCTTGAAGGGCGGACAGCATGCACATGTATGTTAGCGAGTCCTGTTTGGCAACCAGTTAAACTGTTTGCCCATATCTCCTCCCGATGTAGTTGCTAGCATGGCTTTCTCAGTAACAACCGTATTTGCCCGTGTGTGCCAATGCCTGCCTATGTATGCCATTGCCTGATCATATATAACAATGTTTGCCCATGTCTGCCAATGTCTGGTCACGTCTGTCCATGTCTTACGATGGCAAGGAGCTTCTGCAAATCATATCCATTGCTGGTACGCTGACTGATGTGGCGTGTCTTTGCTGATGTGTCATTGCTGGTATGCTCAACTGGCTAGTACCAGACTCCTATCCTTCGCATCATATCCTCTTTCCTCCTCCTCCCTTACCTCACCCACACCAGATACGTCCAAGGAGGCCCACCATGGGCGGTACACGGCGTTCAGCCTAGTGGAAATTCAGAAGGGGAAATTTGGCGGCATTCTTCATGGCTTCAGGTGCTTTCCGTCAAATCTCAGGTAGGCTCAGGTGATTTCAGATAGTGTTAGGCATTCTCCGTGACATTTCCTCATGTTCCCCACCGAAGAGCCACCGAGTTCTTGCGATAGCGTGGGGTGTGGAGGAAGTGGACGCGGCACAGCGTAGCTGCTGCTTTCATTCTTGTAATCATCCTTCTTTCTTTTTGTCTTTGTGGCCTCTCCTCGTGTTCCCACCGCACAGCCACCGATTGTTGGCAAGAGCGTGGAGCGTGGAGGAAGCAGACGTGGCACAGCTGCTACTTTTTGTATTTTCTAGCGCTGTAACTCAGCACTGGTAGTGAAAGATGAGGTGGTGGTGCTGGCTGCTTTCAATCATGCTGTTGTGAGTGCCCAAGCCTGATGCCCTCCCTTTCCCCCCTTCTTTCCATCCACCCTCCCTCCCTCCGTCCCTGTCTTCCGTCTATCAGGAGGCATCGGGGGAGGGGTTAGAGTACGTTGCTCTCTCCCCCAAGTCCGAGCCCAAGCCTGGCTTCTTAGCCGGTGCAAACTCGGTCTACAGTGCGCTGCCTATCGCTGTACTGAAGGCAGCTTTTAACGTGGGTGAAACCCTGGTGGAGAAGCTGCAGGGCTCTAGGGAGGGGGAGTATGTGGTCCTGTCCCCTGCAAAGGAAAGGAGGGAGGGTGGGTTTTGAGTTGCTCAGGAACGCAGGGCCGTTGGAAGGGGGAGTATGAAGGCTGCTTTAAAACCCGAGGTCCATAGGTTTGAAGGGTAGGAAGGTTGGTTGGACCTGGTGCCCCAACCAAAGGTAGGAAGCTTGGTTGGACCTGGTGACCCAACCAAAGGTAGGAAGGTTGAGGCAACTTTGGGGAACTTGTGACTCCGGTTTTAACGAGATGAAACTTTGGTGGAGAAGCTCCGGGATTCTAGAGAGGGGGAGTATGTGATCCTGTCCCCTGGAAAGGGAAGAAAGGAGAGCGGGCTTTGAGTTGCTCAGGAGTGCAGGGCTATTGGATGGGGCACATGAGGGCTGCTTCTAACGTGAATGAAGATGTGGTGGGGAAGCTGCAGGGCACTCGGGAGGGGGAGTATGCGATCCTGGGTTGAGTTGGATGGGTTTTTTCGTCTGGGTTTTGAGTTGGCTCAGAAGTCCGAGGCTCTTCTGAGGTGGGGGGTGCAATTTTTTTCGCTGCTACGAAATGAATGGGGTTGAGGGTGGTGGTGATGACGATGTGGCAGTTGCGGCTTTGAGATGAGGAAGTGATTACCCTATTTTCAAGTGATAAACCTTTGCTTGTCCCTCGAAGTATGTATACCATATCTTTAAGCGCAAATCCCAACTACAAGTTCCGGAGTTGGTTGGTCCGGACATGTTTCCGGACGTAAAAAATACATAAGGTGTCCCCGTTATTTAGGCAATGTCCGGGCTTTCGTTAGAAAAAGAGGGCGGGGCGTACCGCGTCCTTTTCAAGTAGAACTCAGATCGTATTCCAACGCAGGGCCACCATTAGAAGTGGGGACACTTTGAGCGTTTTCTCGTGCTGCATGCCTACTTCCCCTAGTTCAACGTGACCTAGACACGATGCTTTGAAATTTTCAATTCTGGAATATTCACAAAAAAAACTGAACAATTTCAGTACACCGCACGTTACACGTGTCAGTGAGTTGAGAAGGCGCGGAAAACAGAGTTCGCCCAATATATCGAGAAAGTTTACTTCCGACGCAAGATTGGGTTTGAGAATCAAACCAGCCTTTCGAACTACGGGGTAACATAATAAATAGACCTTCATTCGAAATCAAATGAAAAAGTCAACCAGGTGTCCCAACTTCGGATGGTGTCCCTGCGTTGGAATACGCCCTCAGGTCCCAGCTTTACATCAGAATCACGAAGATGTCGCTGGTCCCTGGCAAAACCGAAGCACGATGGACGGTCAGCAAATCACAACGATTTGTAACCAGTTTAGACGAATTCTTTGACGAAAATGTTTCTCCCTTATCCGCAGAACCTTGGTTCCATCTGGTTCCTTCCTTCCCATTCCACATTCCCCCCAACCAGAGTCCAGCCATGGCTGCTTGGCTAGGATATGGCTAGTGTCTTCTATCCATGATGCACGGCGTAGAACACAATAGCCGTTTAGTCTATCGGAAAAGAAGCTGTCATGATAGCCGTGGCGAGGTTTCGTTGCGACGGCGTGGGAGGTGGTGATGATGTTTTCTCTTGGCTCGGCTGTTTCCGTCCAGATACGACGCCTTGTACACGGAATCACGGAAAGCAATTATAAGGCCGTTGTTTCTGAGCTTAGTCAGGTAGGCTTATCGACTGTTAACGTTATGCTTTTGGATTTCAGTAGCTTCACCGATTTTTTTTTGGTTAGGGTAAGACTATGGAGAAGTCTTAACTTCGCTCCAATCTGCTGTGTGTTTCTGCGGGTTTTCCAGATTGCAGATCTAGCCGGACCCGAGGCGAGTCAGCTTATTCTTCGTTCCTGTCTGGACGTTCTCTTTAGCGACGGCCAAGGCGGTGACCAGAGCGTGGAATTGAAGCATCACCTGTTAGCATCCACATTAGAGTGCCTTTCTCGTAGATCCGATTTTCCGACTACCGTAGCCCGAGCTCTAGGACATTTCTCGGAACCTTACAAGGGTTTCCTGAAGATTTCGTTAGCGATTATCAGTCTTCCTGTTGCTGTTCAGCTTCGCCTAGGCGTTGGTCTCGCCGACGCTGGTTCTCCGTTTTGGAAGGAAGAAGGTAAGAATAATTCCACCCGCTAGCAGGTTTGCGGTTAGTTTCGCGTAGTGCAACATTTTTTTTCTGGTACTTATTTCTAACCACAAAATTCCCTGCTTATTTTTCGTATCGTGCAGCTCTTGACCTGATCGACTGCGTGATTGGCGGGTTGCCTGAAGCCGAAGTTTCCGCACTTCCAGGCGATTTGTTCTGGAGCGTGTTTCTGACGTGTTCGTCTTATCCGAAGCTCAAGGAGCACTCCCTCATCTTAGAGGAATCGCTCTGCTGGCGTCTTACCAGGGATCCGTTCCCAATATACCTCCTTCCGTTCCTAGAAAAGAGCTGTCCGCTCGGGAAAGATTTCGTGTACGTTTTCGTACTCTCTTTCATCCTTCTGGAAAGAAATTGCATTTCAGGCAATCACTCTCTTTTCTGGTTTTACTCCATTTACAAGGTCACTTAACAACGTCGTTTCTGCGACGTTTCTTTTGCGCAGTGACCTGCCTCGGGATTGGTCCGCCTTCGTCAATTCCATCATGGCCTCATCTTCCGCTTCATCTTCCGCTTCCGCTTCCGCCTCCGGTTCCAAGGCGAAGGACATGGCGTCGGCAATGGAGGAGCTAGGGTTTGGCTGCACGGACACGGTGGAGCACTGCAAGGCCGTGCTCAAGGAGCACAGCGCCGGCAGCAGCATCAGCGAGGCGGACGTGGCGCGGGTCATGGGGGTGGTGGCGAAGGGGTCCGTGGAGACTCGGGGTGGCGGCGGCACTGGGCCGCTTACCTTCTGGAACGTGGACGTGCTGGTCGAGGCTATTGTTCAGCTGGTGAGTGTACTTGTTTTTCTTTGCGTGCACGTACACGGTGGAGCACTGCAAGGCGGTGCTCAAGGAGCACAGCGCCGGCACCAGCATCAGCAGTGGCAGCAGCATCAGCGAGGCGGACGTGGCGCGGGTCATGGGGGTGGTGGCGAAGGGGTCGGTGGAGACGCGCGGTGGCGGTGGCACTGGGCCGCTTACCTTCTGGAACGTGGACGTGCTGGTTGAGGCTATTGTTCAGCTGGTGAGTGTACTTCCGTAAACCTTTTCGTTTGCGTGCACGGACACAGTGGAGCACTGCAAGGCCGTGCTCAAGGAGCACAGCGCCGGCAGCATCAGCGAGGCGGACGTGGCGCGGGTCATGGGGGTGGTGGCCAAGGGGTCGGTGGAGACTCGTGGCGGTGGTGGCGGTGTCGCTGGTCCGCTCACGTTTTGGAATGTGGACGTGCTGGTCGAGGCTATCGTTCAGCTGGTGGGTGTTCTTCCGTTCCGTGTACCATTCAAAGTTCAAATTCCCTTCCCGTGTATACCCTGCATGCACGATGGCCTCGATAGCTCACTTTCTGGAATGTGGGTGTGCTGGTTGAGGCTATTGTTCAGCTTGTGGGTATCAGGGATCACACGAGGCTCGTCCTTGGCTTGTCACGGCGGGTGCTCTAACACCCGTTTCGCTCGAACACCCCTGAGGCAGGGGCAAAGCTGAGCTGGTCGTCAGTGATCAACCATCTGGACTATCCGGGCTTCCTCATCAAGGATCACAAGGGCTTCAGCGCGCTCTAACCCTCACGTCACTCTACCACCCTTGTCTTGTGTATCCCTGTTGCAGGCGCCGAGGCTGAGCTGGTCGTCGGTGATCAACCATCTGGACTATCCGGGCTTCCTCGTCAAGGATCACAAAGGCTTCAGCGCGCTCTAACCCTCACGTCACTCTACCACCCTTTTCTTGTGCGTCCCTGATGCAGGCCCCAAGGCTAAGCTGGTTGTCGGTGATCAACCATCTGGACTATCCGGGCTTCCTCGTCAAGGATCACCAAGGCTTCAGCGCACTCGTGCTCATGCACTCCAAAGCTACCAAGGTAGGTTGCTATTGTACACTACCAAGTTACCAAGGTACAAGTAGTGGTCACAACACAAAGGCAAACCATTGTGCAACAAACGGCTAATGAAGGTCGTGAATTCCGCTTCCACAACTCTTCCTCCTCCGCCGCGGTTTGAACTGCTTAAAAGAATGACTTCCGTCTTTCCGTCTGTGGCGTTGACACTGCCTCACCTCACCTTTGCGAACACGTCCCCCCACCGTTCTCTCTCCCCCGCTTATCCCTCCTTGGCGTCACTCCATCCCCACAGGAGCTCTTCCCCCTGCCCTCTGTATGCGGGAAGCTGTGGGCGAACGCGGAGGGGCAGCTCTCCTTCCTGCGCTGCCCTTTCAGGCGCTGAAAGTTGAAACTGGCTCACGTCTCTAACCGCGCCCTCCACTGCACTCTTTCACTCTTATCCCGCTGTGCCGCAGGAGCTCTTCCCTCTGCCCTCTGTATGCGGGAAGCTGTGGGCGAACGCGGAGGGGCAGCTCTCCTTCCTGCGCCACGCGGTCTCCGCGCCCCCGGAGGTCTTCACCTTCGCGCACTCCCCCCGCCAAACCCCCCCCATGGACAACCTCCACGGGCACAAGCTCCCCACGGGGACCCCCAACTGCGCCTGGGTCTCCCTAGACCTCCTAGAAGCCCTCTGTAGGATCGGCGAGACTGGGAGAAAGGCGGAGGTGCTGGAAGTGCTGGGGTACCCGATAAAGCACTGCCCGGAGGTGCTTATAGTGGGGATGGCGCAGGTGAAGACGCCTGGAGGGGGGGTGATCCAGAGGGAGGTGCTGGGGGCGCTGGTGCCGCTGTATTTGGCGAATCATCCGAACTCGAGCATTGTGCTGCATGCGCTGTGGGGGGTGCCCGGGGGAAAGGACGTGGTGATGCAGGCGATGGTGGGAGTGCACGCCAGTGATCCCACCAGCATTGCTCGCCTGCTCGACGTGTGCCAAGACCTCAAGGTGAGGGCGAGAGAGTGGTGCAGGTGCTATACAGAGTATGGTCCAGGCTTCATAATGGGTACATATGCACCATAGCATTGTGCTGCATGCGCTGTGGGGGGTGCCCGGGGGAAAGGACGTGGTGATGCAGGCGATGGTGGGAGTGCACGCCAGTGATCCCACCAGCATTGCTCGCCTGCTCGACGTGTGCCAAGACCTCAAGGTGAGGGCGAGAGAGTGGTGCAGGTGCTATACAGAGTATGGTCCAGGCTTCATAATGGGTACATATGCACCATAGCATTGTGCTGCATGCGCTGTGGGGGGTGCCCGGGGGAAAGGACGTGGTGATGCAGGCGATGGTGGGAGTGCACGCCAGTGATCCCACCAGCATTGCTCGCCTGCTCGACGTGTGCCAGGATCTCAAGGTGAGGACAAGAGGGAGGTGCCGGTGTTGGTGTTATAAGTAGTATGTATGTACGGAGTATTGTGCTGCATGCGCTGTGGGGGGTGCCCGGGGCAAAGGATGTGGTGATGCAGGCGATGGTGGGAGTGCACGCCAGTGATCCCACCAGCATTGCTCGCCTGCTCGACGTGTGCCAGGATCTCAAGGTGAGGGCGAGAGTGGGAATGGAGATGCCGTTGTTGTACAGAATATGATCCAGGTTCTATAAGGGGTATGTATGGAGCATTGTGCCGCATGCATTGCGCTGTGGGGGGTGCCCGGGGGAAAGGATGTGGTGATGCAGGCGATGGTGGGCGTGCACGCCAGTGATCCTACCAGCATTGCTCGCCTGCTGGACGTGTGCCAGGACCTCAAGGTGAGGGCGAGAGAGTGGTGCAGGTGTTATACAGAGTATGAAGCAGGTGTTATAAAGGGTATGTTATATGGAGCATTGTGCTGCATGCGCTGTGGGGGGTGCCCGGGGGAAAGGACGTGGTGATGCAGGCGATGGTGGGCGTGCATGCCAGCGACCCCACCAGCATTGCTCGCCTTCTCGACGTGTGCCAGGACCTCAAGGTGAGGGCGAGAGTGGAGCCGGTGTTATACAGAGTATGAACCATGTTCTATAAGGGGTATGTATGGAGCATTGTGCCGCATGCATTGCGCTGTGGGGGGTGCCGGGGAGAAAGGTCGTGGTGATGCAGGCGATGGTGGGAGCGTGTGCAGTGCATGTCATGCCAGCATGCCCACCCACCACCTCGCTCTTCTCTCGTTTTGCTCCTCCTCTAAATAGTTCTTCCGTTTCACCGTGTGGTGGTTGATTTGCAGGTCCTCTCGGTGGTGCTGGAGAGCACATTGGACCTCGCCTCGCTGGCCTCTCGTTTTGACGCGTCTTCCATGCCAATCCTTACATTCCACCTTTGGGGATCGATTCGCAGGTCCTCTCGGTGGTGCTGGAGAGCACGCCTTTCTCCTTCTCCCTGGACCTCTCCCCGCTCGCCTCATTCGCCTCTCGTTCTGAGGTCCACTTTATCATGACCAGTGCTTCCCTTCTATAATCTGCTCGTTGATGTGCAGGTCCTCTCGGTGGTGCTGGAGAGCACGCCATTTTCCTTCTCCCTGGACCTCGCTTCACTCGCCTCTCGCCGCGAGTACCTCAACCTCGAGAAGTGGCTGCAGGAGGCGCTCACTCTGCACCGCGACTCGCTCTTCAAGGTACGATATGGAGATGGGTTTGTTATCGTGGGTGGGAACATGGGCTTTTAATTTACAAACATTGAAAAGAGACCAGATCAAGAGGATCAGGCAAGACGAAGAGACCTGACCTTGCCGCCTTCAGATATCTGCGAGTGCCTCGCTGCGATCAGATTTTTTTATATCTTCCTCGTTCACTTTCTCTATCTCGCTGCCTCTCTCACTCTCTTGATCCCTCTTTCCTTCTTACGCCTCTCTGACTGCCTCTTCCCCCATGCAGGCGTGTCTGCAGTTCCTGAGGGCCAAGCTGGTGCAGGACAGTCAGGAGGGAAGCGGGATGCACAATGAATCAGCCTGATCTCCCCCTCACACTCTTGCTCTTTCTCACCCCCTTTCACTCTCTCTCCCCCTCTCGTGCTGCCTCTCCCCATGCAGGCGTGTCTGCAGTTCCTGAGGGCCAAGCTGCTGCAGGACAGCCAGGAGGCCAACGCACAGCGAATGCCCCTAATTCCCTCTCACTCTCTTGCTCTCTCCCCTCGTGTGGCCTCTTCCTTCCCCCCATGCAGGCGTGTCTGCAGTTCCTGAGGGCCAAGCTGCTGCAGGACAGTCAGGAGGGAAGCAGGACGCACAGCGAATCAGCCTGATCCCCCCCTCACTCTCTTGCTCTTTCTCACTCTCTTTCACTCTCTCTCCCCCTCTCGTGCTGCCTCTCTCCCCCATGCAGGCGTGTCTGCAGTTCCTGAGGGCCAAGCTGCTGCAGGACAGCCAGGAGGCCAACACACAGCGAATCAACCTGGTTCATTAACTCTTTCGCTCTCTCTCACTCTCTTTCTGCCCCCCCGGTTGCCGCTTCCCCCATGCAGGCGTGTCTGCAGTTCCTGAGGGCCAAGCTGGTGCAGGACAGCCAGGATGCCAGCGCTCAGAGAATCAACCTGTCACTGGAAACGCTCGCGATCTTCTTCAAGGCAAGCCATCTCTGCTTCTCCCTCACGCTCATTTCCCCCTTTTTTTTGTTTTGTTTGTTTTCTTTCTTTTAAGCAAGCCCACTTGCGTTCTGCTTCGTCGTCATCGCTCTTCCCCCTCTTCCCCGCCACCCTTCCTTCTCTTCCTTCCTCGTCCCGCGCCCCCCTGGCCACTCTATCCACTCCGCAGGTCCTCCAAGGCAACGCGCCGCAGCTGCAGGCACCCGAGCTGGGCGACGACCTTAAAGCCCTGTACGCGTCCGCGCTGCAGCTGCACCCTGCCCTACAAACCGTTGCAGTGCCCGAGCAGGCCCCGGCCGACGTGTTTGCGAGCGACATAGAGGAGGAGGCGAATGCGTACTTCCAGAAGATATATGTCGGGCAGCTGAGCATTGAGGAGGTGGTGGATATGCTTAAGCGCTTTAATGGTTCCTCCGTGCAAAGGTGGGCATGAGAAGAGGAGGCTTGCTGGTTTAAGGTTAGGGTTTAGGGTGGTGTGGTGTGGTGTGGATGTGTTTGCGAGCGACATAGATGAGGAGGCGAACGTGTACTTCCAGAAGATTTATGTCGGGCAGCTGAGCATTGAGGAGGTGGTGGATATGCTCAAGAGGTTCAATGGCTCCTCCGTGCAAAGGTGGGTGGCGGAGGAGCAGGCTTGCTGGTCCAGGGTTCGGGTTTAGGGTTCTTTTGCCTTCTTTATTCCCTTCCTCAGAGCAAGACGCGTTCGTTCGCGTGCATGATTCAGAGTCTCTTTGACGAACCGCTTCTTCTGAGCGACATTAGTCAGCATATTTGCACCGTGTCATTGACCCTCTGTCCCTACTGCAGGGAGCAAGATGTGTTCGCGTGCATGATTCAGAGCCTCTTTGACGAGTACCGCTTCTTCCCGCGCTACCCCGACAAGGAGCTCCGCATCACGGCTGTCCTCTTTGGTGAGTGGCGTTTTCGTTAGTAAGAGCACAGCACGTTAGGGGCTGCTTATGCCAGGTTCGCTGGTGAGCACCAGCTGGGCTTGTCTCGTCCAGTACCCCGGGCATCGCTGTGAACTGCTTGCCAGAGCCCCACCACTCCCACCTTCTCAACACACACGCTTTTCTTTGGTCTCTTCTCCGTCCCAATGCTTTGACTCGCAGGTTCCCTGGTGAAGCACCAGCTGGTCTCATCCGTCACCCTAGGCATCGCGCTGCGCTGCGTTTTAGATGCTTTCAAGAAGCCGCCCGACTCCAAGATGTTCTCCTTTGGCGTCACCAACCCCCACTCTCCCCGTTCCCCTTCCTCATCACTTCCTCCCTATGCCAGGTTCCCTGGTGAAGCACCAGCTGGTCTCGTCCATCACGCTGGGCATCGCCCTGCGCTGTGTGCTAGACGCTCTCAAGAAGCCCTCCGACTCCAAGATGTTCTCCTTTGGCGTCACGGCGCTCGACCAGTTCCACCCGCGCCTGCCCGAGTGGCCGCCCTACTGCACGCACATCCTGCACATCCCGCACCTGCAGGACGTGCACCCGCGCCTGTACGCGTTAGTGCAGGCTGCAGCAGCGGCGCCTGCTAGTAAAGGCGTGGCTGGGGAAGGTTTATCTGGTGCAGGCGGTGCTGCTGCTGCTGGCGCGGCTGCTGCTGCTGGCGCTGCTGGTGGTGGTGGTGGCGGTGCTGTTGGTGTTGGTGGTGTGGGAGCGAAAGCTGGGGCAGGAGGGAATGCGGAGGGTGGGGTGGTGGCAGGGGCAGGGGTTGGTGTTTCTGGTGCTGTTAGTGGTGCTGCCGCCGCTGGTGCTGCTGCCGGTGCTGCTGCTGGTGCTGTCGGCGGTGTTTCCACTGGTGGTGCTGGTGGTGGGGCTGGTGGGGGAGGAGGGGGAGTGGATGGTGGAGGTGCTATTGGTGCTGGCGACAAGGGGAAGGGTGCCTCTGGTGGCGGTGATACTGGGGGCGTGGGGTCTCAGGATAAGGCAGGGAAGACAGCGGATGGTGTGGCAGGAAAGGGAGCAGCGGAGGGGAAGGATGGTGCTGGGGGGGGAACGCAGGGGCAGGCACAGGGGCAGGCACAGGGGCAGGGGCAGGGGAAAACAGAGCAGAGGAAGGCGGAGGCGGAGGACAGACAGGGGGAGAAACAGGGGGAGAAGCAGGATGGGGCAGTGGGAGCGAAGGCAGAGGCGGGTAGTGCACTGCTAGCTGCTGTGCAGAGCCCGGCTAAGGATTCCATTCTATTCAAGGTGTGTTGGCCTGTCTGGTCCTGCGTTGGTTTCCTCCCCCCCTGCCCTCTCATGCTTGCTGTCACTCACAGCATTGTCAGCTGCCCTCTCTCTCCCCTCTCTCCTCTCTTCCTCCCCTCTCCTCTATCCTTGCTCCCCTTCCTCTCCTCTATCCTTCCGTAGCCCCAGTGGGAGGGTCAAGATGCTCACAGAGTTGACTGAAGCACTAGCCTTGTCTCCCCTCTCCTTTATCCTCTTCCTATTCGCAGCCCTTGTGTGCTTCCTTGACCCCAGTGGAGAGGTCAGGAGTCTTACAGAGGTGATTGAATCGCCATCCTTCCCTCCCCTCTCCTTTATCCTCTTCCTATTCGCAGCCCTTGTGTGCTTCCTTGGCTCCAGCCAGTGGGGGGATCAGGAGGCTTACAGAGGTGATTGAATCGCCATCCTGGCCTCCCCTCTCCTTTTTCCTCTCTCTACTCGCAGCCCTCGGGAGCGGCCTTAGCCCCAGTAGGAGGCTCCGGAGGCTCATAGAAGCTGGAGGCGCTGCGACCCCGGGGCGTTAGGCTCGTGTGTGTCGATCAGAAACCCTCTCATTTTCTTTCTTCTCTCTCAACTACTCCCTCTCGTCCTCTGCTTCCAGCCATCAGGAGCGGCCTTGGCACCAGTGGGAGGGTCCGGGGGCTCGCAGAAGCTGGAGGGGCTGCGCCCGTGGGGTGGGTCAGGCTCGGGTGTGTCGACGAGAGCGCCTGCTGCAGGCTTTGGGCATGCCCTCAACATTGAGACGCTCATGGCTGCAGCAGAGTTGCGGGATAGCCCCATCGAGGTGAGAGAAATCCCCTTCGAGGTGAGCATTATTGAGGTGGTATGGCTGGTACAGGTAGTGCGTGTGTCGACCAGAGCGCCTGCTGCAGGCTTTGGGCATGCGCTCAACATTGAGACGCTCATGGCGGCAGCAGAGAAGCGGGACAGCCCCATCGAGGTGAGAGTGAAAACCCCCATCGGGTTGAGCCGTATTGAGGTGGCATGGCTGGTACAGTGGTACTGGTGGTAGTGCGTGTTGTCGACGAGAGCGCCTGCTGCAGGCTTTGGGCATGCGCTCAACATTGAGACTCTCATGGCGGCAGCAGAGAAGCGGGACAGCCCTATCGAGGTGAGCACCCATTAGCCCTTAGTAATGGCTGGTTCATGGTCGGGTGTGTCAACGAGAGCGCCTGCTGCTGGCTTTGGGCATGCGCTCAACATTGAGACGCTCATGGCTGCAGCAGAGTTGCGAGACAGCCCCATCGAGGTGAGCCGGTGGCAATGGTACGTCTGGTACTGATCAGGCTCGGGTGTGTCGACCAGAGCGCCTGCTGCAGGCTTTGGGCATGCGCTCAACATTGAGACGCTCATGGCCGCAGCAGAGAAGCGGGAGAGCCCCATCGAGGTGAGATTGAAAACCCCATAAGGGTGAGCCGTGAGGTGGCATGTCTGGTACTGATAGTGAGTGTGTCAACCAGAGCGCCTGCTGCAGGCTTCGGGCATGCGCTCAACATTGAGACGCTCATGGCTGCAGCAGAGAAGTGGGACAGCCCCATCGAGGTGAGAGAAAGCCTCTTGGAGGTGAGCATTATTGAGGTGGTATGGCTGGTACAGTTGCAGGTAGTGCTTGTGTCGACCAGAGCACCTGCTGCTGGGTTTGGCCATGCGCTCAACATTGAGACGCTCATGGCGGCAGCAGAGAAGCGCGATAGCCCCATCGAGTCGAGATTGAGAACCCTACCCGATAGGTTAGAGAGAACCCCATAGGTGAGATGGTGAGAATCGCATTCAGGCGTTTCCTATCGGAGGAACTTAACAAGGCGGTGCTCAATGCTCGTTATCAACGCATCCGTGTTCCCCCTCCTCTGCTGGACGCTACTCTCTCCCTTCCCCGTCCCTCACCCCCCGCCTTCGTCAGAGGCACAGGACAAGGTGGCGATCATCATCAACAACATTCTTATTCTCGCTTCACCGTCTGATACTCCTCTCCCCCTTCCCCATCACTCATCCCGCCAGATGCCCTCGTCAGACGCACAGGACAAGGTGGCGATCATCATCAACAACATCTCTTCGACCCATTAGGGCAATTCTTACTCACCCCCTCTGCCCCGCACTCCTCTCTGCCCCTCCCATTCCCCGTTCGTTCCTCATTTTCCCCGATGCCCTCGTCAGACGCGCAGGACAAGGTGGCGATCATCATCAACAACATCGCTACTGCCCATCCTTATTCGCCGTTCTCCTTGCCTGGCCGCCCCGCCTCTCCCTCCCCTCCTCTTCTCCCCCCCCAGATGCCCTCGTCAGACGCACAGGACAAGGTGTCGTTCATAGTCAACATCATAGCGGCGACCCATTAGGCAACCTTCCCTTCCCTTCCCCTTCCCTTCCCCTTCCCTTTCTTTCTCAGATGCCCTCGTCAGACGCACAGGACAAGGTGGCGTTCATAATCAACAACATCCTTATTCGCCGTTCTCTCTGCCTCGCTGCCCCTCCTCTCCCTCCCATCCCCTTCTTATCCCCCCCCTCCCTCATCCCCTCAGATGCCCTCGTCAGACGCACAGGACAAGGTGGCGTTCATCATCAACAACATTGCAGCGGCGAATCTGGACCAAAAGTCGAAGGAGATACTGGAAGTGCTCAAGGAGCCCTTGTTCCCCTGGTTCGCGCAATACCTCGTCATGAAGAGGTGAGTCTTGAGAGCTTTACCCTGTAGTGGAAAGGGTCTTTCTGCGTCTGAAGGCCCTCGAAGGCCAAGGAGATTCTCGAGGTGCTCAAGGAGCCCTTGTTCCCCTGGTTCGCGTAATACCTCGTCATGAAGAGGTGAGTCTTGAGAGCTTTACCCTGTAATGGAATGTGTCTAAGGGGCTTCAAGGGCAGTGCTTGCGAGTGAGGTGCTCAAGGAGCCCTTCTTCCCCTGGTTCGCGCAGTACCTCGTCATGAAGAGGTGAGTTTAGAAAGTGCGTGCTTGCATAGGCGTGTGTGCCTTTCAGAGCTATCCATTTTTCACAAGCTCTACCTCAAGTTTGTCAGCAAGCTGTGCTGTGCTCCTATAGCTGACTAATTACCGCCCGCCCTCTGCCCTGTGTGCGTGCGTATGTGTGCGTGTGTCCATGTGTCTGCGTGCGTGCCCATCAGAGCGAGCATAGAGCCCAACTTCCACGAGCTCTACCTCAAGTTTGTGGACAAGATGGGTGCTAAGCTGCTGCAGAAGGAGGTGGTGAAGGCGACGTACGAGAACTGCAAGGTGCGTTTGTATATTGTATCGATCCGCCCATCCGCAGGTTCTGTTGCGGTCAGAGCTGATTCGGTCCAGCAGTGAGGAGCGGTCGCTGCTCAAGAACATCGGCAGCTGGCTGGGGCAACTCACCTCACTCCATTCCTCTCCTCTTCCCTTCCTCACGATTACAATCTATCCATCTATCCACAGGTACTCTTGCGGTCAGAGCTGATTCGGTCCAGCAGTGAGGAGCGGTCGCTGCTCAAGAACATAGGCAGCTGGCTGGGCCGACTCACCATTGGTAGGAACCAGCCGCTGCGTGCCAACCAGATCAACCCGAAGAATCTGATCATTGAGGTAATGTGTGAGGCAATTGTTCTAAGTTTGTTCAGAAACTTACTGAGGAAGGTGTGGGATGGTTTTGCGTGAGGACGGATTGGGGTGTGAATATGGAGAGGGGGAAGGGGAGAAGGGCTGGTGGGGAGGGGAAGGGCTGGGGAAAGGGGGCGATGGGGGAAAGTCAGCGAGGGGTGTGTGTGAGAGGTGGTTAAGAGGGGTTGGGAAAGGGGTACCTCGCCTCTGATCCAGCTTTTTCATGTCGTTTTCGTTTCTGAGTTATTTTGCAGTTCGCATTCCACCCACCCTACCCCCACTCCTCCCCCTCCCATGTGTTGCTTTCACCTGCTGTCCTTGGTCTTACCACCCTCCCCCGTCCCCCACCCCCTCCTCCCTTCCACCCCGTCCCCCCTCTCTCCCCTCCCCTTCGTCTCGGTCTTCTTACCTATGTCGAATTCCATGCCGCGCTTTCTACCCTTGCACCCTCTCCTCCTCCTTTATACATTCATTTCTTGCCCTGTTTTAAGCGAAGTGAGTTCTGAGCCATTTTTTCTAGTTATTCCATGCCTGTCCTTCCTTCCCGCCCCTCCCTTCCTTCCTTTGATTCCCTTCCTCGATTCTTTTTTCTCTTACTCACTGCATGCTAACACCGTATTCCCCATCCCCACCTTCCAGGCGTACGAGAAGGGTCTAATGATCGCCATCATTCCCTTCACTTCCAAGGTGAGCCCCCTTTCGGCCCGCACCTACTCTTCGTCCTCTCCCCCCTCCTCTTCTTACTCTTCCCCCATCTCTTCCCTCCTGCTCGTTCGGGTGTAAGATGACAGTATTTTTAACTGCCAGCCATCCTATCACCCCCTTAGGAACAAGGTCTCCCCTCTCCCCCTCCCTCCCCCCACCACCTTCCCTCCCCTCCCCCCTCTCCCCCTCCCCGCCCCTCCACTCCCCCGTCTTCCCTCCCTCCGCCTCGTTTCTTGTGTGCTCGCTTGTCTTGGCCTCGGTTTTGCATCTTCTTCTGCAGATTCTCGAGCCCTCTGCAAACAGCATAATCTACCAGCCGCCCATCCCATGAACCGTGGGCATCCAAATTTGTGATCTTTCCCATCGCATCTTCCATCTCCCCTCCCTTTCCCCCATCCCCCCCACCCTTTTCCCCCCAACCCCCCGCCTCTCCCCCCTCTTTCTCCCCCTTCCCCCCCACCCCTCACCATCCCCCACCCCTTCTCCCTCGCCCTCCCTCTGTTTTTGTGCTCGTCTGCTTCGTGTCTCGTTCTGTAGATTCTCGAGCCCTGTGCGAACAGCGTGATCTACCAGCCGCCCAACCCCTGGACTGGACCGTGGGCATTCTGTTTTGTGACCACCTTCTCCTCCCCCCTCCTCCTCCCCCTCCTCCCTCCCCCCCTTCCCCTCTCCCCATCCCTCCGCCCTGTGCTGTCTTGCAGATTCTCGAGCCCTGTGCGAACAGCGTGATCTACCAGCCGCCCAACCCCTGGACTGTGGGCATTCTGGGTCTTCTGGTGGAGATCTACAGCCAGCCCAACCTCAAGCTCAATCTCAAGTTCGACATTGAGGTAAGCGTACCTAAAGTTGTTCCCTGGGGTGTTCTTGGTCAAACCGGTGAACTACCTGGTGAGGGTCCACAGCCCCTCTGCAGCCTCCCCAACCTCAAGCTCAACCTCAAGTTCGACATTGAGGTATGCACCCCTTGTGCTTCTTGGTCGAACCGTTGATTTGGAGTGACCTGGTGGAGGGGGGTCCACAACCCCTCTACCTCTACAGCCTCCCCAACCTCAAGCTCAATCTCAAGTTCGACATTGAGCTAATCGCCCCTCTGCTCGCCTGGTTCCTCTCCTTTCCCTTTCTCCCCGCAGGTGCTGTTTAAAAACCTGGGGATCGAGATGAAGGAGGTGAAGCCATCGCAGCTGTTAGTTGGGCGGCAGAGGGAGATGGAGGGCAATCCGGACTTCTCAAACAAGGACCTGCTAGCCGCTCACCTGTCCGCTGCAGCAGGAGGGGGGCCAGGAGGAGCGGGGTCAGGAAGGGGTTCTCCGCAGCCTCTTGTGCGGTCAGCTGTTGCTTCCCCTGAGCCGCCTGGGGTTGCTGGTAGGGGGTCTCTGGGGGTGCCTGGTGCGGGGAAGCCGGATCAACAGGTGTCTCAGTTTCAGCAGCAGCAGCAACAGCAACAGCAACAGCAGCAGCAGCAGCAACAGCAGCAGCAACAGCAACAGCAACAGCAACAGCAACAGCAGCAGCAGCAGCAGCAGCAACAGCAACAGCAGCAGCAGCAGCAGCAGCAACAGCAGCAGCAACAGCAACAGCAACAGCAGCAGCAGCAACAGCAACAGCAGCAGCAGCAGCAACAACAACAGCAACAGCAGCAGCAGCTGCAGCAACAACAGCAACAACAGCAGCAACAGCAGCAGCAGGAACAGATGTCAATGCAGCAGCAGCAGCAACAATCGCCGCCGCCGCAGCAGGCCCAGCAGCAGCAGTTGTTGCTGCAGCAGTCGCAGCAAGCTGGTGCCAAGGCCGCTGTTCCGGTATGGCAGCTCAAATCAAAACACGTCTCTTGGCTCTTGGCTCTCCCCATCTCTTCTCATTCTCTTAAGTCCACCCGTTTCTTCCTTCCTCCTCCGCCCTACCCCCGCCCCCCGCCCCGGCCCCAGTCCCTCCAGTTCTCCGTGCCTCTCCTCCCCTCCCACCCCTCATCTGCATTGTCCTTCTATTTCGTGTCCTGGCCCCAATTTCATCAACGCGTTCCTTGCTCCGTCCTGTTGATGTTCATTGTTTTACAATCCCGAATACCCTCCATCCATCCCTGCCGCTGCTTTTCCCAAAAATTTCCACCACCGACTTTAACCACTTGCCATCCTCCCTCCCAACGGCCCTCCCCACGCCAGTCATCGGTATTGCTGCCTAACCTGGCGTCTTATATCGTCATCAGCCCCAAGCTCGCACCAGTGGCGCAGCAGCTGCAGCTCGCGAGGTGAGCACTCCCCCCCGTCTCCCTCCACCCCTCTCAACGCGTTTCCTTTCCCTTCCATTGGTATCGGCGTCCTACATCGACATCAGCCGCAAGCTCGCTCCAGTGGCTCAGCACCTGCAGCTGGCCAGGTGAGCACTCCCCCCCACCCCCCGCGCACGGTACTAGCGTTGGGGGGGGTATGTCCGTGCCAGGTAGGAATGGGTCACATTGTAGGCTTTTTGGGATTTTTTTAAGGGTCGTATTTCCTTCCCTATCCTCTTTTGCAATCGCGTGTCATGTGTCGCGTGTCATGTGTCGCGTGTCAAAATCTCCATGGTCACCCTGGGTGATAAAAGAAGTGTTTTGAGACGTCTCAAAACTCTCCATGGTCACCCTGGAGATTTTGAGGTCTGAGCAGTGTGGGAGATTGTTCTGCCAAGCCAAGCCACCTTTCTCTGTGTGTGGGAGACTGTGTTGATTTATCCAGCGTCTCTGTCCTTTCTCTCCCTGTGCTGTGCTCACAGGATCGTGCCCGCGTGCATGGACCGTGCAGTGAGGGAGATTGTGTCGCCAGTGGTGGAGAGGAGCTGCAGCATTGCGTGCATGACCACTCGCGAGCTGGTGCTCAAGGTGAGTGGCTGACTCTTTCACATGATCACTTCGCTTTGCACTTTGAGTCGCCTCCACATGCCCCCACATGGAGCTGCATCATTGCGTGCGTGCATGACCACACGCGTGCTGGTGCTCAAGGTGAGGAGCTTGTGGAACTTGGTATGATGACTGTGCTTTATGCTGTGATCACCTCCCCACATGGCAATTGCTGTCCCCCTCATGGCTCGTGCCTCTGCACTTAACCTCACCTGCCCACATGGCTCGTGCCGCTGCACTTAACTGCACCTCCCCACAAAACCTGTGTCAATCTGCTTAATATTGCCCGTGCCGCCGTGCCGGTGTCACCTCTCCTGTGCACCTCGCGCCACCCCTTCCAACCAGGACTTTGCAATGGAGGCGGATGACAGCCGCACACAGAAGGATGCTCTTCGGTCCGATGCGCTGTATATTGCCCCTCACTTCTCCTGCGCCCCTCACCCCACGCCTTCCCATCAGGACTTTGCAATGGAGGCGGATGACAGTCGCACACAGAAGGATGCTCTTTCATTCGATCTGCTGTGTATTGCCCCTCACTTCTCCTGCACCCCTTACCCCACCCCTATCCGACCAGGACTTTGCAATGGAGGCGGATGACAGCCGCACACAGAAGGCAGCCAATTTGATGGTGGCAAGCTTGGCAGGCAGTCTCGCGCTCGTCACGTGCAAGGTGGGGTGTGTGGTGGTTGTGTGCGGTGGTGGGGTGTGTGGTGGTTTGGTGGTGGGGTGTGTGTTGACTTGGTGGTGGGGTGTGTGGGGTGAGATTGTGGTGGGTGTGTGTGGTAGGATGTGTGTGGTCTATTGTTGGTGAGGTGTATGGTGCGGTGTGCTCCTTTCTTCCATCCCTCCCATCCCATCCCTCCCATCCCTCGCACCCCTCCCACCCCTTCCACCCCTCCCATCCCTCCCACACCTCCCACCCCTTCCACCCCTTCCACCCCTCCCATCCCTCCCACCGCTCCCATCCCTCCCACCCCTCCCACACCTCCCACCCCTTCCACCCCTCCCACCCTCCACCGCTCCCACCCCTCCCACCCCTCCCACCCCTCTTACACCTCCCACTCGTCCCACTCGTCCCGCTCGTCCCAACAGGAGCCCCTGCGTGTGGCGATGGCGAACCACCTGAGAACTCTGCTGCAGGCGGCCCTGGCAGGGGCGGAGCTGGAGCAGGTGGCTCAGCTGCTCGCTTTCCCTCCTTCCCGTTCTTCTGTTGTCCGCGCCCCTGCCCCTTCCCCTCCTTCATTGCGTCTCCTTGCACCTTGCTTGTGCTGCACTGGTACCACCTTCCCCCCACCACTCGTCCCAACAGGAGCCCCTGCGTGTGGCGATGGCGAACCACCTGAGAACTCTGCTGCAGGCGGCCCTGGCAGGAGCGGAGCTGGAGCAGGTGGCTCAGCTGCTGGTCAGCGACAACTTGGATTTGGGATGTGCTGTCATTGAGAAGGCCGCCAGTGAGAAGGTGAGAGGCGTGTGCATATGCTGTGACATTGTTTGTAGTTGACTCAGGTGAGAGTTACCAGGTGCAGCAGGTGGCTCAGCTGCTGGTCAGCGACAACCTCGACCTGGGGTGTGCTGTCATTGAGAAGGCCGCCAGTGAGAAGGTGAGAGGCGACTGTTACTACTCTTGTTTGTGTTGACTCAAACGTCCTTAGGTGGTCAGCGACAACCTCGACCTGGGGTGTGCCGTCATTGAGAAGGCTGCGAGTGAAAAGGTGAGACCCTGAAAGGCGTTTGTGAATGCTGCAAAACGAGTTGACTCAGGTGAGAGTCGCCAGCTGGAGCAGGTGGCGCAGCTGCTGGTCAGCGACAACCTTGACTTGGGGTGTGCTGTGATTGAGAAGGCCGCCAGTGAGAAGGTGAGTCACGTTTGAAAATGTTCAAATTTATCTCGTCTCGTACAATGCTGCGATTTGAGTCGACTCAGAAGTCGCCAGGTCAGGCGGCGGTGCAGGTGCTGGTCAGCTGCTTTCCGCCGTCATCCCTTCCCTCCTTTCTCCCTCTGCTTACTTACCACATCCACAGGCTGTGCGTGACCTAGAGGAGGTGCTCGGGCCGGCCCTGGCCATGCGGCGCAAGCAGCGGGAGGCTCTCGGCGCGGCCTACTACGACGCATCTATCTACTCCCAGGGCTCCCTCGCGCGCATTCCAGAGGCTCTCAGGCCCAAACCGGGGCGGCTCACTCTGGTGCAGCAGAGAATCTACGAGGATTTCGCGCATCTGCCCTGGCAGGGGCAGATGCCCCAGGCTGGAGCGGCGGCTGCAGCTGCTGCTGTGCTGGGCGGGGTTGGAGGAGGGGCAGGGCAGGGCGGGCAGCAGATGGGGCAGGGCGGGCAGGGGCAGATGGTTCTCGGGCAGCAGCAGGGGCAGGGGCCGCAGCAGGTGGGGCAGCAGGTGGGGCAGCAGGTGGGGCAGCAGGTGGGGCAGCAGCAGGTGGTTGGTGGTGGTGCTGCTGGTGGTGGTATGGCAGGGATGGTTTCGGGGTTGCCTGGATCGTCCATGTCTCCTGTCCCATATGTTGCCTCACAGCAGCAGCAGCAGCAGCAGCTGCTAACGGTACAGGACCAGCAGGCACAGGCTCAGGCACAGGCGCAGCAGCAGCAGCAGCAGCAGCAGCAACAGCAGCAGCAGCAGCAGGTGGGGATGGGTTTCCAAGGGGTAGCAGCAGGAGCAGCAGCAGCAGGAGCAGCTCAACTGATCAACGCCAATTCCGCCTCCCCCTCGCCTGCCCAGCTGATCGCAGCAGAAATCGAACGACCCGGCTCCGCAGCAGCAGCAGCAGCAGCAGCGGGTGGTGTGGGAGCCGCTGGCATGCCCCTTGGTGCGCCGGGCTCGGCTCCTGGCTCTGTCCCTGGTAGTGGTGCCCCTAGCGCTGCCCCTGGCGCTGGTGGCGCTGTGGCAGGTCCCTCTGGGCTGGCCAAGATCCCCATGGGCGCGGAGGGCCCTCTGGCGTATGCTGGCAGCCCCGCTCCTCCCATGGACCTCCCCGGCCTCAACCAGCAGGTACGTGGCTGATGGGTTGTAGGCTTGAACTAGTGCTGTCATGCCCCCCCCCCCCACTGGGGGTGGGGTATCCCATGTGCTCCCCAAGATCCCCATGGGCGCGGAGGGCCCTCTGGCGTATGCTGGCAGCCCCGCTCCTCCCATGGACCTCCCCGGCCTCAACCAGCAGGTACGTGGCTCGTAGGCTTGAACTAGTGCTGCCATGCCCCCAACCCCAAAGGGGGCGGGGTATCCCATGTGCTCCCCAAGATCCCCATGGGCGCGGAGGGCCCTCTGGCGTATGCTGGCAGCCCCGCTCCTCCCATGGACCTCCCAGGGCTCAACCAGCAGGTATGTGGAATCGTGGATAAATCGTGGATAAAGGATCCATACGTATGCTTGAACCGGCAAGTATGTGGATGATAGGGTTTAAATGTAGGATTGAACAGTGGAGTGTATCCATGTGCCTTTTTCCCTGTCTTTCCCTAGTCTCAGCTTCCCCCCCCCGTCTTTTTTGCGTCTCTCTTGCCTTCTTACCTTGCATGTGCATGTCTTGCCTTGCATGTGTGTGTGCAGGTGGATTCATCAGCCATGCCGCAGTCAGCTAACGCTCCTCCCGACCATGAGATCAAGGCAAGTGCTGCATCTCACTCTCTCTCCCCAGATTTCACTCACTCACACACCTGCACTTTCACTTTCACTCACACCCCCGCGCTTCACTCGTTGTGAGTTGCGAGGAATGCTCCCTCCCCTTCTGCCCTCTCCGCTCTCCCCCGTCTCCCCCCCCCAGGCGCAGGCAGTGGCGTTGTTTGACGACTGGGTGCGGGTGAGCGAGGCGGCGGGCATCAGTCAATCGCTTCCCCTTGAGACCTTATATCTTTCCCCCACCTCCTCTCCCGCACCCCCTTCCTACAACCCCCTCAGGCACAGGCGGTGGCGTTGTTTGACGACTGGGTGCGGGTGAGCGAGGCGGCGGGCAGCAACGACAAGGCGGTGGTGGTGTTTCTCTCGCAGCTGCAGCACTCCTCGCTGCTCGCCTCAGAGGACGCCGCCGAGAGGCTCTTCCGCACGCTCACCGACATGGTCGTCGCTCACTGCCTCGCCTCCTCCCAGCCTCTCAACCCGCCCCCGCCTGCCGCCCCTGGGAGCGGCCAGGTGCCGCCGGCTAGGGGGCTGAATTTCACGGCTGTCGACATGTTCAGTCGCCTCGTGGTGCTGCTTATCAAGGTACGCCTTCTCGGGATCACTGCTTGTGGCTATTTCCCTCACCCCACCCCACCCCACCTTATCAAGGTACGTCTCTGAGCAAGGTGAATCTGCTGAACAAGGTGCATTCACAGATGCTCATGGCCGAGCGTGGGAGGCGTACTTCTCACCTCGCACGGGGGCAGATGCTCGCCACGACCCTGCGGAAAGGGTCTCCGGCGTGCGACGGCGAGTGAGGGAAATCGTCAATGGGGTCTGCGGATGTTCGATGGTGGGGGAGAAGTTCAAGGTTAGGATTGAGTCGAGCAAAAGAAACGAAGTGGAGAAACTATTTGGTGGCGATAGGCATGATCTCTCCACCAGATATTCTCTCCACCAGACAGTTTCTCCACTTCGTTTTCTTTGCTCGGCTCAATCCTAACCTTGAACTTCTCCCCCACCATCGAACATCCGCAGACCCCATTGACGATTTCCCTCACTCGCCGTCGCACGCCAGAGACCCTTTCCGCAGGGTCGTGGCGAGCATCTGCCCCCGTGCGAGATGAGAAGTATGCCTCCCACGCTCGCCCATGACCATCTGTGAAAAAATATGTGGACTTGAGCGGCAACGCGAGTCGAGCAAGGTGAATCTGTTGAACGAGGTGCTGCCGGGCGTGGTGAGGGCAAGGTTCAAAAATACGACCGTATTTTTGAAAATTTACCGTAAATTAAGGTATCGTAATTTACGGTCGTAAATTACGGTAAAAAACGGTTTGACGTTGCAAAATTAGGTTGGTTCAAAAATACGGTCGTAAATTACGACCGAAGTTTGAAACCGAGTTTGTGTATAGCGAATTTCAACATTTCCCAACCGTCAACCTGCTCGTGAGAATTTTTGTGGCCCCAAACCCACTCGAGAGTGTTTTTTTCCCGAGTCGTGAGTGTCAGCAAAATCTCGAGGCGCGACATTGTGCATTTTGGTGACAGTTTAACAGGTTTGTTGCCCATTCGCACACTCGTTTGTGTATTTCGCCGAATCGCAAATGTACAAATTTGTGCGATGTGGCAAATTGTACATTTGGCGAACGGATAACACAAGTCTACCCGTTTCGCCAAGTCGGTGGGTCGTTTCGCGGCCCGTTCGTTTTTTTCGCCCGCATGCGCTACTCAACTCAATTTCGACACTGCAAAACCATTCCAACCAATAGCGCTCGTCCAATCTTCATCCCTTCCATCTCATCCCTTTTGCATATTCCATTCGCCAACGCAACACCACCAAGTTAAACCAGGGCAAAAACCACCATTCTGTAGTGTAGTATGTTGTCGCCTTCCTTGTCATCGTTGTAAGCTTTCTAGGAATTTCTGGAAAAAAAAATTCCGCAAAAAATGTCCATTTAAAAAACGACCGTATTTTTGCCAAAACCACCGTAAATTACGACCGTAATTTACGAGCCGTAATTTACGTTTACCGTATTTTTGAACCTTGGGTGAGGGTCATCCACCGCCAGGCGGACGAGCGTCGACTCACTCCCTTCCACCGCTCTCCACCGCTTCCCATCCATGCGCACCCCTGTCCACCCATTCCCACCGCTCCCCACCCCTGGAACTGACAGTACTATGTGGATTTGGGTGGCAACGCGAATCTGAGCAAGGTGAATCTGCTGAACAAGGTGCTGTCGGGAGTGGTGAGGGTCATCCACCGCCAGGCCGACGAGCGCCGTCTCACTCCCTTCCACCGTTCTCCACCCTTTCCTACACATGTGCACCCCTCTCCACCCCTGTCCACCCATTCCCACCGCTCCCCACCCCTGGAACTGACAGTACTATGTGGATTTGGGTGGCAACGCGAATCTGAGCAAGGTGAATCTGCTGAACAAGGTGCTGTCGGGCGTGGTGAGGGTCATCCACCGCCAGGCCGACGAGCGCCGCCTCACTCCCTTCCACCGCTCTCCACCGCTTCCCACCCATGTGCACCCCACTCCACCCCTGTCCACCCCTCTCCACCCATTCCCACCGCTCTTCAAACTTGACAGTACTACGTGGATCTGGGGGGCAATGCGAATCTGAGCAAGGTGAATCTGCTGAACAAGGTGCTGTCAGGCGTGGTGAGGGTCATCCACCGCCAGGCCGACGAGCGCCGCCTCACCAACCCCCGCCCCTTCTTCCGCCTCCTTGCCAACCTTCTGATCGACCTCAACGCACCCGATCCCAACTTCGATGCTGCCAGTCACCAGGTGAGGCTGCTGCTGCTGCTTGAACCAAGAGAGAGACCGTGAGGCTGCTGGGTAGTAGGTTGGTGGGGAATGTAACGCAGAGGGTGTGTGCCGCCTCACCAACCCCCGCCCCTCCGCCTCCTCGCCAACCTCCTGATCGATCTGAACGCGCCCGATCCCAACTTCGATGCTGCCAGTCACCAGGTGAGGTGGTTGGGTAGCAGGTGGGGGGATTTAGGTTAGAGGGTACATTTCGCCTCACCAACCCCCGCCCCTTCTTCCGCCTCCTCGCCAACCTTCTGATCGACTTGAACGCGCCCGATCCCAACTTCGATGCTGCCAGTCACCAGGTGAGGCAGTAAAATATAATTTAGGATTTTGGGTGTCAAGTTGGGAATATCTGGGAGGGAGAAGTGGGGTGGGGACGGGGAGAGTCACTGTGTAAATTTGTGTCCTCCCAATTTCTGTCCTCCCAATTCCTGTCCTCCCAATTCCTGTCCTCCCAATTCCTGTCCTTCCAATTCCAGTTCTTCAAATCCTGTTTCCTTCTGTCCCTCCAATCAGGTGCTCACCACCCTGGCGGCCACCTTCCATGCCCTGCAGCCTCTTCGAGTGCCGTCGTTCAGGTAAGGAGCAGGGGGTGGGTGGGTGTGGGTTGGGCTGGGTGGGGATGGGTGGGCGTGGGGGTAGGTTTCGCTTGACTACCCTGGCGGCCACCTTCCATGCCCTGCAGCCTCTTCGAGTGCCGTCGTTCAGGTAAGGAGCAGGGGGTGGGTGGGTGTGGGTTGGGCTGGGTGGGGATGGGTGGGCGTGGGGGTGGGGTTCACTTGACCACCCTGGCGGCCACCTTCCATGCCCTGCAGCCTCTTAGAGTGCCGTCGTTCAGGTAAGGAGGAAGGGATGGGTGGGTGTGGGTTGGGCTGGGTGGGATGGGTGGGCGTGGGGGGTGGGGTTCACTTGACTACCCTGGCGGCCACCTTCCATGCCCTGCAGCCTCTTCGAGTGCCGTCGTTCAGGTAAGGAGCAGGGCATGGGTGGGTGTGGGTTGGGCTGGGTGGGGATGGGTGGGCGTGGGGGTAGGTTTCGCTTGACTACCCTGGCGGCCACCTTCCATGCCCTGCAGCCTCTTCGAGTGCCGTCGTTCAGGTAAGGAGCAGGGCATGGGTGGGTGTGGGTTGGGCTGGGTGGGGATGGGTGGGCGTGGGGGGTGGGGTTCACTTGACTACCCTGGCGGCCACCTTCCATGCCCTGCAGCCTCTTCGAGTGCCGTCGTTCAGGTAAGGAGGAAGGGATGGGTGGGTGTGGGTTGGGCTGGGTGGGGATGGGTGGGCGTGGGGGGTGGGGTTCACTTGACTACCCTGGCGGCCACCTTCCATGCCCTGCAGCCTCTTGGAGTGCCGTCGTTCAGGTAAGGAGCAGGGCATGGGTGGGTGTGGGTTGGGCTGGGTGGGGATGGGTGGGCGTGGGGGTAGGTTTCGCTTGACTACCCTGGCGGCCACCTTCCATGCCCTGCAGCCTCTTCGAGTGCCGTCGTTCAGGTAAGGAGCAGGGGCTGGGTGGGGATGGGTGGGCGTGGGGGGTGGGGTTCACTTGACCACCCTGGCGGCCACCTTCCATGCCCTGCAGCCTCTTAGAGTGCCGTCGTTCAGGTAAGGAGGAAGGGATGGGTGGGTGTGGGTTGGGCTGGGTGGGGATGGGTGGGCGTGGGGGGTGGGGTTCACTTGACTACCCTGGCGGCCACCTTCCATGCCCTGCAGCCTCTTCGAGTGCCGTCGTTCAGGTAAGGAGCAGGGCATGGGTGGGTGTGGGTTGGGCTGGGTGGGGATGGGTGGGCGTGGGGGTAGGTTTCGCTTGACTACCCTGGCGGCCACCTTCCATGCCCTGCAGCCTCTTCGAGTGCCGTCATTCAGGTAAGGAGCAGGGCATGGGTGGGTTGGGCTGGGTGGGGATGGGTGGGCGTGGGGGGTGGGGTTCACTTGACTACCCTGGCGGCCACCTTCCATGCCCTGCAGCCTCTTCGAGTGCCGTCGTTCAGGTAAGGAGCAGGGCATGGGTGGGTGTGGGTTGGGCTGGGTGGGGATGGGTGGGCGTGGGGGTAGGTTTCGCTTCACCACCCTGGCGGCCACCTTCCATGCCCTGCAGCCTCTTAGAGTGCCGTCGTTCAGGTAAGGAGGAAGGGATGGCTGGTTGTGTGGGTGGGTGGACTGGGTGTGTGGGTGGGCGGACTGGGTGTGTGGGTGGGCATGGGCGTGGGCGTGGGTGTGTGACGCGTTGTACCGCAGGCCTTAAAACCCTTGCTGCCACCTTCCATGTACTGCTGCACTGCACCGTACTGCACTTCAGCCCGCTCTTTGCACGCCCTCTACTCTTCCACCGCCCATCATCCCTTTCCCCCTTCCTCTGGCAGCTTCGCCTGGCTGGAGCTCGTCAGCCATCGCTCCTTCATGCCCAAGCTGCTGCTCTTCCCCGGCCAGAAGGGGTGGCCCTGGTTCCAGCCAGCTGGGTTCATAAACAAGCACCACCTGTCTTTCCCCCCCTTTCAACCCACATCCCTGACCCCTCATTTTCAGCTTTGCCTGGCTGGAGCTCATCAGCCATCGCTCCTTCATGCCCAAGCTGCTGCTCTTCCCCGGCCAGAAGAGAAAAGAGCTGGAGCCAGGTAGCCAGGAGCACAAATGAGCTCCCTTCTTTGCTCATCCTGTCCCCTCCGCCCCCTTCCTCCCCACTTCCCCGTCCCCTTCCACTGGCAGCTTCGCCTGGCTGGAGCTCATCAGCCATCGCTCCTTCATGCCCAAGCTGCTGCTCTTCCCCGGTCAGAAGAGAAGAGAGCTGGGGGCGGGTACCTGGGAGCACAAATGAGCTCTCTTCTTTGCTCATCCTGTCCCCTCCTCTCCTCTCCCCTTCCCAGCTTCGCGTGGTTGGAGCTCATCTCGCATCGCTCCTTCATGCCCAAGCTGCTGCTCTTCCCCGGCCAGAAGGGGTGGCCCTGGTTGCAGCGCACTGGAAGCTGAGAGCATAAACACGCTCTCGACTTTCCTCATCCTGTCCTCCGCCACCACCTTCCCTTCCCCCCTCGCCCCTCCCCCATTCTCAGCTTCGCCTGGTTGGAGCTCATCAGCCATCGCTCCTTCATGCCCAAGCTGCTGCTCTTCCCCGGTCAGAAGGGGTGGCCCTGGTTCCAGCGCCTGCTGCTCTCGCTCTTCAAGTTCATGGAGCCGTACCTCCGAGATGCAGAGCTCAGTGACCCGGTGAGTTGACTCATGTGCTATGGCTTGTCATCAAGGGAGCCCAGTGGCTGAGTTGGTATGGATGGTCTTTGAGCCCTCAGTGCTTGTGGTTGGGTGGTTCCAGCGTCTGCTGCTCTCGCTCTTCAAGTTCATGGAGCCGTACCTCCGAGATGCAGAGCTCAGTGACCCGGTGAGTTGACTCATGTGCTATGGCTTGTCACCCAGTAGTGGCTGGGTGAGTTGGCTCGGCTTCGTTGGTAAGTAAGGTCGGTCTCCCAAGCCTCCTTGTGCGTTCAAGCGTCTGCTGCTGCTCTCGCTCTTCAAGTTCATGGAGCCCTACCTGAGGGATGCAGAGCTCAGTGACCCGGTGAGTGAAGTCCCTTTGCCTCTCACCCCAGTAGTGGCTGGGTGAGTTGGCTCGGTTAGTATGTAAGGTCGGTCTCCCAGTCCTCCTTGTGGGTGGGTTCCAGTGCCTGCTGCTCTCGCTCTTCAAGTGCATGGAGCCGTGCCTCAGGGATGCAGAGCTCAGCGACCCGGTGACTTGACTCTAGTGCAATGTCTTGGCACCCGGTGAGCTCAGCGACCCGGTCGTTCCGCTTTGGTGCATGTTGGTTCCAGCGTCTGCTGCTCTCGCTCTTCAAGTTCATGGAGCCGTACCTCAGAGATGCGGAGCTCAGCGACCCGGTGACTTGACCCCCCTAGTGGCTGGATGAGTTGATTGCTTTGGCTGGTCACCAAGAGACCCCATTTGCTGGGTTGGTAAGGTTAGTCTTTCAGCCCTCGGTGCTTGTGGCAGATCCGCTCCTACCACTTCAGCTACCACTTCAGCTTCCCCCAATCCCCTCCTCACCCTTATACTCGTTATTGGCAGATCCGTCTGATGTACAAGGGAGCCATCCGCGTGCTGCTGGTGCTGCTGCACGATTTCCCGGAGTTCCTCTGCGACTACCACTTCAGCTTCCCCCAATCCCCTCCCCTCTTTCTCCCCTCTTCTCTTATACTCGTTATGGGCAGATCCACCTGATGTACAAGGGTGCCATTCGCGTCCTGCTGGTGCTGCTGCACGACTTCCCCGAGTTCCTCTGCGACTACCACTTCAGCTTCTGCGACATCATCCCCCCCACCTGCATCCAAATGCGCAACCTTGTGCTCTCCGCCTTCCCCCGCAACATGCGCCTCCCCGACCCCTTCACACCCAACCTTAAGGTGAGCTGAGTTGGCTGTCGTTGGTGTGGTTTCTCTGTGCTTTGAGGCACCTTACCACACCACACCTCACCTTACCACACCACACCACACCGCACCACACCACACTACCATCATCCCATCATCCCCCCCACCTGCATCCAAATGCGCAACCTCGTGCTCTCCGCCTTCCCCCGCAACATGCGCCTCCCCGACCCCTTCACGCCAAACCTCAAGGTGAGCGCGTGCCACCGCACTACACCACACCACACCACACCATCATCCCATCATCCCCCCCACCTGCATCCAAATGCGCAACCTGGTCCTCTCCGCCTTCCCCCGCAACATGCGCCTCCCCGACCCCTTCACGCCCAACCTCAAGGTGAGCGCGTGCCACCGCACTACACCACACCACACCACACCATCATCCCATCATCCCCCCCACCTGCATCCAAATGCGCAACCTCGTGCTCTCCGCCTTCCCCCGCAACATGCGCCTCCCCGACCCCTTCACTCCAAACCTCAAGGTAAGCTGAGTTAGTGGTCTGGTTTGTGGGCTGACCGGCTGGTTTGTGCTTCTAGGCACCGTATCACACCACACCTTCCCGCGCAACATGCGCCTCCCCGACCCCTTTACTCCGAATCTCAAGGTGAGCTGAGTTAGTGGTCTGGTTTGTGGGCTGTCCGGCTGGTTTGTGCTTCTAGGCGCCTTATCACACCACTCCATCATCCCCCCCACCTGCATCCGAATGCGCAACCTGGTCCTCTCCGCCTTCCCCCGCAACATGCGCCTTCCCGACCCCTTCACTCCGAATCTCAAGGTAAGCGCGTGCCACCGCACTACACCACACCAAACCACACCATCACTCCATCATCCCCCCCCACCTGCATCCAAATGCGCAACCTGGTCCTCTCCGCCTTCCCGCGCAACATGCGCCTCCCCGACCCCTTCACACCGAATCTCAAGGTGAGCTGAGGGGGCAAACTGTTGCTGGTGTGCTCTTTATGTGCTTCTAGGCACTTTACCACACCACACCATCATCCTATTATCCCTTCAACCATCATCTCTTCTACTGCTTTGCATGCCAATTCCCTCAACCTCCCCCACAACCCCCTCTCCCCATTTTGTTTCTCCCACTGGTCTTCGTGCCAATTCCTTCACCTTCCCCACCTCCCTACCCCGAACCAGGTGGACCTTCTTCCAGAGATCAGCCAGCCACCACGCATTCTATCGGATGTGGAGGCCACTCTGAGAGCAAAGGGGCTTAAAGCCGAGGTGGATGATTACCTGCAGACGCGCCAGCCGCCCTCCTTCCTCTCCGCCCTTCCTCTCCCCCAGTCTCAAGCACTGCTTGCTGCTGCGTCCTTCTCATCCCCCACCCTCCCAATCTCCCCTCTCCTCGCCCCCTTGCCCAAACCAGGTCGACCTGCTGCCGGAGATCAGCCAGCCGCCACGCATCTTATCAGACGTGGAAGCCACTCTGAGGGCCAAGGGGCTTAAAGCCGAGGTGGACGAGTACTTGCAGACGCGCCAGCCGCCCTCCTTCCTCTCCGCCAGCCTCAAGCAGCGCCTGCTGCTGCCGCCTGCTGAAGCCGTGCAGAGTGGCACCAAGTACAACGTGCCTCTGCTCAATAGCCTCGTGCTCTATGTGGGCATGCAGGTGTGTTCCATGTCAACAGCAGGTGAGCTGGAATGGGAATTGGAACGTGTGTGTGTGGGCTCGAAGCCGTGCAGAGTGGCACCAAGTACAACGTGCCTCTGCTCAACTCGCTGGTGCTCTATGTCGGCATGCAGGTGTGTTTCCCTTGTAGGAATTGTATCACCCGTCTATTGAGTCGACCCAAAACACACCTGAAGCCGTGCAGAGCGGCACCAAGTACAACGTGCCGCTGCTCAACAGCCTCGTGCTCTACGTGGGCATGCAGGTGCGTTTCCCTTGTAGGAATTATAACACCAGTGTATTGAGTCGACTCAAAACCCACCTGAAGCCGTGCAGAACGGCACCAATTACAACGTGCCGCTGCTCAACTCGCTGGTGCTCTACGCCGGCATGCAGGTGAGCCTTCATGATAAAAGTATCAGCTGTGAGTTGGCTGAAAACACACCTGAAGCCGTGCAGAGCGGCTCCAAGTACAACGTGCCTCTGCTCAATTCCTTGGTGCTCTATGTCGGCATGCAGGTGCGTTTCTATCTATGTGCCATATCACGCAGTGTGCAGTGTGGTAAGGCTGTGCAGAGCGGCACCAAGTACAACGTGCCTCTGCTCAACAGCCTCGTGCTCTATGTGGGCATGCAGGTGCGTTTGAATGATTGGGAATTGGAACGTGAGTGTGTTGAGTCGGCTGAAAACAGAAGCCGTGCAGAGCGGCACACGCTACAACGTGCCTCTGCTCAACAGCCTCGTGCTCTATGTGGGCGTGGAGGTGGGTTTTAAGTGCGTGCTGTGGTGCTTTTTTGTTTGAGGTTGATTTTGAGAATTCTCAAAATCAACCTCAAACAAAACAGCCTCGTGCTCTATGTGGGCGTGGAGGTGGGTTTCTAGTGCGTGCTGTGGTGCTATGCGAGATATTGTTGATACCTTTCCAGGATCACGTACAGTGTGCCGCTTGGTGAAGCCGTGCAGAGCGGCACACGCTACAACGTGCCGTTGCTCAACAGCCTCGCGCCGTGGATAACAAGCTTGGCGCTACCTACCTGAGACGCCTCACCAAACTCCCCTTCCCTGCTACCTGTTCCCTCAACCGCCTCAGGCCATTCAGCAGCTGCAGAGCAAGGCAACCCCGCAGCAGCTGGCAGTGCCCTCGGCCCCCATCACGCACAGCGCCCCCACGGACGTCTTTTCAGCCCCTGCTCTCCCACCTGGACTTCGAGGGAGACACCTCACCCCTCTCCCTTCCCTGCTCCCACTCCTTCCCTGCTCCCTGTTCCCTCAACCGCCTCAGGCGATTCAACAGCTGCAGAGCAAGGCAACCCTGCAGCAGCTGGCAGTGCCAACGGCCCCCATCACCCACAGCGCCCCCATGGACGTGTTCCAGCGCCTGCTCTCCCAGCACGTTCACTTGAGACTCCTTACCCCTCTCTCTCCCCCAACAGGCCATCCAGCAACTAGCGGTCCCCACGGCTCCCATCACCCACAGCGCCCCCATGGACGTGTTCCAGCGCCTGCTCTCCCAGCACGTTCACTTGAGACTCCTTACCCCTCTCTCTCCCCCAACAGGCCATCCAGCAACTAGCGGTCCCCACGGCTCCCATCACCCACAGCGCCCCCATGGACGTGTTCCAGCGCCTGCTCTCCCAGCACGTTCACTTGAGACTCCTTACCCCTCTCTCTCCCCCAACAGGCCATCCAGCAACTAGCGGTCCCCACGGCTCCCATCACCCACAGCGCCCCCATGGACGTGTTCCAGCGCCTGCTCTCCCAGCACGTTCACTTGAGACTCCTTACCCCTCTCTCTCCCCCAACAGGCCATCCAGCAACTAGCGATCCCCACGGCTCCCATCACCCACAGCGCCCCCATGGACGTGTTCCAGCGCCTGCTGTCTCATCTGGACTCGGAGGGGCGGTACCTGTTTCTGACCGCCTCATCCCACTTCCTTTCCTTGCTCCCTCTCCTTCCCTCCATCTCCCCTCCACCCCACAACAGGCCATCCAGCAGCTGCAGAGCAAGGCAACCCCCCAACAACTAGCGGTGCCCACGGCCCCCATCACGCACAGCGCCCCCATGGACGTGTTTCAGCGCCTGCTGTCTCATTTGGACTCGGAGGGGCGGTACCTGTTTCTGAACGCCGTGGCGAACCAGCTTGGCACTCTCTCACCCCGTTCGATTCCCTTCTCCCTGCCTCCCTGCCTGCCTGCCTGCTGCCTGCCTGACCCCTCTGTCATCCCCAAACAACACAGGCCATTCAGCAGCTGCAGAGCAAGGCCACCCCCCAGCAGCTAGCGGTGCCCACGGCCCCCATCACGCACAGCGCCCCCATGGACGTGTTCCAGCGCCTGCTCTCCCACCTGGACTCGGAGGGGCGGTACCTGTTTCTGAACGCCGTGGCGAACCAGCTGCGGTACCCCAACAACCACACGCACTACTTCTCCTGCGTGCTGCTCTACCTCTTTGCCGAGGCCAACCAGGTGAGGGTTAATAGGGTAACCAGGTGAGGGGTGATAGGGTAACCAGGTGAGGGGTGATAGGGTAACCAGGTGTGACGTGATGGGTTGATACCAACCAGCTGCGGTACCCCAACAACCACACGCACTACTTCTCCTGCGTGCTGCTCTACCTCTTTGCCGAGGCCAGCCAGGTGAGGGGGGTGGGTTATGCGGTGTGATAGGGCAACCAGGTGGGGGGCAATAGGATGTGGAATGTAGTTGTGGGTGATGGGTGATGGGTGGGTGGGAGGGGCGGCACCAGATGAAATACCCCAACAACCACACACACTACTTCTCCTGCGTGCTGCTCTACCTCAATCTTTCATGAGTGAATCGTGTATTGCGTGTCGTGTTTCCCTTCGGTTTGGTGTGTTCCACAGCAGATCGTCCAGGAGCAGATCACGCGCGTCCTGCTGGAGCGGCTGATTGTCAACCGTTGATGTGTATCATAATCAGCGTCCTGCGTTTTCCCTCATCATCTCTGTGTGTTGTCGTTTCGTGTTCACAGGAGATCGTCCAGGAGCAGATCACGCGTGTGCTGCTCGAGCGGCTGATTGTCAACCGTTGATGCGCATCAGGACCAACCTATCCCCCTCTCTCTTCCCTCGTGTGCTACCGTGCATTGTTCCGCGTTTACAGGAAATCGTTCAGGAGCAGATCACGCGTGTCCTGTTGGAGCGGCTGATTGTCAACCGGCCACACCCATGGGGTCTCCTAATCACCTTCATTGAGCTCATCAAGGTATTTACAGGGATAGGTTCACTCCAAGTCATGGACACACCTATGTTTTGAGTCGACTCGAGACACACCCATGGGGCCTCCTCCTCATCACCTTCGTTGAGCTCATCAAGGTACTATATGATATGGAGTAGTAGCACGAAGCTACTTGGGGCCCCTCCTGGCTTTCCCTTTCTCCCCCTTCCCCCTTCCTCCGCTCCCATTCCTTCCACACCTTCTGATTCTGTCATATTTAGATTTTCTTGATGGTAGTTGGCCATTGGTTTTACTTGGATAGGATATGGCGGTATTCGGTGGTTTCTTGATTTTAACTCCAAAACCTGACTCGCTTTTTTCCCTCTCCTGCCACTTGCTGCTCCTTGTGGTACGGTACCTTGTGGTTCCCTGTGTGCTACCTCAGAATCCGAGGTACAATTTCTGGAGCCATGGTTTCACGCGGTGTGCGCCGGAGATCAAGAAGCTCTTTGAGTCGGTGGCACGGTCGTGCATGGGCCCGCCGCCCAAAATGGACGAGGACGTGCATGCTGCTGTTCCGCAGCAGGCCTGAGTGGGCTTCGGCCGGCTGGGCGGCATGTGTCGGAATTGTCTTGTACAGCTGGTCTGAAATTGGTTTTCTGAGATGTAAGACATCATAGATGCTTACTGCTCTTTAGGCCAAGCCATGTTTTGCTTTTCATTTAGGGCCAGAACTCAGGGTTCAGCCTTGTGTCTGGAACCACATCCTCATTCTTTTTATTACTAATTTGTAGCAATCCCAAGAACACGTTGAGTTGAGCGGTATGAAAAAAGGAAAGTCAGCTGAAAGCATTCGAGCTCGTAAGAATGATGCTGTTCGTCCTCTGTTGAGAATAGTTAATATCGGGCAGCAGGGACAGGAAGGAAGCTGCGATTTCGCGCTGTGTCGAATGTGGCTCATCATCCTTGGATTGCTCCCAAAGACCGAGGCTGACGTGGACAAGTCGTCATGGGCACGTGTCAGCAGCTGACGCCCTCAAAAAGTTATGGAACCTCATCCAATCACTTCAACCAGTAGGGCTCAATGAGCAACTCGCGAAATCGCCTACGCGTCGTTAACCAGGGTTCTGGTGTCGTTGGCCTGTTTGCGAATTAATATAATTTCGCTCGCACCAGAGTCCCTTTCGCTCTGATCTCACGACACCTTACGAGTGACTCCCTCAGCTCTGTGCACGGTTGATAGGCTCTTTGATCCAGTGTATGACGCCCATAATTTCTCGTTTTCTCGTTTCTCGTTGTGGCAAAGTCGTCGACTGGTCAACTGCTAGTAAGTTTTTTTTGGCAAAGGATAGCTGATCAATCTTTGAGTTTGACGATCCGCGTCTCAGTTGATTCGCCGCCATGGCAGCCACAGGGCTTCACCTCAAAGCGTCGCTCGCCTCAGCGACGTTGTCGCAGCCGTCGCATGCGACCGGCTCAGCGACGCGAGCGGCAAGCCCGGCCGTCGTTCCCTGCCGTGCGACCCAGCTACCGTCGCACAGACTAGCGGCGATCTCCGCCTTTTCGCCACAACGAAAATCCGTCCTTCCTGTTCTCCGATCCCGCGCCCAGCTGTCGATCCGCGCTTCCGCCTGCGCTTCCGCGCAAGCCGCCGCGCAGCCCTCCGCGCCCCCACCCCCGGCGGCTCTCTTCGTCGCAGCAGTCGCAGCCGCTTCGGCGACAGCAGCGGCCGTCGCACGCGCAGTCCTCGAGCCGCTGCGACGGCTCTTCGCGCCGCTGTCCGACGCCGAGCAGCTCCAATTGGACAGCCTCACGGGCCGCGCGCAATTTATGATCGCCTCCGGAAAACGGCTAGCGGCGTGCGCTGCGCCGCTATTTTTCGCGGCGATCAGCCAATCAAACGCGAGCACGAGCACGCCGCTGACGGTGATTGCGAGCGGGATGGCGAAATGGCTGGAGCTGTACAGTGGGTTGCTGCTGGTGCGTGTGCTGCTGTCGTGGTTCCCAAACATCGACTGGGAGAGGCAGCCTATGCAAGCCATCCGCGATATGAGCGACCCCTATTTGAACCTCTTCCGCAACATTCTTGTGAGTACACGGGTGCAGAAGAAATCAAGAGACAGAACGAAAGAAATCGAACGACAGAACGACAGTTATGACAATGCTGGTCAGTTAAAGCGCGATACGAACAAATCCGCGCAATATATGCGATTTCCGCAGGATCCTTAGTTTTCGCCATCCATGCGCCTCGACATGCCCCTGTCCCTTCTCACCCCTATTCCATCTGCTTTGTGGTGATGTCATTCCCCCTGCTCGCACTTCTCGCAACTTACCATTTTCACGCCTCGCGTTAGTTCTCTTGTATTTTCCTCCCTCCCCCTCGGCCCACCTACCCAATTTGTTCCATATACCTCGGCCTTGTGCCGTGCAGCCTCCCTCCGTAGGATCCCTGATTTGAGTCCACTTCTTGCGCTTCTTGTCCTTGGAATGCTCACATTGATGCTCATTGCGTTGATTTTCCTTGTATAACCCCCCACCCCCTCAACACCACACTCTTTCCTCACCTCCTTTTGTCCCCCTGACCTTGTATCATGCAGCCTCCTTTCTTTGGAGCTCTGGATCTCAATCCCATACTCGCGTTCCTTGTCCTCCGCATGCTCACAGCGCCTCTCTCCTGTTCTGATGCATTTTCATGTATACCTCCTCCCCGCCCCCTCTCGCCCCAAATGCAGCCTCCTTTCTTTGGAGCGCTGGATCTCAGTCCCATGCTCGCCTTCCTGGTGCTCGGCATGCTCACATCTCTCCTCAACACAGCAGTTTTCTCATAGGAAGCCCTTTTAGACTCATGAGTCGTATGTTTGCATTCCTGGTGCTCGGCATGCTGGCTTCGTGGTGATGATAGCGCATTCATGGCCTCTTCTGTTTGGAGAGCCAGGTTTTAATAAGTGTGACTGCTGGTATTTGTGTTTGGCTAGTGGGTAGTTGTTTCAGTAAAATGCGGGTAGCATGGTTGACAGTCGATCTGATTTAACTATGGGGTGTATCCATCGTGAAGAGTGGCATTTGTCTTTAATGAAGTGAAGAGTATAAGCAAATGGGACACTTACATTTTCTTTATTCTATTCCGAATACAGAGCAGAGCAGAGCAGTTGGTACGCAGAATAACAACAGCACCCAGTTCGCTACAAGCGCATCCAATTTAATGATCTAAACGCACCAGTGAGCTGATGCGGCTATATCCGAAGGTTCACCGTATATCAAGGGTACTGTTAACAGGTGGAAGAGTTCTAGAGGACTGAATACATACCACAGTAGAAACTACAGTACATCCTTAAAACGTTAGTTACTAAATAGCTTACATCCCACGAGACGGGATCCTATTAGATATTGCATTACACCACAAGATGGCATGTCCTAGCAGTCACTCGAAGGTGTAAAAGCAAAAGCTAGTAATTACCTTAAACCATCCTGTACTGGATGGTACTACTACTACCATACGACCGAACTCGGTTAAAAAGTTAGGTACATAAAGAGCAAACAGGCTGCGTTTATGGTCAATGACACATCATTGACAGCATAAGGCGGCCAAGCAGTGTAAAACTTCACTCAACCATCTGAACTTCCTGTTGTCGCCCCTTCAGTCGCCACCAGAGCTCTACTCGTGATAGTGGATATGACTGTGACTAGTTGTCTACAGCAGAAGGGGGTCCAAAGCACATAAACCAACTTGACTTTTTCTTTTTCTTCTTCCCTGCACCAGCAGCAGCAGCCAATCGCTTAGCCCCTGCTGCATCGTCTTCCCACAATCTCCCACTCTCTGCGTCACTGGCAGCACTTGAAACAGTCGATTCAGCAGCTGTAACAGAAATCCCGGTCGAACTAGAAGCAGCAGCAGGGGCAGGAGCTTTAACCGGAGCAGGAGCAGGTTCAGGAGCAGGCTTGGGAGCAGGTTCGGGAACAGGTTCGGGAGCAGGAGCAGGCTTGGGTGGGGACACAGGCTTGGCGATCGGCGTCGGAGGCTCGTCATAAGGCTCGGCAGGTTGGGCGATGGGAGTTGGAGGCTCCTCGGCATAAGGCTCGGCAGGTTGGGCGATGGGTGTTGGAGGTTCGGCGTAACGATCGGCAGGTTGGGCAATAGGGGTTGGTGGTTCGGGAAAGTCGCCGGCAGGTTGGGCGATGGGAGTTTGAGGCTCGGCATAAGACGCGGCGGGTTGGGCTATGGGAGTTGGAGGTTCGGGATAAGGTTGGGCGACTGGTGTTGCAGGCTCGGGAGCATCAAAACCAGCACCTTCGCCATTGGGTGTGACTGAAAGCGGTGTGATGGAATGAGGAGTGACTGAAGCAGATGCAGCAGCACCAGGTGAAGCAGCAAGAAAACCAGCTGTTGGGGTGGAAGCACCACTACCAGGACCGAGGCTGCTTGCTCCTGCTGCCACCCTCCCACTACCACTACCACCAGCAGCAGCACCAAGACGCCCGCTGCTGTTAGGACTGCCAGCTGAGCTTCCCGCACGGCTGCCAGCCTGGCTGCCAGCCTGGCGACTGGATAAGGATCCGCCACGCGCCACCTGTGCGCCATCTGCTGCTGCTGGGTCTGTGTCCTTCCCGGGGCTGTGACGAACCTGCGCTGCTGCTTCGGAGTGCAGGCTCGAGGTCCTGATGGATGGAGATGGGTGTGGAGTGGTGGAGGGGAGGAAAAGAGAGTTCCAGACGAGCGTAAGGATTTGAGAGACTGAGGGAGCAAAGGGAAAGCACTGAGGTGAATGGAAGCACACAGGCTTAGGTCACAACATTAAGGTACAGAGGCAAAAGAGCCAAGAGGAAAACGGGTGCAGGAACCTTGAAAGAAGACGGCGAGAGTGACTGAGAGACGGAGAGTGAGATTGGGTTCGATTAAACTTACCGAGCAGGAACCTTGAAAGAGGATGAGCGTTGCCCCTCCAGTCTCCCTCTCTCCCTCGGCGAACCCGCTACTGACGAGCCTCTCGATCCCGGACCTGCACCCCTTGGGGAGGAATGGGCCGAACCTGGCCCTCCGCTTCGGTGGCCTTCCGCGGCTAGAGCCCGAACCTGAGCCGGAGCCCTGTGGCGGCCAAAGGAAGGGGAGATGCCAAGAGATGACGGGGTTTGAACATGGGAGGAGGGTAGGTGTTGCTGCTGCTGGAGCGAAAACTCCCTTGCGTGCTGCTGGTAAGACTGCTGCTGACTGTGCTGCTGCTGCTGACTCTGGTTCGGAAGGTGCTTTGGCTTGCGTGGGGTGGAATTGGTGGAAGCGACAGGAGGCATGTGGCGGGAAAGCGGAGCGTACCCTTGGTTCGGCGCTCGCCGCCGGGCCTCGTCCGTAGCCTCGGGCGTCCTGCCGAAGCTGTCGTCGACAGGCATGGCGTTAGGTGCGCCAAGCTCGCTAGACATAACGCTCATCCCATCATCATCTATCACACCGGCCCGGATAGCATCGGCAACACCGCTGCCCGACCAACCACCACCTCCACTCCCGCCGCCGCTGCTGTCGCCGCTAATCCTCCTGCTCCCGCCTGCTCCTCTCATGGCTAACGGCATTGCAATGGGTGCATCCAGCTCACTCTCCTCATCCATTGCACGCCCCCCTCTCCCTTCCTCATCCTCTCCCTCCTCCTCATCCTCCTCCTCCTCCCCACCACTGTCATCACCCCCACCCGCACCAGCACCCCTTTCTCCCTCCACTCGTCTTTTAGGTGTGGGATCCATAGGAAAGGCGATCGGCACACCAATATCCGACTCCCCATCGTCCCCTCCCCCCTGCTGCAGTGGCATGGCAATGGGCGTATCAGCATCACTAGCTTCACTCAGACTCCTCTGGTATTTGCGTCCGCTGGAATATCTTCTTTCCATGGAACCCAGGCCTGCTCCCCCTTCCGCTCCCCCTAGCTGCATTGATTCAGCAACTGAGTCCCTGTCTTCTCCTGCTTCGTCTGACGACCATTCCTCCTCCCCTTCCTCTTCCTTCTCTTCCTCGTCTTTCTCTTCCTCCTCGTCTGCCTTCTCCTCTCCCTTCACTCCCTCCTCTCCCTCCTCTCCCTCCTCGCCCTCCTCTTCCTCCTCTCTCTCCTCTCGCTCCTCGTCCTTCTCCTTCTCCTCCTCCATCTGCTCATCTGCCTCCACGCTTTCTGCTTCATTTCTCTTCCTCCTCCTCCTCCTCCTCCTCCTCCTCCTCCTCCTCCTCCTCCTCCTCCTCCTCCTCCTCCTCCTCCTCCTCCTCCTCCTCCTCCTCCTCCTCTTCCCATTGTCTCCCCTCTTCCCGCTCTCTCTCCTCTTCCCTTTCGCTCTCCTCTTCCCTTTCACTCTCCTCCTCCCTTTCTCTCTCTTCTTCCCTTTCTCTCTCTTCTTCCCTTTCTCTCTCCTCTTCCCTTTCTCTCTCCTCCTCCCTTTCTCTCTCTTCCTCCCTTTCTCTCTCCTCCTCCATTTCTCTCTCCTCGTCCCTTTCTCCCTCCTCTTCCCCATCTCCCTCCTCCACAACCTCCTCCTCCTCCGTTTCTCGCCTCGGAACGCTGCGAGCAGGCATGGCAATGGGAGCGTTGATGTCGCTCAAGCCCCCCTCGCTCTCGAAATGAGGGAACCTCCTTGTCACATGCACAAGGGGACCGTGCCCACCTCTCCGTCCTTCCTCCTCCACCTGCTCCTCCTGTTCCTCCTCTTGGTCCTCCTGCTCCTCCTCAGGCTCTTCCTCCTCTTCATCATCATAGTTCTCCTTTCTTCGTCTCTCATACGAGCTTTCCTCCTCCTCTCCTTCATCTTCCTCCCCACTGTACTTCCCTTCTCCCTCTCTTCTCTCCTCCTCCTCCTCATCCTCCTCCTCATCCTCCTCCTCTTCTGTGGGAATAGCAGCTGGGATAATATCCAGGGCACTCTTACTCACAGAGTCTCCGCGTTGCAATACTGAATGAATCGCACCCGCTACTGGAACATCGTCATCCTCATCATCCTCCGCATCCTCCTCCTCCTCTTCCTCTTCCTCCTCGTCCTCCTCTTCCCTCACACCAACACCAGCAGCAATGCCAACACCAGCAGCAGCGGCAGCAGCAGCAGCAGCAGCAGCAGCAGCCGACACAGGCATGCGGACAGGAGAAGCCACAGGGACCTGACTCTCAGCATCTGTTGCCTCTGTCACGCCAGTGAAACCAGTGATGTCAGTAGCAGCGTCGTACTCGTTATAAGCTTGCGCCAGGGGCACTTGGCTGTCTGCATCTGTAACAGCGGTGATGTCAGTAACCGCATCAAAATCGTTGTAACCCCCTCCCAGCGGCTGCATTGACTCCATCCCCACCTCCTCCTCCTCTTCCTCCTCTTCCTCCTCTTCTTCCTCTTCCTCCTCCTCCATTCCTCCTCCTCCTCCCCCTCCTGCTCTGCTGTTCCCTTAGCATCAAACCGCCATGCACCAGGACCGGATCCCAAGGGACTAGCCCCATCCCACGTGCCCTTCCTCCTGCCTCCCCCCTTCCCTCTCCCCTTCGCCTTCCCCACACCCCTCTCCTCTCCTGCCTCCCTCCCCTCCTCTTCCTCTTCTTCCTCCTCGTCTTCCTCTCCCATCCTCACTCTCTCCATCCCCCGTCCATCACTCATCGTTTTCACGGGTTTCCCCTTCCTCTCCCCTCCTCCTCCTCTCCTCCTCTCCTTGCTCCCAGCCTTCCCCACACTCCTCCCTACTTCTCTCCCTGCCGCATCCGCGCCCATATCAAACATCCCAGGACCGGTTGCAAGCACCACAGCAGGAGACTCTAACTCCTCCCGGTCTGGGAAACCAGAGCCAAGGTTATACCCAGAGGGGAGACTTGATTCTTCTCCCGCCATACCCATCCCCGGCCCTCCCCCCTCATCCACCACAGGAACCACCGGCACTCCAGCCCTCATTGCCGCGCCCAACCCCCCTCTACCACCCCCAACCGCTCCCAACCCTCCAGCACCCGCATCTGAAGTCAAGGGCTCATCCCCTGCCCCGGTTCCAGTCAGTTTCACCACCGTCCCCCCTAGAACCAGCACCCCTGCTGCCACCCCTCCTCTGGCCCTCCTCTCCTCCTCCTCCGTCCGCCATTCCATAGCAGAGGAATCGCTCTCATGACCTCCGTACCGCTCTCCACCGTACCTCTCTTGGCCCATCTCCTGCTGCCGCAGCCGCGCCCGCCGCTCCCTCCGCTCGCGCTTTCCGAGCCGCTGTCCCTCCGCCACGGCTTCAGCTGCTATGGGATCAGCAGCCAACGCCAAGGGCGCATCGTCATCATCACTATCATCGTCACTATCCTCCTCCTCCTCCTCCTCCTCGTTTCTACCCACCTCTCCTGTCATTCCAGCAGCAAGTGAGCCTGAGAGAAGCACAGCTTTCCCTTCTGGAAGCGGCTCCATAGCGGGTCTCCTGCTCTCCCTTGCCTCCTCCCCACCGTCCTTCTCCTGCTCGTCCCCTTTCCTGACTTCCTCCTTGCCCTCAGTCCCTTCCTCCTCTTCCTCTTCCTCCTCCTGCTCCCCCTCCTCTTCCTCCTCCCGCTTCCCTTCTCCCTCCTCCTCCTCCTCCTCCTCCTCTCCATCCGAATCCCTTTCCGTTCCCACCCTAGCAGCAGCCTCCGAACCAGCTGCAGCACCAGCAACACCAGCAGCAGCAGCACCAGCACCAGCAGCCGCACCAGCAACACCAGCAGCACCAGCAACAGCAGCAGCAGCCCCAGCAGCCCCGGCAAGAGCAGCACCAGCAGCCACGGCAGCAACAGGAACCGCATCACTCACAGTGGAAGCAGAAGGTGACAGCTCACTTCCAGACACATCTCCATCCCTCCGCCTCCTTTCCTCTCGTTCCTCGCCACTCTCCTCTCTCTCCTCTCCCTCCTCTCCTCCCTCTCCCTTCTCTCCCTCCGCACCCTCCTCCCCTTTCTCGTCAGTGTACCTTTTCTCACTTCCCTCACTGCCTGTCTCCTCTCTATACCTCCTCCCTCCCTCCTTGTCTTCCTCCTCCTCCTCCTCATCCCTTTCACTCCTGTCAGACGCATCACTGCCATATTCCCTTCGCCTATATCCATCCTGCTCCTCATCCTTCTCATCCCTGCCACCACGCCTATCTCTCTCACGCTCATCCCTCTCATCACCATCACGCCTCCCACTCTCACTCCCATACCTATCATCATCATCCTCCCCACCAGAACCACCGTCCTCTCCCCCATGCCTTCCCTCATCTTCTCCTCGCCTTCTCTCCCGATTTCTATCCGCCTCGTCTTGTGTCTCAGATTCGTATTGTCTCTCCGAGTCATAAGGTTGCTCAGAGTCGTATTGTTTCTCTGACTTGTACCGTTGATCGGACCTGTACCTTTCTTCCGAGTCGTAACGATCCTCCTCCGAGTCGTTACGTCTGTCGGAGTCGTAACGCCCTTCAGAGTCGTCGTTACGTCTCCCCGATTCGTGACGTCTGTCGGAGTCGTAACGCTGGTCGGAGTCGTAACGCTGATCCGAGTCGTAACGCCTGTCTGAACCCCGAACCTCTTCCTCCTCCTCATCCTCCTCACCTTCCTCCTCTTTTTCCAGGTCCTTCCTTCGCTCCCTCCGTTCCTCATCCTCCTCCTCCCCACCACTCTCCCCCCCACCAAACTCCCTCCTCCCTCTTCTCCCATCTCCCTCCCCCTCCAGATCCTCTCCCTCCCCTTCCGACCTTCCACCAGAGCCAAGTTCAGACCGAGCGTGAGGGGAAGGTTCGGCCGAGCCTGCGTCAGGTTCGGGAGTGAGGGCTGGAGACAAAGGAGAATCTGATTGACCGTCCTCCTCCTCATCTTCCTCCTCCTCTGCTCTCTCTTCCTCTTCCTCCTCTCCCACTTCTCCCTCGCTTTCACCCTCCTTCCTCTCTCCATACCTCTCTTTCTCTCTGTACTCATCCTCCTCCTCATCCTCCTCCTCCCGTTCATCTCTCTCAGACCCACCATCATCCAAGACAGCAAAGGCAGTGGCAGCAGCGGCAGTCGAATCTAGTGCTACCTCTGACCCTTCCTCTGATCTCGCCTCTTCCTCCTCCTCCTCCTCATCCTCCTCCTCATCCTCCTCCTCCTCCTCCTCCTCCCTGTCATCTCTCTCAGAACCAGCACCATCCAAGACAGCAGCGGCAGCGGCAGCAGCACCTGCAACGGCAGCAGTAGCAGCCACGGCAACGGCAGCAGTGGCAGCAGCGGCCGAATCCCCTCCTTCCTCTGAGCCCCTTTCTGATCTTGCATCATCGCCTGATTCACGCTCCTCCACACTCCCTTCCTCCCCTTCCTCCTCTTCCTCCCCTTCCTCCGCCTCCTCACTGTGACCTTCCTCCTCTTTCTCCCCTTCCTCCCCCTCCTTCTCACTGAGACCTTCCTCCTCCATACCTGCAGTGCTGTCTGCTGCCTCTTCTCCCCTTCTCCCCTCGCTCTCCTCTTTATCACTCTCTCCCAATTTGTCCTCATCTCTCTCGCTCTCATCTCTCTCACTCTCTCCTCTGTCACTTCCCCCCCCCTCACTCTCTCCTCTTTCACTCTCCTTCATCTCACTCTCCCTCTCCACCATCGTTTCCATCCCCTCATCCGACCTGCCATCTCCAATCCATTCCTCCCCTTCCACCTCTCCTTCTACTCCTTTCCCTTCCCTCACCTCGTCTCCTTCCTCCTCCACCTCCTCGCCCTCCTCGCTCTCCTCGTCGCTCTCCATCCCATCCTTTCTCTCCTCCCTCTCCTCTCTCTCCTCCCTCTCCTCCTTCTCCTCCGCATCCCCCATCTCCTCCCTCACCTCCTCATCATCACCCTCCCTCTCGCCCCTCTCCTCCCTCTCCTCTCCCTCCTCACCCTCCTCCTCCACCTTCTCACCAGCAGCCCACCCGCCCTTCCTCCCCTCCTCTCCGCCCTCCCCACTCCACCCCACACCAAACCCAAACCCCTCCCCAGCCACACGATACGTGGCCAAGCGTGCCCGGGGGGAAATGGGGGAAAGAAGGGGGGGGCGCTGGGGCGGGGGGGGAGGGGGGTGGCGCGGGGAGAGCGCCAGAGAGGCTCTGGGGGAGAGGGAGAGGGGGGCGTGGGGGGAAAGGGTGAGGGGAGCATGGGGGCCCCGGTGGGGTAGGGTGAGGGAGACTTGGGGAGATGGTCTATGGGGAGCAAAGGTGAAACCAGACGGATCAGAACCAGCAGCAGTAACGCCAGCACCATCGTCAGCAGCAGCAGCAGCACCCTCACCAACACCACCAGCACCAGCAGCATCAGGAGCAGCGGCGACAGCGGCGGCGGCGGCGGCGGCGGCAGCAGCAGCACCAGCAGCAGCGGAGCCTAGCCCCCAGTGCCTAGATGGGGCGAGGGGAGACTGTGGGCGGAAGCAGCCTCATGGGGGGAGTGGGGGCTCCAACTGGCACTGCGGGGGGAGCGAGCAGTGAGCGCGATGGCCACAGGGGAATCAGCTTCTAAATCTGCTCCCTCTGCTCCCTCTGCTTCCCCTGCTCCCTCTGCTCCTTCTGCTCCTTCTGCTCCCTCTGCTTCCTGTGCTTCTGAATCACTCATCTCTTTCCCCTGGGTCACAGAGAAAACAACCTCATCCTCTTCCCCTCCTCCTCCTTCCTCCACTTCTTCCTCTTGTTCTTCCACTTCATTATTCACGCTCTCCCCTTCACTCTCCACATCCTCCCTCTCTCGCTCCTCCATCTCTATCTCCTCCTCATCCTCATCCTCCTCCTCCTCCTTCTCCTCCTCCTCCCCTTCAGATAGAGCCCATTCTGTCGCACTGCCACCCACTTCCTCCCCCACTTCTCCCTCCCTCTCCTCCTCCTCCTCATCTCTCCTATCCCCATCCCCATCCCCGTGCCTTCCCGCTGCTGCCTTAGCAGCAGCCACCGCTGCTGCCAAACCTGCTGCCGAAGCTGCTGCTGCCGAAGCTGCTGAAACAGCAGCTAACGCCTCCCTTTCCTCCTCGTCCTCCTCCCACTCTTCCCCTCTTCCTTCCCACTCACCCTCACTGCTCTCCTCCCCTCCCTCACTATCAATATCCTCCATCTCCTCCCCACTCTCTCCTTCCTCCCTCACTCTCTCCTCCTCTCCGTCTAACCTCTCCTCTTCTCCCAGTACTCTCTCTCCTTCTCCCTGCCAAGCTTTTTCTCCTTCCTCATCAAACCTACCCTCCCCATCTTCAGATCTACCTTCCCCATCTTCAGATTTATTTTCCTCATCCTCAGATCTACCTTCCCAGTCCTCAGACCTCCCTTCCCCATCCTCAGATCTACCTTCCTCAGAACCACCTGCCTCTGACACCCGTTCCGAAATCCTACCATCAGCCAAGCGCCCCTCCTCCAAATCCTCCTCATCTTCCTTCGCAGATACCACCTCCCCTTCATTGTCAATGCCTGATTCCGCCGCACCCTCCTCCCGTTTCACAGATAACACCTCCCCAAGATCAGCCTGTCCAGTCGCAACCTCCTCCTCGTCCTTCTCTTCATCACTGTCTGTCGCCCTGCCCCTTTCTTCCTCTTCCACCTCCTCCTCTTCTTCCTCCTCTTCCACCTCCTCCCCTTCTCCTTTCGCCACACTCCGTTCCTCCCCTTCTCCCTCACTCTCCTCACTCTTAAGATCTTCCCTCTCTTGACCCTCCTCCATATAATCCCTCTCCTTCCCAGAATCCCTCTCCTCTCTCTCGTCCATCTCCTCCATCTCCTCCTCCTCCCTCTCCATCCCTCCACCTCCTTGTCTCTCACTCTCTTCACCCACATCCATCTCATCACCCTCACTCTCCTCCCTCTCACTCTCCTCCCTCCTACTCTCCTCCCCTTCAACCTCCCCCTCACCCTCCCCCTCACTCTCCTCTCCATCCCTCGGCCTATTCTCAAACAGCCCTTCTCCACTGTCCCTCGACACATCACTCCGCTTATCATCATCAATTAACCTGCCCTCCTCATTATTCTCATACTCCTCTCTATCATCCCTGTACTCTTTATAACGCTCCTCCTTATAATCCCCTTCTCTGTGCTCCTCCTCCTCTTCCTCCTCCTCCTCATCTTCAACCATCTGGTTCTGATGGTACCTGTGTCGCCTCTCCCTCCCCACCCCCCCCTCACTATCTTCCTCCTCGCTCTCCTCCCTCTCACTTCCCTCCCTCTCACTCCCCTCTCCCTTATCCTCTTCCCCCTCACTCGCCTCCCTCTCACTCTCCTCTCCCTCACTTCCCCCCACCATAACACCACCCTTCACTGCCTCTGCCCTCCTCTCTTCCTCCCTTTCCTCCTCCCCTTTCTCCTTCTCCCAATCCCGCTCACTACCGGACTCCTCCCCACCAACCTCCTCATCCTCCTCACGCCCCTCCTTTAACTCTCTCTCCTGAAGCTCCCTATCACCCCTCTCCTCCTCCTGCCCCTCCCTCTCCTCCTGCTCCTCCCTCTCCTGCTTCCCAAGCTCATTCTCGTCAAAAGCAGACTCGATAAGAGCAACTGACGCATCGCCTTGCACAGGATACACTCCCTCTCCATCCGCTCCTAGAGAAGCTCCCACTGCCAGCCCCACCCCAACAAGGCCAGCAGAAACGGCGGCCACAGCAGAAGAGGCGGCCACAGCAACAGCAACATCGTCATCACTATCACTCCCATCATCACCACCGTCCCTTTGGTCCTTTTGAGACGTCTCAAAAGTGGTCCCATCGCTCTCGCTCATACCCCCAGCTCCAGCATTGGCATCACTATCACTCCCATCGCTCTCACTCATACCCCCACCCCCAACATCACCACCGTCCCTGGTCCTTTTGAGACGTCTCAAAAGTAGTCCCAGCGCTCTCGCTCATTACCCCAGCTCCAGCATCACCACTGTCCCTTTGCTCCCTTGGCCTGTCACCATCCTCATCCCCCATTGCCTCTTCCCTCAACTCGTCCTCACTCAATTCTTCCTCTTGCTCATAGAGTCCCTGCTCCTGCTCCTCCTGCTCCTCCTGCTCTCCCCCAAACCCTTCTCCTTTCACTTCCTCACCTCCCTCACCTCTCGGCTCCTCCTCTTCTTCGTCGCTCTCCATCCTCCCCTCATCTTCCAAACCTCTTTCTTTCTCCGAACCTGTTTCCGAGCCAGTTTCTGAACCTTCTTCAAAGCCTCTTTCCGAACCTCGCTCCGAGCCTTGGTATTCGTCCCTATCCAAATCCCCTTCTTCTGGTGGTGGAGCCACCGCTGCTACCACTGCAACCACCACATCATCGTCATCATCATCATCACTCCCACTCTCTCTCTCCTCTTCCCCCACTTCCTCCCCATCCTTATCATTACCCTCTTCAAATTTCCCTATCCCTGTTATCCCCACACCCATTCTTCCCTCCATTTCCATTTCCATTCCCTCCTCCATCTCACCCTCACTCCCCCTCTCACTTCCCTCCTCACTCCCCCTCGCACTCCCCTCCTCCCTCCCATCCTCACTTCCCTCCTCGCTCCGAGCATGCATCTTGGCCCATTGTCTCTCCCTCTCCTCCTCCTCACTCCCTCAGACTCTCCCACTGCCTCTCCCTCTCCTCCTCTTCTTCTCCACCTCTAGACACCACACTCCCTCTCTCACTTCCCTCCTCACTCCCCCTCTCATCCTCGTACCTCCCCTCCCTCTCCCCCTCCAACCCATCCCACCCTTCTCTCCTCCCACTCCCTGAAAACTCCCCTCTCCAACTCCCCTGCGGCGACAATTCAGGTGTCAAAATCCCCTCCCTCTCCCCCTTCTCTTTCCAACTTCCCTGTGGCGATAACTCAGGAGTCAAAACCCCCTCCCTCTCCCCCTCCTCTTTCCAACTTCCCTGTGGCGATAAATCAGGTGTCAAAACCCCTTCCCTTTCCCCCTCCTCTTTCCAACTCCCCTGTGGCGATAACTCAGGAGTCAAAATCACCTCTCTCTCCCCCTCGTCTCTCCAGCTTCCCTGTGGCGATAACTCAGGAGTCAAAATCACCTCTCTCTCCCCCTCGTCTCTCCAGCTTCCCTGTGGCGATAACTCAGGTGTCAAAATCACCTCTCTCTCCCCCTCGTCTTTCCAGCTTCCCTGTGGCGATATCTCAGGAGTCAAAATCACCTCTCTCTCCCCCTCGTCTCTCCAGCTTCCCTGGGGTGATAGATCAGGTGTTAAATCCCCCTCCCTCTGAGGCACCTCAAAAACAGACCCTTCCCCTTCCGACCCTTCCCCTCTCTCGCTCCCTGACATTTCGCCCCTCCAACTGCCCTGGGGGGTTAGCACAGGTGTCAAAACCCCCTCCCCCTCTTCCTCCCTCTCCCTACCCCTCTCTGCCTCTTCTCTCCAGTCCCCGCTTCCTTGAGGGGTAATCTCCCCTTTACCCCTCCAAACGGGGGTAAGTTCCCCTTCGCCCCCCCAGCTGCCCAGGGGAGTTAACGCGTCATCACCCCTGAAACTACCCAGGGGGGTGACGTCATCACCCCTCCAGCTCCCCTGGGGTGTAAGCTCTGGAGTCAAAACACCCGCCGAACCACGGTCACTGCCAAGCCTGCGACCCTCCGAACCTTCCGCCGAGCCTCTGTCCGAACCTGACCACTCCTCATGCTCCCGATGCTCACTATGGTCGTCACTATGCACGCTATCCCTCCCATCTCCCTCCTCATCCTCCCCCTCTGTTTCATCATTAGGCCTACCCACATCCACCACCAGTCCTGACCCTCTTCGGCCAACCAGACCTGAACCCAATCGGCCACTCAGGCCTCCCACCAGACCTGAACCTAATCGGCCACTCAGGCCCCCCATCAGCCCCATCCTCTTGCTCTCCTCGCTCCGCTTCCCCTCCTCGCCTTCCTCCCCATCCTCCCTCTCAACCGCACTCAACCCCCTCCGCTGCTCCCCATCCCCTTCCTCTTCCGAACCTCCCGCCTCCTCTGCTGCCGCTGCAAACTTGACCTCCCTTTCATCCTCCGACCCCCTTCCATCTTCCGAACCCCTTTCACTCTCCCTATCCTCATCCGAACCTCTCTCCTCATCTGAGCCCCTCCCATCTTCCAATCCTCTCTCCTCATCTGAACCCCTCTCCTCATCAGATTCCCTCTTTGCTGCCCATTCCTTCCACTCTTGGTCTGCCCTCTCCTCTATCTCCCCCTCCTCCCCACTCAACTCGCCTCCTTCCTCACCACTCCCCCTCTCACTCCTTTCCTCCTCGCCCCTCTCACTCCTCTGCTCACTCCCATCCTCACTACCACTGTACCTCTCCCACCTCTCCTCTCCCCTTCTCCACCTCCCATCCCGGCTATCAGGCCTCCCATCTCTGCTTATCGGTCTTCCCTCCTCATCATAATCCCCATCCCTCCCGTAACTGCTATCAGGCCTCCCATCCCTACTTATCGGTCTTCCCTCCTCATCATATTCGTCAGGCCTCCCATCCCGGCTATCAGGTCTCCCATCTCTAGTTATCGGCCTCCTACCATCTCGGCTTATAGGCCTCCCCTCCCCATCATACTCTTGATCATATTCCGAACCAGACCAGCGTCCCGAGCCTCGCTCCGAGCCTCGTTCCGAACTAGTCCAGTCGCCCGAGCCTCGCCTGTGATGATTCAGGCCTCCTGCCGAGCCTTCTGACCTGTGGTCAGACTCTTGTTCGGATTCGCTGTGCATCTCACTCCGTCTCTCACTCCCTTGCTCACTTCCCTCCTCACTCCCTCTCACACTCCCTTCCTCCCTCTCATCCTCTCCCCCAACTTTCTCCCGATCTATACCAGAAACTTCCATCCCTCCCTCTTCTCCCTCCCCACCCTCCCCTACCTCTTCACCCTTCTCACCTTCCTCCGGACCTGAAACTTCCGAACCAGAACCAGCCCCGGCTTCCGAACCAGAGTCCCCTCCCTCCTCTCCAACACCCTCCTCCTCCCCCTCCCTTTCCTGCTTCACTCTCTCCTCGTCTCTCCCAGCCTCCCTCATTGTCATGTCAACGCTTCCGAAGCTCTGCAAAGGTGCTGCTTCCACCGACTCTGCTGCCGAGCCTGCTGCCGAGCCTGTAACCAGACCTGCATCCCCAACCTGGCCATGCTTCCGAAGCTGCCACTGATCTGCTGCCGAACCATCGTGCAGCTTGGTCCGGCGAGACGGGGACGCACCAACCTCCTCATCCAAGTCACCTGCCCCAAACTGCCCGGGCGATCCGGGCAGCCGCCCAAATCTTTCTCCCAGCTTCCTCTTGCCGCCCACTCCGGACCCCTCACTCTCCCCTCCACTCACACTCCTCTCATCCCCATGCTCCTCCTCGTCTTCCATCCTCTCCCTTCTCTCCTCATCATCACTATCGCTCGAATCAACCACAGCTGCAGCTGCCATTACATCCCTGTTTCCCATTTCTCCTCCTCCCACTTCTCCTCCCACGTCTCCTCCCACCTCTCTCTTCCCGATTCCCTCATCCTCTTCTTTCTCCTCAAACCCCGCGGCTCCCACAGCAGCAACAGCAGCCGCAGCAACAGCACCCATGCCTGTAATCACACCCGCTCCAGTCACACCCATACCCCCTCCCCTCACCGCCCCGCCCCCTCCTCCCCCTCCCCCATCTTCCTCCGCCTCTACATCAGCCTCCTGCCTGCTGCTAACCCTCTTGAAGCTCCTTCGTCCAAAGCTCCCCCACGGGCTCTTCTTTGCTCCTCCAGGGGGTGTAGGCACAAGGGGAACTAACACCTCCTCTCCCACCCCCACACTCACTCGCTTCGGCCCCTCCTCTCCCACTCCCACACTCCCTCCTCCTGCCCCTGCCCCTGCCCCGTCCTCACCCCTCCACATCTCCACTCCCCTTTCAGCCCCCTCCTCCACCACCGTTCCTAACCCTGCTCCCCCGCTCCCCCCTCCGGACTCGCTCCTTCTATCCCTCGTAGGCGGAAACGGCCTAGGAGACATTGACACTCCCGCCACTACCCCCACTAACCCCACTGCCGCTGCTGCTGCTGCGCCAGCAAATGCAGCAGGAGAGGCGGCAGGAGAAGGACCAGCAGACCCAGGGGAGGCAGACCCGGTGGAGGTAGATCTGAGGAAGCTAGACCCGCCCCTGGCACCGCCCACACTGCCACTAGGGGACGGAGCAACCGGCAGGGGCGGCGGCGCATGCTTCGTTGGGCTGGCATTGGCTTGTCTCATTATGGGGAGGGTCGGCGCGCGGCCGTACTGGGCTAAGGCGTCATCGATTTCCATTGATCCTCCAGGCACGCGGTCTAGGCCCGGGTCACTGTCTGTGTGTGTGAATGCACGCCCTGTCACGCCCCTTCCTACCCCTCGCCCGCGCCCCCTCCCTACTCCTCCTGCTCCTACTGTTCCTCCTGCTCCTACTGCTCCTCCTCCTGCTCCTCCTGCTCCTGGTGAAGTTGTTTCTAGGGTTAATTCCCCGTCGGCCCCTCTTCCACCCCGTCCTATTCCTCTCCCCCTCCCACCTCTCCCCAGACCTCTGCCTGTAAGCCCCCGGCCGCCCATCACCCCCCCTTCTCCCGCCCTCCCCCTCCCCCTCCCTCGCCCCTCCGCCCCTTCCCCCCGACCCCTCCCCTCCATCCCTTCCCCCCGTCCTCTTCCCCGCCCCTCCACCCCCTCCCCTCTCCCCCGCCCCCTTCCCCTGCCTCTCCCCACAACTCCCCCGCTTTCTCCCTCCAACCCTCTCCCCCGCCCCCTCCCTCTCCCCCTCCCCCTCCCTCTACCCACCCCTTCCCCTGCCTCCTCCCCTCCACTCTCCCCTTCCCCATCGTCACCAGCGGGGGTTACCCCCCTCCCCCTCCCCCTCCCCACGCCCCGCCCGCGTCCCCTCCCCCTGCCTTCCCGCCCACCCCCCCCCTCTACCCCCCTCCCTCTCCCCCTCCCCCTCCCCCGCCCCCTGCCCACACCGACAGAATCAGCACCAGCAGAAGCAGAATCCAATCTTTCTTCCCCATAACCCTCGTTGTCTGATAAAGACCTGTCACTTCCACTCTCCCTCTCGCTCCCACTCCTGCTCTGGCCCTCACTGCGATTCTCCCCTTCACTCTCACTCCCACTCGCACTCCCACTCTCTCCCCCCTCTTTCCCAAACCTCCCTCTTTCTCTCCCCATCCCCTCCTCCTCCCCGTCTCTCTCCCCTTCCCCGCTCATCTCCTCCCCCTCACTGCTCCCCTCCCTTTCCTCCGTTGCTGCTGATGAAGCATCACCCTCCTCCTCCTCCTCCTCGCTCCTCTCGCTGCCACTCCTGCTACTTCCGCCACTCCCCTTATCCCCATCCCTATAACCCACACCCGTGCCTCTCTTCTCCTCTTCCTCCCCCTCCTCCTCATCCTCATCATCCTCCTCTTCCTCATCTTCCATTTCCCCTTCCCCAAACGAATCGCGTGAAGGCACCTTAAAACCGCCACTACCACCACCAGCAGCACCACCAGCAACCCCTCTCCCTCGTCCCACGCCCATCCCGAACCTACCACCACCGAATCCAACCGAACCTCGCCCATGCCCCACCCCTGTCTCACCCAACCCCATCGCTCCCCCTCCCCTAACACCCACCCCCAACCCCTTGAAACGAATTCACCCGATTCGCAAGCGGCGAAGCTGCAAACGCACTCCCACTCCCACCCCTTGCATCCACATTAAACGAATTCACCCGGTTGGCGAGAGGAGACGAGGGGAACCCACCCCCTGTCCCAGGCCTTGCGTCCACATTAAACGAATTTACCCGCCCTGCTGCCATAGCATGGGGGGATGCCAATCCACTAGCCGGATGCGAGAAGGAATTGACTCTGTTCGCTGTTGCTGCTGCCCGGGGGCTGCTGCTAACCGCTCGCATTTGAAACGAGTTAACTCGTGCGGCTAGTAGCCGGTCTCGCTCCGACATGTGAGGGTGCGGGTGAGGCGGAGGGGTCGGGGTTAGAGGCACACCGTCACCCTGCAAACGGTGTCCAGAGAACGAGTTTACCCGGTTGGTCGGTAGCTTCTGGGGCGGCTCGGAAAAGACGGAGAACGAGTTGACGCGGCCGGCGGCGGGCGGCATCGGACGGATGAAACCGGCTGCGCCCGGGCGGCTGAGGGCGGCAACTCTCGGACTACCCAGCCCACCGGACCCTGTAAGCGGCTTGTGGGGAACATCGAAATGCTGCGATCTTAAAGCCTTGATTGCCGCTGGGATGTGCGGCAAATCGTGCTTCCCGCTCCCACCCGCACCACCACCAGCACCGCCACTGCCCCCCAAACTGCCAAAGCTGCTGTTAATGCTTTGGCTTGACAGGTTCACCATGGCTATAGGAATATCGTCATCATCATCATCGTCATCATCCTCATCCTCATCATCCTCCTCTATCTCTTCACCGGACCCTGATAGACTGTCAGGAGTAACAGACCCAGCCTCTTCTGGCAAACCAGCGTCGTCCTGAGAATCACTCTCCCCTTGCGAATCCCCCTCTTGAAAATCTCCCTCTTGAGAGCCCTCATCTTGGGAATTCATCCCTTGGGAATCCCCCTCCCCGAACGAATCTTCTTCTCCTTGGGAATCCCCCAAGCCTTCCCCATCCAGGTCCGGAGCTCGTCCCGGCTGCGCAATCGGCACCACATCGCTATCCGAACCTGACCCGTAGTCTCCCGAACCTCCAGCTTCGGCAAGCGGAATATCCTCGTCATCATCATCGTCATCATCATCATCATCATCGAAAACCCCCTCCTCCTGCTCCGAAAACCCCATGCCTGGACCCGGGTACGCGCCAACCCCGCTCCGTGCCGAACCTCCGACGGAGCCTCGGAAAGACCCCGAGTCAGCAAGCGAGCCTCGGAAGGAGCCTCGGGCCGAGCCAGCGGCGCTCATACCATCGTGTATAATCACACTGCCCGTGTCTCCCCGCGCCCCATCCTCATCCTCCTCCCCTTCCCCCTCCTCATTTTCTTCCGACCCTGAATGATACTCCCTTCCAGGTTCGGCCAAGGGAATATCATCATCATCATCATCATCATCATCATCATCATCATCATCATCAAACGAGCCTTGATCCGAGTCTCCCCTTTCTCCTCCTAACTCACCCATTCCTCTCCCTTGCCTTTCCCCAACCTTCATCCCCCCAACCCCCACCCGCCCTCCCCCCACTCCCCCCTCAACATCACTCCCACTCAACCCTTCCTCCCCCTCCCTCATCTTCTCATCCTCTGTCCAATCCCCAGACCCCTCCCTTCCCTCCCTTCCTACACCCATCTGCTTTTCCTCCCCATCACTCATCGACATATCATCCTCCTCCCCCTCCCCTTCCGAACCCTCCCCCACCCTTCCGCCTCTCCCATTCCGCCCTCTCATATCCCCCCTGCTAGCACCACCCCTCTCACTCCCACTCCCCATCTCACTCCCACTCTCCACCTCACTCCCACCCTCCTCCTCCCCCCCATACACCACCTTCCCTCCTCCTTCTTGGAAGCTCACTCTTCCAGCGCCCAGCAACCTCCCCGTACCCCTACCCTCCCCTCCTCTCTCTTCCTCCTCTAATTCCTCCTCATCCTCCTCTTCCACTACCTCTAGCCCTCGATCCTCCTCCCCCCACATCCTCCCCACTCCGCCTTCCTCTCGCCCGTACCCCTCCTCCTCTGCGTCCATATCACCCTCCTCTTCATCAAGCCTCCCCTCCTCATCCATATCATCAACTTCCATTCCCATCCTCCCTCCTCCTCCTCCTTTCACTCCTCTTCCTCCTCCTCCTCCTCCTGCTCCTGCTCCTGCTCCTCCCCTTCCTCCTCCCCTCTCGTCCTCCTCCTCACTCTCCCCATAGCTATCCCCCTCCTCCCCTTCCTCGTCCCACGACTCACTCCCTCTACTCCCCCCCCTCTCATGTCTATTCCCATCCATCCCAACCCTTCCTCCCCCACTCACCCCCCTTCTCCCCTCATAAACCTCCTCCTCCTCCTCGTGACCCTCTATTACACTCTCTTCCTCACTCCCACTCCCACTCCCGCTCCCACTCTCGCTTCCCCCACCTCTCCCCGCGCCTCTCCTCCCCCTCCTGAAACTCCCATCGCTCCCGCTTCCCCTCTCACTTCCCCTCTCACTTCCCCTCTCCCTCGCTCCCTCACTCGCTCCCTCACTCGCTCCCTCACTCGCCTCGCCCTCGTTCTCGAGGTGCCCATCAACTGCCGCCATAAGAACGTCGAAATAAGCCACCACAGACTCGGCGATTTCCTCGCACCCAAAAGCTGCAGCGCATCGTCCAGATCCGCCGCCCCTGGGATGCCTGTGGGAGGGGCGGGAGGGGTGGGGGTGGTGGTGGGGTGGGAGGGGCGGGTGGGAGGGAGATGACTTTTGAGTCAGCACAACTCACTCGCGCCCTCACTGGCGGCCTCACTGGCCTCGCTCGCTCCCTCACTGGCCCCGCCCTCTTTCTCGAGGTGCCCATCCACGGCCGCCATGAGCACATCGAAGTAAGCCACCACAGATTCGGCGATTTCCTCGCACCCAAACTGCTGCAGCGCATCGTCCAGATCCGCCGCCCCTGGGATGCCTGTGGGAGGGGAGAAACGGAGAGATGGGGAACGCAACAGCAATTGGATGATTTAAACTGCTGCGGCGCATCGTCCAGATCCGCTGCCCCTGGGATGCCTGTAGAGAAAATAAAGGAGAGGGGGGGGGGGGGGAGGGGGGGGAAGAGGGGGGAGAGGGAGGGGGGAGAGGGGCGGGCGGCAAACGGGCAAAACATGGGGCACGCAGCAGCACCCGATTCGGTCTCGTATCCGTGTTGCAAGGACACTCGGCCTTGAGTCCGCGCTACAAGCAGATTCAGTTTCGCATCCACGCTACAAGCAGACTCAGTCTTGCATCCGCGCTACAAGCTGACTCACCTTTAGAAGCAAGATCCGCTACAAGCTCTTCAACCGCATAGGCTGTATCGTCATCGTCCACCAGCGCATCCACTGCTGGGTCCTGCACGAATTGCTGTTTGGGGAGGGGGAGGGGGACATCAACATGGGGGAAAAACATAAACTTGGGAGGAGAAAACATGCATGAGGATATCACAACATTCTACAGCATGCATGAAAACACCTCAGAACGCCTCATCACCAGAGCATCCACAGCTGGGTCCTGCACGAATTGCTGTTTGGGGAAGTAGCATGGGGCGGGAAAATGTCACAGGGGAGAAAACAGACATGTGGTAATTTGAAACATTCTACAGCATGCATGAAAACACCTCAGAACGCCTCATCGTCCACCAGAGCATCCACTGCTGGGTCCTGCACGAATTGCTGTTCGGGAAAGCAGCATGGGGCGGGAAAAGAACACCAGGGGGGAAACAGGCATGTGGTAATTTGAAACATTCCAGAACATGCATGAAAACAGCTCAGAATGAGGCATCATAGCCCACCAAAGCATCCACATGCATGTACAGCGCGAAGGCGAAGCATGAAAGCGGCACGAGAACGGGGGGGGGGGGGGGTGGGGGGGGGGAAGGAACGTAGGGTCAAAAGCTCAGAGCGAGAAGGGTGTGGGAAAAAAAAAAAGGAAACAAACAAAAAAGGAAACAAACGAAGGGAGCAACGGACCTTAGCAAGGGAGGAAGCAACGGAGAAGGACTCCTCCACCAGCGGTAGCAGCTGCCCCATGCGCTTCTCCAGCTCGCGCTCCACCCATGGCTGGCGCACAGGGGGGGAGAGAATGAGGGGAAAAGGAAGGCGGAAGAGACGGGGAAAGAGAAGATGATTAGGCGGGAAGGGGGGACACCCCAGCGGTAGCAGCTGCCCCATGCGCTTCTCCAGCTCGCGCTCCACCCATGGCTGGCGCACGGGGGGGGGGAGAGAATGAGGGGAGGAGGGCGGAAGGCAGGAACGGAAGAAGAGAAGAGGATCACGGGGAGAGAAAAGAACTCCCCAGCAGCAGCAGCTGCCCCGTGCGCTTCTCCAGCTCGCGCTCCCCCCATGGCTGGCGCACGGGGGACAGAGTGGGAAGGTGGAAAGCGGTGAGAAGTGAGCCGGAGGGAAAGAGAAGGGGATTACCAGGGAAAATATGAACCCGAGCAGCAGGTGTACTTTTCAAACCAAGTGATGTCGCTCTCAACCTAACAGCAGATTATCTCCCCTCCGGCGACCCGGGTGGGAGTTGTGAGTCAATGACATAACTGTCATTTTCCTTTTATCGTCTCAAAGAATCAGTTGTTTACAAGTCAACAAACCACACGTGACGCAGCTCTCAATCCGCGGTTGACTCACCTCCGGCGCGCCGGGGAGACCTCCACCGCCGTTATTCATGGCCGTACTCTCGCGGTCCGAGGAGAAGGAAAAGAAGAACTACGAGACGTTATTCATAATACGTGTAGCACCGTCCTCCCTACCAGCTAACTACTTATTTTTTCGAGCAGGCTTGTCTTAGCAACACGATCACTCCTGCAGGGATGGTGACATTAAATAACCAGGTAGAAACTTGTTAGCGGCCCGTTTGGAAAGCTGTATTAAACTGTTAAGCGGTAACTTTAACCGAGATGCGTGTGGCGAAATGCGCGAGGTGGTATGTGGCGCGTGTCGAAATAAGTAAGACGTAATGGCGTAAACTGTGTGCTAGGATGGATCGACCAATGGCGGGATAAAAAACGATTCACCACAAATATCTCACTGAACCGAAATACCTAACTTTACCGACATGAATAATACAGGTTAATTGACGCCTGCCTGTCCTCTCTACAACATTGGACACTCCTTCGACGCTTGGTTCTGTCCAAAAGCTATTCTGTAACCGGCAAAGTATAACTTAACGCAACCCTAATCGTTCATAACCTGTACGTTAATCGCTCCAGCTAAGCTAGCTCTATCCTCCATCGTCTTCCACCTTTCCCATTGTCAAGTCAACTAGGCCTTCCTTACGACCTGGAAAAGGGCGCAAAGCAACTGCAACCTACTCAAGAGGGAAACACAATCCACTCGCTTGCTTCCCATACTATCGACTTGTCCGTCTCCTCGAGGCTGGCTTTTGAGAGGTTAGGTCAGGAAGAGGACTCTCGGGGTTGACGAGAAAGAACTCGAGAAAACAGGTCTCGAGAAAACTGTTCCCGAGAAAGGACTCGGGGTATTCGTGCTCCCGAGAAACAATTGCCTTGATTGCTCGCACCTAACCCTCAATACAATCATATTTTTCTTGACCAAGAAGCTGCCCACGTTACTGTACACTCTGGTTTTCAGCCACCCTTGGGTTGGACCTCACTTTTGCTGCCCAGGACCACACTCTTCGTTTGAGGAACGCCTCGTTCTTGCGCGATTCGGAGCTGAACCTGCGAAAGAAAACCGAGGCGAAATGCGAACAAGGATGCACTCGGTGGTTGGGGTTCCGCCAACGCCGATCTCTTGGAGGACAACTTCGTTATGGTAAAGGACGAGCGACGATAGAACTCAATTTTGGTGTTCCAGCAAATAAACCCTTACACTGCTAGTATGTGACCCAGATCTTACAGGGGTCTAGCCGACAAATTAATATGTTCAAGAAGAATGAGATTATTACCATTTCCCATATTTTGATTTATGAAAACTTTAAGTACAAGAATTATGCGTTTGCAGTTCGCATAATGTACAGTGAGATTAGATTGCTATGAAAAAACTCGGTATTGCAAAGTCGAAAGCTTCGGCAACGAGTGATTCGTGTTTCAGCACGAACTGATGGGGGCTTTATAATGTGGATGACCACCACCACACCCAACACATACATTGCTGGTTGCCTATTGGACAGTGGGGTTGAAGGTTGGGTGCACTCATCATGATGATCTCTCTTCCCGCCAAAGAGATTTACTCAGCTGGTGGTAACAGCAGTTCACCGACAACAAACATTTTCGCGAGAGCTCCCTGGACTCGCGAATTCGTGAACCCTTCCAGAAGCATCCATTTCTCTACACCAAACAGCATCCTCCTCCTCCATTTCTTTATTTTCCTCCCGTAAACACAACCACTACACTTCCATTCCAAGCATCCCCCCCCTCGCCAGGCTCCCGAAACCCCGTGACACTCCCAAGGTCCCACCACACCACCACCCACAGGACCTCCCTGTTCTGGAATCTGGATTCCCCAGCCAGATCTGCTCCATCTCCAACGTCTCTTTTTCGTAACTCTGCTGGCAGATCTGGTCTAGGGTTTCTCCAGACCAAGCCTTCGACTGGTAGCCGTAACATTGGCATCTATCTATCCCATGCGTATCTGGCATCTGTTATAAGCGTATAAGTGCTATTGTGCAGTTTTAGAGCGTACCCCGTCTTGCCATGCTCTGCAAGCTCCGTAGCGATCCACATTCGGTCGTCAATTTCCGTCCCTTCAGCGTTCTTCGTTTCGCGCGGCTTTTAGCCGGGAATGGCCAATCGCAATAGGTTCACCAGCGTTAACCTTAACAACTCCTTCGGAAAGCAAAGCTCGAGTCAGTCACAAAGCGGAAGCAGCCATGGCAGCGGGAAATTCGGAAAATCTTCATCTTCTGGTGGAATGGTCGTCTTGGGGAAAACAGGACCAGGGTCAACATCGATGGGATCTGCGCATAAGTCACGGCTAGTCGTTCCTAAACCGGTAAACTTGCCGTCTTTGCGGCGAGAGCACGCAGGAAACGACCCATCCGTGTCCCTGGTTCAACCCACCGGCATTGGATCCGGCTGGCAGAAACCTGTCCTCGTTTCAGACGGATCCGCTAGTGATTCCTCGTCCACCAAACCACTGGGGTTCACGTCATCGCCCTCTGACGTCAATGCTGCTTTTGGACAGCACGGGTTTCAATCTTCCGCGATTTCCGCAGCAGATTCCGGCGATGCTGCCCGTGCCTCTCGTCCGGGGGTGTATCAACCCCCAGGAGCTAGATCCGGAATCGGAATGGCAACCGCAGCACCTTCCGCGAAACCTGCTCCTTCCGGGCGGCAGAACGAGCCATCCATTATCAGCGGGGAGGATTTCCCGTCGCTCGAAGTTGCCAAGAAGGTGATGGCGAAGGAGCACTCTCGGGGAAAGAGCCCCCAGCCGCCTGTACCCTCAGGGGGAAGCTATGGCAATAAAACGGACGCTTCAGGGGAACACGACAGCGGTCACCGAAGCAGCGTCGCAGGGCAGGAGACAGGAGCAGGGCCAGAAAGCGGGGGCAGCCGAAGCAGCAGGGGAGGTACGGGAGCTATGGGAGGTCTGGGAGGTATGGGAGGTATGGGAGGTATGGGGCGTTGGGCTGATGACGAGCCTGATCAAGAGCAGGATGATCGAGCGCCGCTTGGGAAACCTTCCTTGAGTCGAGACAGACAGGAGGAGCCGAATTTCCCTCCTCGCGGGTCCAGCGACGGCGGGCCTATGCGACCGGATCCGTTCGCCGGGCCCATGCGACCAGATCCGTTTCGCCTGCCGTCGCCGCCCCGTCGCATGTGGGCCGACGACGAGCGAGATTCGGGTCCTCCTCGCGGCGGCCCTGGTCCGAGAGGGAACGCGCCTGGTTACTATGGCGATTCCAGGGGCCCTGCTGATTCCAGAGGGCCGGTACCCGGCGGGTACTTCGACGAAAGGGGTGGGCGGGACGCAGGAGGGTTTGGGGGGCCGGGGCATTGGGACGGCCCGCCTTCTTATGGCATGGGTGCAGGGCACATGGGTCCAGGCCCGATGGGTCCAGGTTCAATGCATCCCGGCGCTATGGGCCCAGGCCCGATGGGTCCAGGCTCGATGAATCCGGGTGCGATAGGCCCAGGGCAGATGGGCAGGGGAAGGGGGTATAGAGATGGGCCTCCGGGGGGCGGTATGGGCCGTGGGGGCCGTGGTGGTGGTGGTGGTGGTGGAATTGGAGGTCCTGGGTATCAGCCTGATTTCGACCGCTTCGGCCCGGGATTTCCGGGGCGAGGAGGCGGTTTTGGCGGCGGATACGGCGGCGGATTCGGTGGCGGGTTTGGCGGTGGGCGTGGCGATCTGCATTCGCGGTCATTCGGCCCCGGGGGGGGACGTGAGCGTGGGGAGAGGTTTATGGGAGGTGACGTGTTCGGTGACGTGTCATTACCTCGGCCGGAGTTCCAGTCGCTGCCACGTGTCGGCGTGGATCCGCCTCCTAGCCTGGCTCTTCTTGCGCTTTCGCGGAAAAAGAAGGAGGACGCGGAAGCCGCCGCCGCCGCCAGCGGATTCCGGGATCTGGAGCGGGAGAGGTTCGAGGCGGAACTAGAAAGGGTTCAGAATCAGAAGGAGCAGGAGAAGCAGAGGAAAGAGGAGGAGGAGCAGCGGGCGATGGAGATGGCGCGGCAGCAGGAGGAGGAGATGGAGCGGAAGGCGCGTGAGGAGGCGGAGTTGCGCGAGCGCGCGGAGCAGGAGGCGCAGGAGGCGGAACTGCGCGCGCAGATGGAGGCGGAAGCCGCCGCGCGGAGGCTGGAGGAGGAGCGGCGGAAGGTGCAGGAGGAGAAGCAGCGGATTCGGGACGAGGAGGAGCGGCGGAAGGAAAACGCGCGGAAGAAGCTGCAGGAGCTGGAGGAGAGAATTGCGAGAAGGCGAGCGGAGGAGGAGACGAGACGAGCGGAGGGGGGAGGCGACGGGGAGGGAGACTCGAAGGAGGAGCAGGAGCAGGAGAAGGAGCAGGAGCAGGAGCAGGTAGCGGATAGCTGGGAAGACTCGGATAGGGCAGACGCCGCAGCAGAAGCGGCAGCAGCGGCGGCAGCTGGTGGTAAGGCAGGAGCGGCAGCGGGTAGGGCCGAAGGGCAGTTGTTAGGCGAAATGGGTGGCGACACGGAGGAAGTCTCGGAATCTATGAAGCAGGAGATATTGGATAAGGCGGGGGCGGAGGCTGGAAGCCTGGAGGATGGCCAGGGGAACGCAAGGCGAGGGGAAGGGAAGTCGGCGGGAGAAGGCGCGGGGTTGGGGCAAGTGACGGTGGAAGCGGAAAGCGAAGCGGGGAAGCAGCAGCGTGGGGGAGCAGAGGCGCAAAGTGAGCAGCAGGTGCAGCAGCGTGAACAGCAGACGCAGCAGCAGCAGCAGGAGGCGGCGGCGGCGGCGGCGGCGGGGGAAGGGGGGGAGCAAAACAAGGGGGGCGCGCCAGAACTTCCCCCTGGCGCGGAGTTGCGCGGAATGGACCCGTACCATGCGCCGTACCCTCCCTCTAGGCACCCCGGCGCAGGCCCGCTGCCCGGGACAGGTCCCATGCTCTCGTCCTTCGCTTATAATCAACCGCTCGCTCGCTACCCTGGATCACACATAGACTCGCACGGGTCTCAGGAGCGGTATTTAGGCGAAAGGCAGCAGGATATGTGGGGAGTGGGGGGTATGGGGGAGATGGGTGGGATTGGGCGGGATTTTGGTGGCGCGGGGGGGAATGGCGGGGAATTAGGGTTTGCGCCTTGGAAGATGCACCAGCAGTTTTTCCCCCCGGGGATGATTGGCCCCGGGGGCGGGTTCCCCGGTGCGTCGCATCTCCTGGTTCCCCCGCACGCGCCCCCGCATGCGCAGCTTCACGCGCACCCGCACCACGCGCACCCCCACCACGCGCACGCGCATCACTCCGCGCCCGGGATGCCCCTTCCGCAGCAGCACCACCTGCACGGGCAGCAGCCGCCGCTGCTGCACCGCCCCGTCACTATTTCCCCCCCGTCCTCCTCGTTCTTTGGCAATGGGGACATCACGCGCGGGTTTCACATGCTCGGGGCCGGCGGCACAGGCGGGGGCGCGCATGCCGCCATGGGGATGGGCGCGGGGGGGGTAGGGGGCGGGGGAGGGCCGTTCGCGGGCCCGCCAGGCGGAGCTCCCCCGGGTGCGCCGCACCAGTACTTTGATAAGTCTGTGGGGCCCACCCCCATGCGGAACCAGTACATTGGCGGACCAGGCCCCGTGGGGCGGTTTCCGCCAGGGAACCCCATAGGCGCGGTTGGCGCAGCTGCGGGGGGAGCGGGCGGGATGGGGCGCGCGGTGGGGGTGGTGGGGGAGCCAGGGGGACTGGGTCCCGCGGGGCTGGGGGGGAGGCAGTATCAGGAGCGCAGGGGGGATGGCCAGGGGGGGGATTACTATGGGCGGGAGGAAGGCGGACTGGGGGGCGTGGATGGGGGCGCGGGGGGAAGGGATAGGCGGTGGGGAGCGCCTGGGGATCATCTGGAGGGGCGGAGGGGGCCTTTAGGGCCGGAGGGGGGTTACTCTCAGCAGCAGCAGCAGCAGCAGCAGCGGCATTATCAGCACCCGCAGCAGCAACACCAGCAGCATCAGCAGCATCAGCAGCATCAGCAGCATCAGCAGCAGCAGCAGGGTATGGTAGCGCCACAGCAAAATCAGAATCAGCAGCAGCAGCAGCAGCAGCAGCAACAGCAGCAACAGCAGCAGCAGCAAACACAGAAGTTGCAGGGAGAAACGCCGGAGCAGCAGCGGGAGGGGGGACAGCTGACTCAGCAGCAGCAATCTACAGGGTCAATGCAAGTTAAACCTTCACCAGACGCCACGTCAGCAGACGTGGTGGACGAGCTTGGCGCGCTTCTCGCCTCGAAACTGGAGGTCGGCGCTCAGGACCAACCAAATGTAGCGGCATCAGAAATATCCCCGTCTGCCACGTCAGATGCTGGCGTCACCGAGGCTGCCACGTCATCGATCGCAGCGACTTTGCCAGGTGGCAGAACCAGCGGAATAACGCCATCCACCTCCCCCAGTCCGCACCTCCCCTCAGCCTCAGCCGCCTCTCTCGCTCCCATCGCTCCTGCAGTCTCCTCCCCTGTTTCCCGATCCCCCATTGGTCCAGACGTATCCGTGGGCCTGTCCTCTCCTTCCCAGTCCCTTCCCCAGGCCCTCGCCCAATCTCTCCCCCAAACCCTTCCCCCACCCCTCCCTCCGCATGCTGTTGACGCGTTTGGTTCTGGTTCGTCCTCATACCCGTCTGTGTCATCCTCGTTTGTGTCTGCTTCGTCATCTTCACAAGCGATTCCTTCTGTAGCACAGTCAGGAGTGGCCCCTTATATGATTCAGATTGGCTCCATGCCCATTCCTTTCAGCATGGGCTCTCTCGGACAGGATGAAAGCAATTCCGGCTCTCAGCTGCCCGTTTTCCAGTTTGGGCAGATTGGTGTGCCCGCTTCGTCTCCTTCGCCGATCCTGGACGGATCGATGGCCGAGGCTCTTTTAGGTATGGATGTGGGAGGGCATGTAGGGGCAGGCGTGGGGAATACAGCAGTAGGAGGGGTAGGCTCAGGTGTGGGCGTTTCTGCAAGCACAGCAGGGCAGCAGCGGCAGCAGCAGCAGCGGCAGTTGTCGGTAAATCAGCAGGGTGTGCGGGATTCCACTGTGACTGGAACGGGTGCCGAACCTGCTGGTGAGGCTCGGATGGATTCCCGGGCCTCCCAATCCGTGCCGCTGTACTCTGGTTCGGGTGAAGGGGGAGGGTTAGGGAGGCATGAGGCTGCTGCTGCATCTGCTGCATTAATACAAGGAAGCGCGTCAGGAGCAGTAGGAGGAGGAGCAGCAGGAGCGACAGGAATAGCCGTAGGGTCAGGAGCAGGAGCAGGAGGAGCAGGAGGGGCAGGAGGGGCAGTGAAAACAGTGGGTCCAGCAATAACACCACCAGGGGTGACATCGGCAGCAGCATCTGCTGCTATCCTGCCCCTCCCTTCCTCTGCTGCAACCCCGCTGCAGCAAGGGAGCCGCTTGCAGGGCAGTGGGAGAGGAGGGCCGGCTGGCCGTGGCACTCCTGGTACTGGTGCCAGTACTGGTGGTGCTGCTGCTGCAGCGTCAGCCACAGCAGCAACTGCAGCAGCAGCAGCAGCAGTAGGTACTGGGCGAGGGGGCAGGGGCGGTCTAGACAGGGAATCCGCGGGCAGAGGCGTGGGGGCGGAAGGACAGGGCTATGGCGGTAGATCGGGGGCGTGGGGAGGCGGAGGGGGAGGGGGGGGCAGGGGAGGCGGAGGGTATGGAGGTGGGAGAGGGGGCGCGCAGGATTGGCAAGGGAGGGGGCAAGGGGGGCGGTGGGGGTATGGGGAGGGCCGTGGGAGTGGGAGGTGGCAGGGGGGGAGGGGAGGGAGGGGGAGGGATGGGGGAGGGGGAGCAGCGGGTGGGGGCAGTTGGAGGACGCGGGGGGGAGCAGAGGGTTCTGGTAGTGGGCGGGGGGAGGAGAGAGGAGGTAGGGCTGTGAGTTAACGCTCGGTGGAAGTAGGGATGTGGTTAAAGCCTGCAGGAAAAGAGTCGTGTTTTGAGACGTCTCAAAACACGGCTGTGAGTTAATGCTTGGTGGAAGTAGGGAAGTGGGCTAAAGCCTGCAGGAAAAGGGGCTGGTTTTTGAAGGCGCTAATTTTCAAGGTTTCTTGACAGGGGCACATCAAAAGTGCCACATGCAGTAGCTGGGCTTTCGGTTGCTGGGCCCAGAGCAGAGTGAAAGTAGCAGAGGTGGCAGCAGTAGCTGTGTGGCAGTAGCATTTCTGAGCTCACTCAAAGCGACTTTTGAGTCGACTCGGGATTCACCAGGGCAGAGTGGCAGTAGCAGATGTGGCAGCAGCAGCAGCGGCGGCAGCAGCAGCAGCAGCGGCAGTGTGGCTGCAGCACGGGCGGTAGCAACGACGTTGGGATCAGCTTTGGTGGTGGCGGCAGCAGCAGTTGCAGTGGCGGGAGTGGCAACAGTGGCAGCAGGAGCAATCGTTCTCTCGAGGGTTGCATGAATAATGGGGAAGCGTCAGAAGCTCGGCGCTCTGAGCTTGGAGCAAACGAGATCAAGGGTGTTCTTTCAGGCTTGGACTCAAAAACCACCTTAGACAAGATTGGGTCTCAAATGGGTCGTGTGTGTGTGTGTGTGTGTGTTCTGCTGGGGTCCTGTCCTGTGGTTGTAGTGGGTTGTGCGTTTGTGCTTTGCCTTGTGACCATGGTATGGAGCCATTTCCTGTCTGATTTGGTTTCAGGTTTTGAGTCGTTTTGTTGAAACGCTTGTATCTGCTGCTGTGAGAGTGCTGGGTGGTGGTATGAGGATGCAGCTTCTGGTGGTTTTATGGTGAAAGCAGTGGGAGAGGGCAGGGACGGGTGCAGTGAGACTCAGTCAAACTCAGTATCTCGGGTCCAGCAAGCAGTTGTTGTGTTGATTGGTGGACGCTGATTCGCTGGCGTTGCTGGCTGGAGCTAGTGCAGTCGGATTTCAGCTGTAGTGCGGAATTCAGGGTGGTGTTCCGTCAATCCCTAGAGCATGGTGTGTGGAGAGAGTGCTCTCAAGATACGGTACTTCTGTAGAATTGTAGGCAGTTGCCGTTTAATTTTTATTTCTGCGAGTCAGGTACGTAGGTTTGTTGTTTCCTAATTTCAGTGTACGGTACCATGCTTCAAGGTGTGATTCCTCTCGTTTGCCGCTACTTCTACTGCCTGGTTATTGACATCCACTTGTTATTGTGGACTGAGTAAATTCATGATTGGTTTTGTAGGGCTGTTGCCGTGATTTCAATAACTTTCCTGATAATATCTTGTTGCCTTTATTTTAAAATCACAGCTTGCAATCTTCACCGAGAAATTGTTACATCGCACATTTCCTTGTTACAAACCTCACCCTGAAACTACACGGAGAACTGTCGCCATTGCGGAAAAGCACTGCTGCGCGCAGAAGGTATAACTTCGCCACCCTTCGCGAATCTCGCGCAGAAGCAGCTTCGTCAGGCGGCTGAATTTCGGCAGGACGGGGGAGCGGCGGGGGCGAAACTAAAAACTTCGTCAGAAAAGCCGCAGTTCTGGGAGTCGGGTCAGGGCCATCCAGGCGAGTAGCAGACGACTAGAAATAGGCGTAAGCGCGCTGCGAGTTGAATCTCGTTCGATGATATCAAGACAGCGTTAGGAGGCAGAGTCAGGAAAGCCGTCAAATGCTGAAACTGACCTATCGCGTCTCCCGACTCGATGGAACGCCTTCAATGGGCGAAGCGCGACTTACAGCCCTTTCGATGGATCCTAGCAAGTATAAAAGCCTCGTTGTTTCACCCGGGTCCTTCTCAATCTTCGCTCCCGTTTTCGTTCTCACTCTTCGCCTCATTGACTCGCAAATCGCAACCAGCACGAGTCCTTCTCGCTCGACGAATCTCATTACGTCTCCATCCTCCATCCTCCGTCGACTAATCATCTTCGTTCTCACAGACGGTGAAAATAACGCTTGCTCCGGACACTCTCCGTCTCTCGGCCTCTTTCTCTCTAGTACAACTCTTTTGTCTCGGCGATCTCTATCTGGAGCCATGGATCTGGTCAATCGGACAGTCGCCGTCATCACTCTCGTGCTTCTCGTCACTCTCTGCTCAGATCCATTTTCTGTTGACGCGCGTTTCGTTGGCGTCACCGTCACGCCGTCGATTTCCATGAACCGTCGTCCTTCCGGCGTGGCCGTTACGAGCAACAAGGATTGGCTATGGCTTTCCTCGCGAAACCTACAGGAAGCTTCGCGATCGAACTCAGATCCGTCTTCCGTCGCGCAAGAACCTTCGACGGAAGCTACTGCTGTTGGATCTGGTTCTGCTATAACGACATTAGACGACTCGCTAGAAGTCTCCGTTTTGTGCTCACCGTCGCCGTCGCCGTCTCCGTCGCCGTCGCCAGCACCGTCGCCAGCACCGTCGTCAGCATCGTCGCCAGCACCGTCGCCAGCACCGTCGCCAGCACTGTCGCCAGCACCAGTCGCATCAACACCCGCTCCGTCGCCAGCGATCGCGTCGAACGCCTCTGCGGCAGCGCCTGCTCCTGCGAGCGCTAGCTGTCCCGTGTGCCTCACCGTGACTGGCGGAGGCGCGTACTCGCGGCCGTGCTGCCTTCCGGAAGCCACGTGCTGCGGCAACGGTGACACTGCGCTGTGCTGGGGCGTGTGCGGAAACACTACCTGCTGCGGCGTTGTAAGTAATGAAGGATGCCCCGCGATTTGTCTCCGCGTTTTTTGCAAGAACCATATATTTATCGTTTTTTCATGTCTCTTTCCTGACGGGGAATTCCTTTACGTGTTTCTAATGGTTTATGTGCAGAGCGAAAGCACGTTGGATCACACGTGTTGTGGAGGGGTGTGCTGTCCTATTGCCAACTGCTGCAGTGGGTCTGCTACGCCTGTCTGCTGCTCTCAAGGAAACACATGCTGTTTATAGGTTTTGCCGTAGGTCTCCGGACCAGATGCTTCCCTTTAGCATTTTTGCTTTGTGTGATCCTTAGGTAGTGGGAGTGTCTATATTAGAGCCCAATTTTTTCCATAAGGTGCTCATCCATACTGGCTATTAACATGACCCCATAAGCATGCAGTGTGCGAGTGATTCAATGAGCATGCTTTGCAAACACTGTTCCAAGGGTGTTTTTGAATCTAGTTGTCTGGAAACAACCAGCAAAGGGTGCTCATGGATCTGTTGAGGCTTTTGTTATGGATGGCATTCTCCCAACGCTGATGGTTCTTTTGAATCCATTGTCCCATCATTCCCCTCATGCTCACTATTCCTGAATCCACCTGTCCTGGCGTTCTCATGCTTGTGGTTATCAGCTGCGCTTGTTCTGGCATTCTCCTCACGCTGGTGGTTCTTGGGTCCACTTGTCCTGGCATTCTCCTATCAGCACATGGGAAGGAGGAGACATCAAGAAAGACCGGCAACTGTTTTTCAAAACTACATACACAGAGCACCATACGGGTATGGTGCCACACTGTCCTATTGCAGATGCAGCATCACAAATAAATGACAACATCCAAGCCAAGGCTTCCCATCCCAAGCATGGTATATCCAACTACACCACACTACTCCTATGGCACAGAGAATCGTGCCAAGGTCTACAAGCCATCAGCTAAAGCAATGCTACACTCCTCGGCGTGCTTTAAGCACGCACTTAATACATGTCCTCCTGCTGGAACCTACTTGCCCGCACAGCCTCTATGCCTGGGCATGGAGACACTGGTTGAGTCAAGGGCTTCCCTGACCTGAGAAGAAGACAAAGAACGAGATTACTACGATCCGGAAAGAGAGCAAATCAAGCCCGTAGGGGATGCAGTGGAAGGTCCTGCAGTGGAAGCAGGGCTTTTAGACCCGTAGCTGGCTGTTTCAAGCCAATCTCACCGTTTTGGAACAAAGGGTTCCTCGTAGGATGGTTTGGGAACTGCATGGTGAACCATCCCCTTGCGCATCCTCTTGATCTCCTCCTCCTCCTCCTTCTGCAAGGCCCACAGCACATGCTCAACAAGTCAGCAAAGAACGATCGCAGCGAAAAGCTCTATCCCTGAGGAGCCTCGAGGTAGAGTGAGCAAAGTATCGTTCCGCAACAAGAATGCAGGCGAGACCGTGCAATGACAAGGCAGGGAAACTCACCTTCCATCGTGCTTGCATCTTGGCGTACTCGTCTTCCCCCCGCTGACACCTCTCAGCAAACTGCAACAACACAATGAGAAGATTTACAAAGAAACACAAACATCAACTGCGGTAAGTCAAAATTATCCAGACATCAACTAAGTCAAAAATTACAAAGAAACACAGACAACGAGTCTCTGAGTCATGGCAACTCAGGGAGTGAAAATGGCGAGAGTACCAGCTGATTCGGGATATACCAACAGCATGAATCCCTCCACGTACCGCTTTCTTGACGCATGCGTGGTGCTCTGCCTGGCGGTCGATGTTCAGGTTGAATGGCTGCACCTCCGTCAGCACGCGATTGCTGCGCCTGGGGGGCTTTTGAGTCGACTCAAAAATCGACTTACCGCTTTCTTGGCGCATGCGTGGTGCTCTGCCTGGCGGTCCACGTTCAGGTTGAATGGCTGCACCTCCGTCAGCACACGATTGCTGCGCCTGGGGGGCTCCGGACTGGGAGGGACCAAACGTCCGTAGCCAGGAGTGGGACAGAGCAGATCAGCAACCAAACAGGAGCACAAAAGGGACGACGATGAAGAAACAAAAAGGAGATCAAAACATGGCCGGGGCGAGAGGCTTGCAGAGACTATAACCAACACTGAGCTGAGATAGGAACGCAGTGCAACTTCGGAAACACGAGCAGCCTTGGAAGCCCCAGCCACAGGCGCAAACCAAACCCAATCACACTCTTACGCCCAACCTCTGTGTCTGTTTCGACAGCCAGAACTCACAGCTTGGTCATATCAGGGAGTGTTTGCCTAGTCAGCCAGAACTCACCGCTTGGTCATGTCAGGCAGGGGCTGTGCGTGGAAGCCCTTCTGAGAAGCCTCCTCCTGCGCCTTCCTCTGCGCCTCCTCCTCCAGCCGCTGCTGCGCCATCTGGTGGCGCCTCACTGACTCAAGGTCGAACTCGTGCGGCTCTGCCGCCACAAGCACAACCCAGACTGAACCACACCACACTCTCACGCCTGACCTATGCATTGTGCCCACGACTCACCGCTTGGTCATGTCAGGCAGGGGCTGTGCGTGGAACCCCTTCTGAGCAGCCTCCTCCTGCGCCTTCCTCTGCGCCTCCTCCTCCAGCCGCTGCTGCGCCATCTGGTGCCGCCTCACTGACTCCAGCTCAAACTCGTGCGGCTCTGTGGCAGGCTTGGTGGGCGGCTTGCGGAGGAACTCCGGGGCGAGGGTGGTGTATGGCATGGGTGCTGCTAAGGGAATGGCTGCCCTGCGCCTATCCTCCTCCTCTTCTGCCAGCTTCTGCTGTAGCTTGTGCTGCTTTGCTTGCCCGCGCTCCTGTGGTCATGTGGACATGTAACAGGGTTAAAGTGTCAGGAGGTCAGAATAATGCTGGTGATGGGACACAAGGCTCAAGAAGGAGGCATGCAAGGGAAAATTGTGGGGAATCATGCGTGGAGTGCGCTACAGCGGGAGAAAAGGAGCAGCAAACTGACCTCAGTGAACAGGTGGAACTCTCGTGGGTGGTTGACGGTTGGCGCCTGCAGCAGAAGAGGAGAAGAAACAACATGAAAAGGACGTTAGAGTTACCAAATGGAGGTTCTAAGGAAAAAAACAAAGCACAAGGGACATCGGAATAGGCGACACAATGCGTGCATGAGAGAATGCCCTGCAGTACCTCTGAGCTGCCGTGCTTGCTGGTATGCATGCGCTTCGACGCATTTGCAATCTCCTCCAGCTCCCTCTCTTCACTGCTCTTCACCCTGAGAGAAGCACACACCAGAAAGACGACCATTAGAAACCGATTCAGAAGAAAAGGAAGTAGTGCACAAGCCTGCCACATGTGCAACCTGCCCATCCCTCGTTGGTGTTGGCGCATCACTTACTTGGTTCCTCGTGCACGCAACTTGGTGGTCAGCATGGGCGAGCAAGGCACTGTGGGAAGCCTCGGACCAGCCACACCACCGCCAGCACCCGCACCAGTCGCAGCAGCACCACCAGCAGCAGGCGTCGCTCCCCTCTTTACAGCAGACCGGGTAGTCACCCCGGTGCCAGCAGCCTCCCCTTCCTGCAGCACCCTGAACCTCCTCGGCCGCTCCCTCTGCGCCGTCAGCAGCTTCGGCAACACAGGCTTGGTCACATGAGGAGCATCAGAAGCAGCAGAGGAGGCGGCAGTAGAAGCGTCGCCTTCCGGCCGCATGTGTGCAGAGAAAGAGCTGAGCTCCTGGGCCAGGGACACAAACGGCTTTGCTTCCTTCTTCAGCTGCTCGTCCTTGGGTCGCTGGCGCCGGTCTGTCTTCAGATCAAACGGTTCAGGAATGGTTAGAGCAACCCCGTGAGAAGGCCCACCCTCATGTGCGTTGGACTCGATCTCGGATGACCGACTGCTCCTGGCGCCAAACATGCTGACGCTCTCAGCAAGCGAGACAAACGGCTTGGCTTCCTTCTTTAGCTGCTCGTCCTTTGGTCGCAGGCGCCTGTCAGTCTTGAAGTCAAACGGCTCAGGTACGGTTAGAGTAGCCCCATGAGAAGGCCCACTCTCATGCGCTTTAAGCTCTGTCTCTGACGATCGATGATCGCTCCTGGCACCAAACATGCTGACGCTCTGAGCGAGCGACACAAACGGCTTCGCTTCCTTCTTCAGCTGCTCGTCTTTCGGTCGCAGGCGCCTGTTTGTCTTAAAGTCAAACGGTTCAGGAACGGTCAGACCAAGCTCGTGTGTGGTTCCAGCTGCGTGTGAGCCTGACTCGACATCTGATGACCGGTTGCTCCTGGTGCCGAACATGCTGACGCTCTGAGCAAGGGACACAAACGGTTTCACCTGCACAGCCGCGCAACGACGATGGCAAACGAAATAACGTGGAAGGTCAGTTGCTGCAAAGGAATGGCAGGAAGCAAGATCCCGTTAGCACTATTTTATGGATAAATAGTGGCTCATTTGGAACGTGTGACGCACCTCGGTTTCCAGCTTCGCTTCTCCTGGGCGGCCTCTGGCGTCCGTTCTGAGATTGAATGGCTGTGGAATTGTAAGCCCGGTAGGCCGACCGCTGGTAGGTGCCTGTATGCTCACGACCAGAGGGGTTGTGGTGTACACGTCAAGTTAGACACGAGATAGCGACGAGAAATCACAAAAGCACGCAACCTCCTAACGTCAAATTTCAATTCATGTTGGGCGCAAAAATAAGCATTGGAAATATCAGCAGGAATAGTTTGAGAGCGGAACGAAACTATGCACAACTGTGGGTTACCTTCCATTGCTGTGGGGTCCTGTCAACCTTTTGCCTCTTGTTCTCGCGTAGCGTCGCCTTCGACCCGCTGGTGGCCGCACTTCTGGCAGCAGAAGCTGCAGTCGCCGCCATGACAGACGAACGAGCAGCCCTGCAAACACACGACCGTCAGCACAGACGGAACCGTCAGCACCTTCGAATCGGTACATTGATGTGCGGGACGCAAGTCGGTAACACGATTAAAACACTGGTCGCTCAGCAGGTAACATAGCTCCCATCGGGCCAATGCTCGAGACATACCCTGACGGCGGAGCTCCTCCTCTGGCTTTCAGCCTGGCAGAGGCTCGTCGGAGTGAAGTACGGGTGGATGCCGGGGGACGGCCCGCTGCTGCTCGAGTAGCAGGAGCAGCAGAAGCAGCAGCAGAAGCACGGCCCGAGGCAGCAGAAGTACAGCGCGAGGCAGCAGCGCCGTTCGGAGTGCCAACAGGGGGTTCAGCTGGGCGGGGAGCAGCATAAGGGAAGGCAAAAGCCTCGGAAGCTGCGGCAGTGGCTTCAGCAGCACCGGCGATGAAAGAAGCGACAATAACCGAGGCATTTCCAGCGCCAGCAGGCTTTCCAGCCGCATCTGGTGCTTCAGCAGGTGAGCCAGCAGTAGCGTCACCTTGACCATCACACGCATCAGCAGCAGCAGAATCAAGCGTATCTTCAGCACCACGCATCACACCATCAGCTCCGCCAGGCACCTCAGTCTCACCACCGGAAGCACCAGCCTTTCGCGCACTGTGAGACTTCGAAACCCTCGATTTCGCGCGGGTTGAGCGGGGAGTGCTGATTCGCATGCTCCTCAGCTGATCCCACAGCTTCTTCTTCGGAAATCCGACACTCTGCGGAGACGTCTCCTCGACAGGGAAAACGGCCGTGATATTTTCATCCGTTTCCTCATCCTCGCGGCTCCTCTTACTCCCGGAGCCACTAAGAGGTGGCAGAGGGTTGCTATTCCCCGTGTGCGACGCCGACGCCATAGCTCTGGTCTGCATGCCGTGAATTCTCGCTCCGGACGATCCAGCCTTGCAGCCTGCAAAACGGAGACAGTCAAACAAGCTCGTTACAAAATCCCCGGTGATTTTACAAGAATTCACAAATTTTCACACGGTTTTACCACTGGAACGACTAGACGGACCTTGTTCGTCTTGTTCCGTTGTGGCCTGAACCTCCACTTCCGGTCCTGGTCCTGCTGCAGCAAGGTCCGATCCAGCCTCTGCTGCAGCGAAATTCACGCCTGCTGCGTGGAGATCTACCACCTCAGCATCCACTGGAATTTCAACGTTCAACGGAATTTCAGTGGAGGATCCTTCCTGGTGCATCGCATCTCCTTCTTCCTTCAAATCCACGTCGGTCCATTGCTTATCCTCCTCATCCTCCTTCACTGCTCCGCCGTTTTCGCCGTCATTCCTGGCGTTCTCTCCAGGACCATCCATGGTAGCGACGTCATCGCACTTGACTCTGTAGGTGCCGAACAGTTTGGGGAAACAACAAGAACAATCAGTGCCTGTACTAACACACAAGATCAATCAGATTGAGAAGTACCAAAAAGGGTTTCATTAATCACCTTTGTGGACCGTCAGGCTTCGTCATAATCCGCGTAGGACGAGGAGTTGGTTCAGGAATCTGCGAATCCAGGAGAAGTCGTCCGTCAATTTTAAGCTTCTATGCAGAAATACTCCAGCATAAAAGTTAAAAGCCGTATGGCTCCCTTGATAACGAAAACATACCTTAATAGCGCTAAGAAGCGGTATCGCCTCCTTCGGCATCATGCGTTGACCAGAAGCCATGGCCTTCACAACCAGTGCTGCAAGTAGAAACAGCAACGATTCCGTTAAACCATTTTGTTTTCTAAAAGAAATTATTTAAATGAAAAGCCAATGAACATAACTCATTTGAGAAGTTTATAGAGGCCACTCACGAGACTTTGGATGTCCTGGTGTCGATCGGAACCATTCATCGGCCGAGGCATCCTCCATATCACCATTGACGAAATCAAAATACTTGGGAGCCTGCACAAACTCGTATGTTGGGTCAATATATTGCTTCGGCTTTTCTTCAACCTCCATTGCGGTACCCTCCTTCGGAAAGGTCGGACTGACTGCTTCGTCCATCGATGGAGCTTTCTTAGGGAGCTGAGGCTTCAGCACCGAAAATATATTAATCAGTACTCTTATCACCAATGAGTGCAGGACCGCGAGAGCTAGTATCCAAAACGCGAGCGCCAGTTCAGATAAACCAGCTGTAACAGAAACTAGAGGTTTCCAGTAAAGGCTAAGTGAGTCTTACTTCGAGAGAGACCTTAAGGCCTAAATGGAACGAAAAGCTTCTGGTCTACCAGCAAGTTGCTTTTTTACTACAAGACTCAGCTAGGGATGAGCAAATGAGAGTCAGACAGCCTGTTACAAGCAGTACCAGAAACGAGCCGTACGCGTTTCAGCTGTATGAGTAATAAATAGAAGCTAGGAACAGCAGTAGCTACGTGGGGGGTCTAGTCAGCAGCCACGCTCGGGTCTCAGGAAGCTATATGCGTCTCAAATGGTAACAGGATGAATTCAGGCAGGAAGGAGTTTCAAAAGACCAATGACCAGAGCAATGGGGATTCAGGGAATTCTGAAACCACAAGGAAAATCAGTCTCAGGAGACCAGACCAGAGCAATGGGGAGAGCGGAGGTCAGTCCAGGATCACCCAGGAAGGAAAGCCCAGAGAGGATGGCTGGTGAGGAAAAGCAGAAGGGTAAGTGAGTGACAGGTATAGAGAGTTTCAGTTCGGTTTGATGAATTGAGATAGGGTTGGGCTGAGTTGCGCTGTGTCTGTGCGGTTTGCTGGATGGATGAGAAGTTGACCCACCTGACCCCCACACATGGCGAGGCGACTCGCTCAATTGGCACTTCTGGCATTCGTGTGCTGCGTCAGAAACGTGTTTCCCGCCGGGCCATCGGAATTTGAATTTCTGACGCGCGGCAATTTCAGAGTGGGTGCTTGCGACAACAGATGACTTGTTCCGATTGATGTCGCAATGATCTTTTAGGGCGTGTAAAATCCCCGCACACATGCGAAAATTGGGTTTGGCCGGATTTTCGTCGACCACATGGTCGACATTTCTTTCGCGAAAGTCGACGGAATGGTCGACTTACGTGTCGTCACATTTTCAGACACCTTTTGCAAATCTGCAAATTTTACAGGTTTGGTGCACATTTGCTGGCCGGTTCGAAAAAGTTGCAAAATTTGCAGATTTAGGGTTGTGCGACGGTGTCGCACACTTAATTCCGACATTGACGCATTCTGTGATTGGACACGGGAACACGGCGACCTGGCATGCGATTGTCGCAACGACTGGTCGGATACATGGCCGGTTTGGAGTCGACTCGCCGTCGGTTCTGAGTCGTTACGTGAAGACGGCCATCAGATTCGCAAAATATTCACGACATTCACGACGATCGTGAATTTACTCCCGAACGTCGTCAACTGGTTACTTTCGCCAACAACGGCCCGACGGATTTGGCAAATTTCAGCAGGTTGGCGACTTTACACGCCCTTAGGGAGTATTCCAGCTTAGTACACTCAAGATGTTCAAGATGCGAATCTGCCCATAACAAAGTTCATCATCACTTATTCATTTCTTAGTTTCTGTTAGTATCTTCACCCCTCCTTTGTTAGAATAAACAACATAGAAACACAATACATGGGAGCTTGTAGAGAACAATCGCATATAGGCTGCATCATCCAACACATGTACGTATTACTAAGTACATCCTACGTAGTTACGGGTGGTGCAAGACCCATCCACGCTTGGCCACTTCTGCGCGGACGCGCGTCGCTACATCCACATTGTCTGTCAACGGCGGGTAGCTCCATGTGCTTGCAAGCTGTTACACGGGACAAGGGGATGGATTGGGACTAGAGTTACCGTAAGACGGAGAGTCAAAAAAAGTATTGACAACCGACGCTGGCAGGCATGAGCTGGCATTTTTCAGAACATCCACTGGCATGAACAGGGTGAAACTGACATTGACAGAGTTGTTGAAAGGCCGGATGGCTCCCCTGCGTTGAAGGGTTCGGTGAAACTCGGCAATCTTCCACTTGCAGTGCTCCCCGCCTACCATGTACACTGGCTTGCTGCGATAACACATGGAGTGGATCAAGGGCATGTAAGTGAAAGCAATGAAACACGAGTGCGAGAATCTGAGCAATTCAAGCAGGCAATGAAACCAGGGTGAGAGCAATAATTCAGCAACTTATCTGCACCGCAATCAACATATACCATGCTGCCCACAAGTAATCCGACATATATGTAACACAATGCTTACCTCACTGATAATTCTGACAGAATCCGCTGTGAATATAAATGCTCAGCTGAAGCAAGAATATTGAGTCGACTCAAACGATAGCTCATATGTGCAACACAGCGCTTACCCTGTGGAGCAGGCTTCACTGATCATGCTGACAGAGTCCGCTGTGATTATAAACGCGTCAGCCCAAGCGAGGTTACCCAAGTGAGGGTCCAGGCCTGCACTTCAAACAGCACAGCACACCACACAAATGGTTGATCATCATGAATCCTGCAACTCAATAGAAACAGATCAAGTATGCCTGGGTGCTGGATGTGGAATTCTATAGCTCGAAAACATTTTTGCCACAACGATAAGGACATTTTTTTTTTTTTTTTTTCTCTTAACATGCGCAGCAGAGCGGGCTGGTCTTGAATGCTGGCACTCACCTTGACCATCCCATATATAAACAGCATCTTGGTCCTTCAGCTCTTGCTGCAGCACTCGTTGCATCTGAAGGTAAAGAGGCACACAGATAGGAAGAGGGCGAGACAGGGAGTGGGTATGGAGGACGGGAGTGGAGGTGGGGACGGGGGTGTCTGTTACACAAGGAGACGAAGAGAGTACCAGCATCAAGAAAAGACACACAATTTTTTTCCAATCATTTTTTTGTTGTACTGAAGGTCCTACCGAAGTAACATCCAGAAGCAGAGTGCAATCAGGTGCGTACCGCCACGGGTGTTCTTCTGGAGAAGGAGACGCTGAGAGACCCCTGACACTCTTGCAGCATCTCCTTTAGTGTCCTTGCCAGCTGTGCAATCAAATCTGGGCGGTAACTACAGTGACCTGGGCGGCAGGGAGTTCGTGAGGTGGCAAGCAGGGGAGAGGGGGAGAGGAGGGAGTGGGGCAATGTGGAAGTGGGGCAAAGAAGCGGGTGGGGCTATGTGAACAAGGAGGGGCGTTCATCTTCCGTCTACCTCGGCAAGCAGGTGTGGGGCAAAGCCGAACTTGGTTGCTACTAATACATATTCTTTTCTCCGAGAGAGAATAAGATTGCCAGCTGGACTTACGAGTGGGTCCACCAATGTTGACCACGACAAGTGGCTTGGGGAAGTCACTGAGGGAGTGCCACGTGGCAGCTGCTGAGCGGAGGAGAGACGGCTCTGCTATGTGCAACACGCCAGTTGTCAACATCTGATTCGCCAGAGGAGGGGGGTGGGGAGGAGAAAGGGGGACAAGACGTGAAAGGTTATGGAAGAAATGGCATGGCAGGCATGTTCCGAGGTGCTACTGTCTAACATGACATCCTGTCATGTCTTCCTGTCATGTCATTTTGAGATGTCATCCTGAGGTGGCATCCCTGAGGTGTCAACCTGAGATGACATTTTGAGATGTCATCCTGAGATGTCACCCTGAGACGTCACACGGTATGACTCACAATACGCGCGTGGGTGGGGCTGCAGCAATGGCAGCAGGATGCACCTTCTTGAATTGAAGAGACTGACCCTACTGCTGGAGGGCATTCATACCTGGGGCAGGTTGGACCTACCACGTTCTTGGAGGGCGGAGCAGGGACGGAGGCACGTCATCCACGAAGGCACCTCCCTGGTCCCACTGGCGAAGGTCATACCTGGGCCAGGTGGGACCTACCACGTTTTTGGCGGGCGGAGGAGTGGTGATCCATTTTGGAATCCAACTGGTGGAGGTTGTTTCCGGGGGGGTACGTGGGACTTACCACGTTCTTAGCGGGCGGAGGAGGAGCGATCCATTTCAGTATCCATGAAGGCACCTCCCTGCTGGCTGCTGCTGTGAGCCCGTAGAAGTCGTGCAGAGGCGCCACCACCAGGTCGTACTGGTGGAGGTCGTTTCTGGGGTGCTGGATCTGCACAACAAGGGTGGAGCTGGGAGCTAGGCGCTTCACCTCTGCTGCTGCTGCCGCTGTGTCCCTCCCAGCCGCCACCACCAGCAGTGGGCCTTCGCTGAGGGGAAAAAGAGAACACAAGAGGGGAGAAGGAAGAGGAGAAAGGGGAGGAGGCAGAGGCAGAAGGGAAGAAGATAGGATGGTTTGAACTGATAGGTTTTTGAGTCGACGACTAAAGAGCCACCACCAGGTCGTACTGGTGGAGGTGGTTTCTGGGGTGCTGGATCTGCACGACAAGGGTGGAGCTGGGAGCCAGTCGTTTCACCTCCGCTGCTGCTGCCGCTGTGTCCCTCCCTGCCGCCACCACCAGCAGTGGGCCCTCACTGATGGAATGAGAGGAGAGGGAGAGGTGCATATTTGATTGTTATGGGCTGTTGGATCGGCACCACCAGGGTAGAGTGGGCTTATGAGTCGGCTCAAGAGAGAGCCACCATCAGGTCGTACTGGTGGAGGTCGTTTCTGAGGGGTGCTGGATCTGCACCACCAGAGTGGAGCTGGGAGCTAGCCGCTTCACCTCCGCTGCTGCCGCCGCTGTGTCCCTCCCTGCTGCCACCACCAGCAGTGGGCCTTCGCTGAGGGGAAAAAGAGAACACAAGAGGGGAGAAGGAAGAGGAGAAAGGGGAGGAGGCAGAGGCAGAAGGGAAGAAGATAGGATGGTTTGAACTGATAGGTTTTTGAGTCGACGACTAAAGAGCCACCACCAGGTCGTACTGGTGGAGGTGGTTTCTGGGGTGCTGGATCTGCACCACAAGGGTGGAGCTGGGCGCCAGCCGCTTCACCTCTGCTGCTGCTGCCGCTGTGTCCCTCCCTGCTGCCACCACCAGCAGCGGCCCCTCGCTGATGGGAGGAAGGGAGGAGGGGAGGGGGAAGGAGGGGACGAGGAGAGAGGGGAGGAGGCCGATGCAGAAGGGAAGAAGACAGAATGGTTTCTAGTGCACAGGATTTTGAGCCCACTCAAGAGAGAGCCACCACCAGGTCGTACTGGTGGAGGTCGTTTCTGGGGTGCTGGATCTGCACCACAAGGGTGGAGCTGGGAGCTAGGCGCTTCACCTCCGCTGCTGCTGCCGCTGTGTCCCTCCCTGCTGCCACCACCAGCAGTGGGCCTTCGCTGAGGGGAGGAGGGGAGGAAAGAGAGAACGATATGAGAGTTAGGCTGCTGCTGCCGCTGTGTCCCTCCCTGCTGCCACCACCAGCAGCGGGCCTTCGCTGAGGGGAGGAGGGGAGGAAAGAGAGAACGATATGAGAGTTAGGCTGCTGCTGCCGCTGTGTCCCTCCCTGCTGCCATCACCAGCAGCGGGCCTTCGCTGAGGGGAGGAGGGGAGGAAAGAGAGAACGATATGAGAGTTAGGCTGCTGCTGCCGCTGTGTCCCTCCCTGCTGCCACCACCAGCAGCGGGCCTTCGCTGAGGGGAGGAGGGGAGGAAAGAGAGAACGATATGAGAGTTAGGCTGCTGCTGCCGCTGTGTCCCTCCCTGCTGCCACCACCAGCAGCGGGCCTTCGCTGAGGGGAGGAGGGGAGGAAAGAGAGAACGATACGAGAGTTAGGCTGCTGCTGCCGCTGTGTCCCTCCCTGCTGCCACCACCAGCAGCGGGCCTTCGCTGAGGGGAGGAGGGGAGGAAAGAGAGAACGATATGAGAGTTAGGCTGCTGCTGCCGCTGTGTCCCTCCCTGCTGCCACCACCAGCAGCGGGCCTTCGCTGAGGGGAGGAGGGGAGGAAAGAGAGAACGATATGAGAGTTAGGCTGCTGCTGCCGCTGTGTCCCTCCCTGCTGCCACCACCAGCAATGGGCCCTCGCTGATGGGAGGGAAAAATTGGGGAGGAGAGGCGAGGGGAATGGGGAAAAAGAACAAGGACATGGGAGGTAAGCTGCTGCAGCTGCTGCTGCTGCCGCTGTGTCCCTCCCTGCTGCCACCACCAGCAGTGGGCCCTCGCTGATGGGAGGGAAGAAATGGGGAGGAGAGGCGAGGGGAATGGGAAGAAAGAACAAGGACATGGGAGGTAAGCTGCTGCAGCTGCTGCTGCTGCCGCTGTGTCCCTCCCTGCTGCCACCACCAGCAGCGGCCCTTCGATGATGGGAGAGGGGAGAGGAGAGGTAAGGAAAGGAGGAACGGTATGATAGTTAGGCTGCTACTGCTGCTGCTGCCACTGTGTCCCTCCCTGCTGCCACCACCAGCAGCGGCCCTTCGATGATGGGAGAGGGGAGAGGAGAGGTAAGGAAAGGAGGAACGGTATGATAGTTAGGCTGCTACTGCTGCTGCTGCCACTGTGTCCCTCCCTGCTCCCACCACCAGCGGAGGACCCTCGCTGAGGGACGAGGGGAAGAGGGGAAGAGGCATACGGGAAGAATGTAGGATGGTGCCTGGCTCACTATGGTTCATGAGAGGTACCTCATTGTTGATATGCTCACATGTCATTCCCACCTTTCAGGGGTCTCATTCGCCTCCCTGGCAATGCTGGTACATCACTTAACCGCATTCCACCGCACCATCCCCTGCTGCACCCCTCACCTTTCAAGGGTCTCATTCGCCTCCCTGGCAATGGCAGCAGGGTCCGCTGGAGCAGCAGCAGGGAGAAACGCTGACGTGGAAGCTTGTGATAGGACATGAGGCCGTTGGGCGGAGGCAGGGGTGCTGCGAGGAAGGAGCACGGATCTGGGCGTATGTTGAGTCGGCTCCGAACGAGGATGGAAAGGGTCAGAGGTATGGAATGAAGAAGAATTGGTGCCATTGGTGAAGGTGCCATTGGCGAAGGTGCCATTGGCGAAAGTGCCATTGGCGAATGTGCCATTGGCGAAGGTGCCATTGGTGAAGGTGCCATTGGCGAAGGTGCCATTCCTACCGTTAGTAGAACCTGATACTGTTTCCAACGGCTTGCCAGAGGAATCTGCAGTACCGTTGAAGGACGGAGATGAGAAGGGGTTATAAAGTGAACTAGCTGCTTCCGTTCCTACACCAGAACGACCCTCTGTAGACGCTACGGAAAATGCTTCTCTACCTGCTGCTGAACTCATGCCTGCTGCTGCTGTCGCTGATGCTGCTAGCACTTCTGCTGCTGCTGCTGCTGCTGCTGCGGATGATGATGATGATGCTGATGACGATGGGGGTGTGGAGGGAGCTGGCAAGCTTAATCTGGGGGGTGGGAGAAGGGCTAATCGGAGGACTACGGAGGACACGGCTTGGAAGAGCCATGCCAGACGCAGAGAGAGATACGCGTCTAGCTGCTGGTGCGTCTCTAGTGGTAACCAGCGTAACCAGCGGTGCAGACCGGTCTTGGGACGAATCACTCTCTGCAAGAGGGTGGGTGGGAGAGAGAGATAGAGGGAGAGAATGGAGTCGGTGACTGGAAAGGAAGGGAGGCCGGGGGATGAGGGAGGGAGGGGAGGGTAAGTGGGGAAGGGGAGGGGTAAGGGGGGGAGGGGAGAGGGAGACAGGAGAGGGTGAAGGGGAGGGGAGTCGCTTAAAATGACAGGCATTTTGAAGAATTCTCAAAGATGGGCATTGGGGTTGCAGGTTCGGTTAGTGCGGGGAATGCGGAGGGACGTGGAACATATTGGATAGGACGTTGAAGAGTCACCATCCAGGTATACATGATTAGCTCTTGAGACTTCTCAAACGTTGGAACAGAAGAAAAGGAGGGACGTGGAGCACTTCAATAGGTCGTTGAAGGGTCACCATCCAGATGTGCTCTGACCAAGTAGTCGCTTGAGCCTCCATAGCATCTCGTACCTGAATTTCCATGCACCACTGCAGCCGAATTTTGAGTTGATTCAAGAGCGTTTTACGCGAACGACATGGCATTGGACCCATCTTAGATTTTCCAACATCCTACCTGAATCTCGACCTGAGCCTCCATAGTCACATGGAGCTCCAAAACATCGCAACTCAAAGAAATGAAGAAAGAAAATACACTTAACCTCAGCTACTTGAACCTCTAATATTTTACAACTTCCCTACCTGAATCTCCATGGACCCCCCGAGTCCCAGAGCTCGCACGAGGCCCAGGCTCTGGTGTTCACTCCCGGGGTGGCCATTTCCTATAATCACAGCGCGACGAATCACAGACGCCGTGCCGCCTTGCTCGAAGATGTCCGGCGTTCCTGCCGATCCTATGACTGGCGGAGGTTCCGGCAGCAATATTCGTCTGTACGACATCTTTTCTGGTGATGTGGACGGTATTCTGTACGTAATGTGTCAATGCTGCTAGGAGCGCGAGAGATGGACGGACGGAACGCGCTGAAAAGAAGAAGCAGGATGCGGGATGCTATGTAATCAGACGCGGGATGCTAAACATGCAATAACGTACACGCGCTAATGTCTCGGACGTTTTTCTGGCCTAGCAATGCTACTAGGTCGTTGAGTGTGGACTAGGTAAGTGGGAATAAGCAGTAGTGCACATGACCACACTCAAACGTTCAGGCAGATGAACAGAAAACGATGGGTGAAAGAACCAGTCGACGGCCACGATACTTTGAAAGAGGCACGGATCTTCATTCAGAGCCGCTCAGATGGACGGAACGGCAAAATCGGGGTCCACGAAAGCAGATACTGTAGAGTCGTAGTGATGCTGCTCAGGAGGGAAATGACGGAACCGGCACTGTTCTGTCCAGCACAACGAATTCCGTCAGCGAAAACGGCCAGAAATCCCGCTTGAACGAAACGATCCATGGAAGAGGAGAGTTGACCAGGCGAAGCGCGAAGCTGTGGTTGGTGGGGTTCGAGAATTATGGTTTGCCACGTCAGGTCTGGGCCAGGTGACCCCAGGAATCTTGGGTGGGAACAACCAACGGACATGGGCCTTGGGAATGCCCGTGCGAAACAGCGAAGGCAGGGAGTCTCCCTCTCACATGTGCTATCCGAGACGTTGGGAAATGAAGGGGTGCCCTGGTTACTGCTGTGTTACATAGTACGCATGTTTAGAATAATATGCTAACCAGCATGTTTAGAATAACATGCTACGCCGTTGGGTAACGAGTACGTCCATAAAGTGTAAACGAACATAGGTCAGCAACTGAACAGCAACTGAACGCCTTTGTGGCGTCGAGGTCGCCACGTGACCGCCTGCCCAATCCACCTTCAAGCGTGTGGTGATGTGTCGGCTTTCCCGAACAGGTGTGTCCACTTCAGCATTCTGTCAGAAACTCTTGGCAGGAGGGGAGCAGCCCATCTCATTACACTGCGAATACTTGCGACGTGCGTTGCCAAACAAAGGTAACCTAGTAACTAAATTCGCAGCAAGTATGAACCAATAAGAAGCAGCACGCCGCCCGGCGTTCGCATACCTCCGAAGCTCCCGCTCACCTCAGGCTGTCCAGTTTAGGCGGCCTAGCCAGCCCCGCATCCTGCGTTCGCTTACCTCTTCTGCTCCCGACCTCCTGCCTCACCCGCGCAACGTGGAAGGGGAGACTAGGGGCGAAGCGTCGCGGGGCTGGTCGTTTTCGCATTTCGAACGTGCGACATTGACGCGCGAACCGTCAGGATACGCGAAGCCTGAAGCAGAAACAAGGAATTTAATATATTTGAAGCAGACCTTGGATTTCTAATTCTAATGGAACTCCAAGCTTCTGCTTGAAAGAGCAGTCTGACAATGATGCTACTTTAGTGAACCTTGGACTCCACCATCCCTTCCTTTCCGCCCTCCGTTTCCGCTTCCGCCTTCTGCTTCCGCCTTCTGCTTCCGCCCTCCGCTTCCGCCCTCCGTTTCCGCCATTCGGGGTCCGCCTCTGCTTGCCCCATTGGCGCGCAATGGCGCAAATGCGCCACCACTGCGTTACTCAATCCGCTACCTGCTCCGCCGTTCTTTCCGCCAACCATTCCGCCGCTCGTTCCGCTGCACATTCCGCCACCCGTTCCGCCACTCGTTCTCTTCCCCGCGCACGTTCACGCGGGATTGAGGCGCGGAAGCCTCCTTTCGTTCTCCCAGTCTTGCACGCGCCGCCGTCATTTCCCCAAACCGGGGTGGCGCTCTGCGGAAGCAGCGGCGTGAAATTCACTACTGGATTCAGCAGCAGGTTCGGGAGGAGTAGTAGCGAAATCCCAAGGCCCGGGCCGTACCAAGGTCCGAGGCTCGAATCAGGTCCGACATTCGGGTCAGGTTCGAGGCTCGGATCACACCACGCCGCCTGGCTCGGTTCAGGTCTGGTCCGGCGCAGCAACTCGACGGGCCTAGGGGGAAGGCTCGGCAGCAGCCACGGATGTGACAGTAGCGGGGGACAGGTTGGGGGGGAAAGGGGGAGGCGGAGTGCGGGAAAAGCGAATGTGCGTATAACGAGGGACGTGCGGGCGGCGGTGGGGGTGGAGATTGGCTCGTCGGCGGCTCAGGATGTGATTGGAACGCTGGGGCTCGATACACTCACGTTCCTGGTGGCCACCGTTATTGTCATCCCCTTCTTCCGCAGCTTCAATGCAAGCCCGGTGAGATGCGATGGAGGTTCGGGAGATGGGCAACTGGTATTCGAGGCTGAGCTGAGATGAGAACCAGCTTCGGAAGATGGAAAAATGCATTTTTGAGGCAGTGTTGAGAAGCAAGTTCATAAGGGCTGCATTGCGAAAGCCAAGGTTTTCGTCACTGATTGTACCTCTGTCCCCGCTTTCTCCCTCCTGCCCTCCGCTCCTCCTCCCCTCCCCTCCCTCCTCCGTCCCTCGCCCCCATGCCACCAGATCCTCGGCTTCCTGCTATCAGGAGTGGTGCTCAACCAGCTGGGGCTCATCTCGTCCCATTCACAGCTTTCTGACGCCTCAACAAGACCCCTCTTTTCCATCCCCTCGTCTCGTGGTCCCTCCCCTCCCCCCCATGCCACCAGATCCTCGGCTTCCTGCTCTCAGGAGCGGCGCTCAACCAGCTGGGGCTCATCTCATCCTCAGCTTTCTGTTGTCTCAACACTCATCCCCTCCTCCCCTCCCATCCTCCCATCCACCCCTCCATCCTCCCCTCTTCCCCACTCCACCAGATTCTCGGCTTTATGCTCTCAGGAGTGGCCCTCAACCAGCTGGGGCTCATCCCTTCCTCAGCTTTGCGGCGTCTCAACAAGACCCCTCCTTTCCATTGCGGCTCTCTCCTCTCCCCCTCATGCCGTCAGATCCTCGGCTTTCTGCTCTCAGGAGTGGCGCTCAACCAGCTGGGGCTCATTCGCAACATCTCGGATGTCAAGGCACTCTCAGAGCTCGGAATTCTCTTCCTGGTGAGTCTCACTACGCTGCACCGCTGCACTTTCTGCACTCACTGCTCAATAAACAGCTCCAGGCCCTGTTCTCATCCGCAACATTTCTGATGTCAAAGCGCTCTCGGAGCTCGGGATTCTCTTCCTGGTAAGCCGCACAGCACTCACTACTCTTTGCTCTCTGCTGTTTATTCTCTGCTCTCTGCCCTCTGCTCTCTGCTCTCTGCTTTTTGAGACGGAGCTGGAGCGCTCCATTGAGCGGCTGAAGGACCTCCTATTCAGGCGATCTGTCTCGTGTATACCAGGAACATTGTTTCCCCTATTTCTTCCTTTTCTGCCCCTCTTCTCCCCTCATATCCCCACCCACAGCTCTTCGAGATGGGTCTGGAGCTGTCCATTGAGCGGCTGAGGGCTCTCGCTAAGTTTGCCTTTGGCATGGGCCTGCCACAGGTGGGTGGGGTGTGGGGTGTGGCAGGTGAGGGGCTAAGTGTGGGGTGCTGGAGGTGAGAGGCTGTAGGTGAGGGGTTGTGGGGATGATGGGGGTAGCAGCGAGATGGGTCTAGAGCTGTCCATTGAGCGGCTGAGGGCTCTGGCTAAGTTTGCCTTTGGCATGGGCCTGCCGCAGGTGAGTGGGGTGTGGGGTGCTGTGGGTGAGACGCTGTTGGTTGGCTGTAGCAGGTGACGTGTTGTAGCAGGTGACGTGTTGTAGCAGGTGACGTGTTGTAGCAGGTGACGTGTTGTAGCAGGTGACGTGTTGTAGCAGGTGACGTGTTGTAGCAGGTGACGTGTTGTAGCAGGTGACGTGCTGTAGCAGGTGACGTGTTGTAGCAGGTGACGTGATGTAGCAGGTGACGTGTTGTAGCAGGTGACGTGTTGTCGCAGGTGACGTGATGTAGCAGGTGACGTGTTGTAGCAGGTGACGTGTTGTAGCAGGTGACGTGTTGTAGCAGGTGACGTGTTGTCGCAGGTGACGTGTTGTAGCAGGTGAGTGGCTGTAGCAGTTGAGGTGAGGGGTTATACCTTTGCTGCTTCTGCCACCCCCATTGCTACTACTACTTACCACCCTTGCCTTTGCAGCATTCGAGCTCCCACCGGACAACGCCGTAGGCACTTCACCACTCTTCACCGCTCGCGCCTCACTTCTCACCCCACTCCCTTTCCCTCCTCCCCATCCCACAGGTGCTGCTCACAACGCTCGCCTTTGCAGCATTCGAGCTCCCACCCGACAACGCCATGGGCACTCGCCTGCTTGAGTGGGCGGCATCGGCCCGGCCCGACCTGGTATGCCTCTGTTTGCCGCCCGGTGCCTCTGTTTGCCGCCCGGTGCCCTTGTTCGTCGCCCATTCCCTCTGGTTGACGCCTGGTCCCTCTGCTTTCCGCTGCTGCCCAATCTCTCACTGCAGGTGAACATCCGGTCAGTGGACGAGGCTCTGGTGATCGGGGATGCTCTCTGTCTTTGCTCTCGTTGATGCTGACCTCTGTTCGCCGCCCCATGTCTCTGCTTGCCGCCCGGTTACTCGGTCTGCTACAGGTGAACATTCGATCAGTGGACGAGGCTATTGTCATCGGGGCTGCTCTCTCGCTCTCCTCCTCTGCCTTTGTGCTTCAGGTGCGCATTTCCATCTCCACACCACCCACACACACCCCCTTTCAACCTCCCCCCTCAACCCGCATCGCCTCCCACCCCTCGGCCCCGCCCCCGCTCCCAAGCCCCCAGGCACTCCCTGGTTCCCGTTTTTGTCTTCATGGTTTTGAGTTATATCCTTGTCTCAATGGATTTTCATGGATACTAGCTTCTGCACCTATTCCGTGGTACCGTGTGCTTGTCTCTGCTCGTCTCTGATCGTCTGTGCTCATCTGTGCGTGTCTGTCTGTCTGTGCTCATATTGCTTCAGCTGCTGTCAGAGAAAGGAGAGCTTGCCACCCGCGTCGGCTCAGCCACTCTAGGAATTCTGCTGCTGCAGGTATGTGCATTTGGGCATTATACCAAATCTGCATGCATGCATGCATGCGTGTGTGTATGCATGCATGTATGTATGTATGTATGCACGCGTGTGTGTGTGCATGCTTCACAGTTGCATCTCGGCCCCAAATCGCTCATCCCACTCCACCTTCTGCCACTCCTTCACACTTTGCTCTTCTCATCCCACAAAAAAAAGCAGCCCTCCTGACTTCCTCCCACAACTTCCTCACTTCCTCCCACGTCTCTCCCACTGCAGGATATAGCAGTGGTTCCTCTACTGGTCATCCTCCCCATCCTTGAGAGTGGGGTGAGTGTCAACAGCCGCAGTGAGAGACTTTTGAGAATTCTCAAAAACAGTCTGCAAGTATAATTCTTTGAGACGCCTCAAAAGTCAGTCTCAAATAGTCAACTTGTTTTGAGACGTCTCAAGAATCAACCTTTTTCACGCGAGAGACTTTTGAGAACTCTCAGAAACAGTCTGCAAGTAAAAATAGTGGCCCTTGGGTCCATCTCTCTCAGCACCCATCCCTACCCAGCTTAACCCAACCCAACCCAACCGAGCCCAAACCCCTCCCATCCTCCCCTCACTCCTCCAACCGGACTTCACGGACGACAGTCTATTCCCACTCCTTGCAGCAGCGGGCCTCAAGTCGTGCTGCTCTGCATGGGCCGCCACTTTCCCTTTCACGCCCACCAACACTCTCCCCTCTCTCTCCCATTATTTTACCCTACAACGCCTCCTTTCTCCCCCTCAGGACTTCACCGATGACAGTCTATTCCCCCTGTTGGCAGCAGCAGGCCTCAAGTCCCTGCTGGCCTGGGCGTGCTGCTCTACATGGGCCGCCTCTTTCCCTTCCTTTACACGCCCACCAACACTCTCCCCTCTCCCTCCCCTTGTGTTTCTCCACAGGATTTCACCGATGACAGTCTGTTCCCCCTGTTGGCAGCAGCAGGACTCAAGTCCCTGCTGGGCCTGGGAGTGCTTCCATACATGGGCCAGCTCTCTCCCTAATCCTTCCCCGTTCCCATCCCATTCACCCCCTATCCTTTCCCTCAGGATTTCACCGATGACAGTCTATTCCCCCTGTTGGCAGCAGCAGGACTCAAGTCGCTGCTGGGCCTGGGCGTGCTGCTCTACATGGGCCGGCTCTTTCTCAGAAGGTTCTTTGAGTTTGTCGCCGAGTCTCGCAGCACAGAGGCCTTTGTGGCGCTCTGTCTGCTCACAGTCACTGGGACTTCACTTATCACCAGCAAGCTGGGATTCAGTGACTCGGTGAGTTGTTGCTACTAGGTTCACAGGCGCGCACCACTATTTAGGCCCCTTTCGATTCGAATCGCGCAGCACAGAGGCCGTTGTGGCGCTCTGTCTGCTCACGGTCACAGGGACTTCACTGATTACCAGCAAGCTGGGTTTCAGTGACTCGGTGAGTGGGTGTATCTAGGTATGCAGGCGCACAGCACACCTCCCTTTAGGGCCTGAGGGAGTCTCGCAGCACAGAGGCATTTGTGGCGCTCTGCCTGCTCACGGTCACAGGGACTTCATTGATTACCAGCAAGCTGGGTTTCAGTGACTCGGTGAGTGGGTGTATCTAGGTATGCAGGCGCACAGCACACCTCCCTTTAGGGCCTGAGGGAGTCTCGCAGCACAGAGGCATTTGTGGCGCTCTGCCTGCTCACGGTCACAGGGACTTCATTGATTACCAGCAAGCTGGGCTCCAGTGACTCGGTGGGTGTGTTGGTGCACAGGGGTAACATGGTGCAAACCTCTGTGCAAGTATTTCTTAGAGGAGTCGCGCAGCACAGAGGCCTTTGTGGCGCTCTGCCACTTGACGGTCACTGGCACGTCCCTCATCACCAGCAAGCTGGGATTCAGGGACTCGGTGAGACTTGCTTGTAATGCATGCAAGCTGGGATTCAGTCACTTTTGAGAATTCTCAGAAACGCACGCAGGTGGAGTGGAGGCACCATGAACCCAACTCCTCACTGACTCAGCAAAGACAGGTACTCTCCCCTCTGTCTCTCCTGCGTGCCTGTCTTTGCAGCTTGGAGCATTCCTGGCAGGAGCGCTGCTGGCAGAGACAAACTATCGCACACAGGTGAGAGCATCTGATCCAGTAGATTGTATCCATTGTAGTACCCTTTTCAACCGTTTTTTCAACCCTTTCCAACCCATCCAGAGCGCAATATACAGCCGGGGGCTTGCGAAATCTCTAGAATCTCCCTGCCGCCTCTGTCTCAATTCATGCTTCGCCTTCATCCCCCATCCCCCATGCCTGATGACTCATACCCTATACCTCCATGCCCCATGCCCCATGCCCAGGTCGAGGCGGACATTCGTCCCTTCAGGGGTCTGCTGCTGGGTCTCTTCTTTGTCACCCATCTTTGCTCATCCGATTTTTGTGTAATTTACATACCTTCGTGCCCCACCTTTAGCTCCCACACCTCCATTCCCCATGCCCCGCGCACAGGTCGAGGCGGACATTCGTCCATTCAGGGGGCTCCTGCTGGGGCTCAGCCCGTCACGCTTTGCCTCCATCCATCCATCCATCCCATTTCCCATGCCCCATGCCCCATACCCCATACCCCCATACCCTGTGCCCCGCTCCCAGGTCGAGGCAGACATCCGTCCCTTCAGGGGGCTCCTGCTGGGTCTCTTCTTTGTCACCACCGGCACATCCGTCTTTTGTGTAATTTCCATACCTTCGTGCCCCATACCTCCATTCCCCATGCCCCACGCACAGGTCGAGGCGGACATTCGTCCCTTCAGAGGTCTGCTGCTGGGTCTCTTCTTTGTCACCCATCTTTGCTCATCCGATTTTTGTGTAATTTCCATACCTTCGTGCTCCCATACCTCCATTCCCCATGCCCCGCGCACAGGTGGAGGCGGACATTCGTCCCTTCAGGGGGCTCCTGCTGGGGCTCTTCTTTGTCACCACTGGCACCTCCATCGACCTCAGTGTGAGTCAGTTCTGCCTTTACATAGCCTCGTACATACACAGCATGGTTCATTCGGGGTGTAATCCGTTGAACCACAGTGTCTGCTGCTGGGTCTCTTCTTTGTCACCACTGGCACATCTATCGACCTCAGTGTGAGTCAGTTCTGCCTTTACATAGCCTCGTACATACACAGCATGGTTCATTCGGGGTGTAATCCGTTGAACCACAGTGTCTGCTGCTGGGTCTCTTCTTTGTCACCACTGGCACATCTATCGACCTCAGTGTGAGTCAGTGGTGCCGTTGTGTCAGCTCGTGCACACTCTTGCACAGTATGGTAGACAAGCCGTTGAACCACTCTCCAAGCCTCTTCGCCTCTGCCTTCCCTCTTCCCTAACACACCGTCCCCTCCCTCTCTTCCCCTCCCCCCATCACAGCTCCTAGCAGCGGAGTGGCCCAACATCCTACTCCTCCTCTCGGGCCTCATCGCACCCTCCCATACACCCTCCCTACCCCTTTCTGTCTTCACCACCCCCCCAACCCTCCCCCCCCTCCCCCCCTCACTCCCTGCGTCCAATCACCACAGCTCCTAGCAGCGGAGTGGCCCAACATTCTACTCCTCCTCTCCTGCCTCATAGCCATCAAGACTGCCATCACCACGGCGCTCGCCCCCCACCCTCCCACACACCCTCCCTGCCCCTTTCTGTCTTCACCACCCCCCCATACCCCCCCCCCCCCCCCCCCCCCTCCTCACTCCCTGCGTCCAATCACCACAGCTCCTAGCACCGGAGTGGCCCAACATTCTCCTCCTCCTCTCCGGTCTCATAGCCATCAAGACTGCCATCACCACGGCGCTCGCCCCCCACCCTCCCACACACCCTCCCTGCCTCTTTCTGTCTTCACCACCCCCCGATACCCCCCCCCCCCCCCCCCTCCTCACTCCCTGCGTCCAATCACCACAGCTCCTAGCACCGGAGTGGCCCAACATTCTCCTCCTCCTCTCCGGCCTCATAGCCATCAAAACCGCCATCATTACGGCTCTCGGCCTCGGCCCGCGTGTTGGTCTCTCCCTCCCCGACTCCATCGTGCTGCCAAACCACCCATCTAAACCTCTCCGCCTCTGCCTCTACCTCTGCCTTCCCTTTCCCCCGTCCAGCTCCTAGCACCGGAGTGGCCCAACATTCTCCTCCTCCTCCGGGTCTCATAGCCATCAAAACCGCCATCATCACGGCGCTCGGCCCCCACTCTCCCAAACCACTCTCTAAGCCTCTCCGCCTCTGCCTTCCCTCTTCCCAAACCCCCGTCCCCTCCCTCTTCCCTACCCTACCCCCCACGTGCAGCTCCTAGCAGCGGAGTGGCCCAACATATTGCTCCTCCTCTCGGGCCTCATAGCTATAAAAACCGCCATCATCACGGCGCTCGGCCCAACTCTCCCACTCACCCTCCCTGCCCCTTTCTGTCTTCCACACCCCCCCCTTGTCTCTCCCCCCGCTTTCCTTCCAATCACCACAGCTCCTAGCAGCGGAGTGGCCCAACATATTGCTCCTCCTCTCGGGCCTCATAGCCATCAAAACTGCTATCATTACCGCGCTCGGCCCGCGTGTCGGCCTCTCCCTCCCCGAGTCCATTCGCACGGGTCTGCTGCTCTCCCAAGGAGGAGAATTCGCCTTTGTCGTCTTTGCCCTCGCCAGCCAGTGAGTAAATAACCCCTAACCCCCTGCCGCCTGCTCCCTTCCAGTGACTCCTGGTTGAATCAATTGGTCACCATGCCTCTCTCACCCTCTCGCTCTTTCCCTCCCCCACTCCCTGGGGTGAGGTGATCGGCAGCAGAGGCGCTAGAGAGGTGGAAGAGGGAGAGGCACAAGGCGGAAGCATCTGGAACCTAGATGGACTTGGGTGTTCCCAATACATCCCACTCTCTTCCACCTCCCTCCCCCTTCAACCAGGCTGGGAGTTCTGCCAGACGAGTTGAATCGTTTGCTAATCATCGTGGTCGTTCTCTCCATGGCTCTCACACCTCTTCTTGACTCGCTGGGGCGGTCAGCAGCAGAGGCGCTTGAGAAGCGGGAGAGGGAGAGGCGGAAGGCGCTAGGGGAGGGGGAGGAGGGGGACGGGTAGGAGGGGCTGGATGTGGTGGGGGGAAGCAAGGGGAAGGGGAAGGGGCGGAAGAAAGGCGGAGAGGAAGGACATGGGGTGAGTGGGATGTAATTAGATTTTTTTTTTCTTCTTTTTCTGGTTGAGCTCTTGCAATAGGGGCTTGTTTGGAACTATTACCCTATTGTTCCAAGCAATAGGCGCGCGCCTTGGTCCAAGGCTCAATAGGGGCTTGCTTGGAACTATTACCCAAGCGCGCGCCTTGGTCTACGCGCGCGCCTTGGTCCACGCGCGCGCCTTGGTCCACGCGCGCGCCTTGGTCCACGCGCGCGCCTTGGTCCACGCGCGCGCCTTGGTCCACGCGCGCGCCTTGGTCCACGCGCGCGCCTTGGTCCACGCGCGCCGCCTTGGTCCACGCGCGCGCCTTGGTCCACGCGCCCGCCTTGGTCCACGCGCGCGCCTTGGTCCACGCGCGCGCCTTGGTCCACGCGCGCGCCTTGGTCCACGCGCGCGCCTTGGTCCACGCGCGCGCCGCCTTGGTCCACGCGCGCGCCTTGGTCCACGCGCGCGCCTTGGTCCACGCGCGCGCCTTGGTCCACGCGCGCGCCTTGGTCCACGCGCGCGCCGCCTTGGTCCACGAGCGCGCCTTGGTCCACGCGCGCGCCCTGGTCCACGCGCGCGCCGCCTTGGTCCACGCGCGCGCCTTGCTCCACGTGCGCGCCTTGGTCCACGCGCGTGCCTTGGTCCACGCGCGCGCCGCCTTGGTCCACGCGCGCGCCTTGGTCCACGCGCGCGCCTTGGTCCGCGCGCGCGCCTTGGTCCGCGCGCGCGCCTTGGTCCACGCGCGCGCCATGGTCCACGCGCGCGCCATGGTCCACGCGCGCGCCTTGGTCCACGCGCGCGCCTTGGTCCATGCGCGCGCCTTGGTCCACGCGCGCGCTTTGGTCCACGCACGCGCCTTGGTCCACGCGCGCGCCTTGGTCCACGCGCGCGCCTTGGTCCACGCGCGCGCCCTGGTCCACGCGCGCGCCCTGGTCCACGCGCGCGCCTTGGTCCACGCGCGCGCCGCCTTGGTCCACGAGCGCGCCTTGGTCCACGCGCGCGCCCTGGTCCACGCGCGCGCCTTGGTCCACGCGCGCGCCTTGGTCCACGCGCGCCGCCTTGGTCCACGAGCGCGCCTTGGTCCACGCGCGCGCCCTGGTCCACGCGCGCGCCTTGGTCCACGCGCGCGCCTTGGTCCACGCGCGCGCCTTGGTCCACGCGCGCGCCTTGGTCCACGCGCGCGCCTTGGTCCACGCGCACGCCCTGGTCTACGCGCGCGCCTTGGTCCACGCGCGCGCCTTGGTCCACGCGCGCGCCTTGGTCCACGCGCGCGCCCTGGTCCACGCGCGCGCCCTGGTCCACGCGCGCGCCCTGGTCCACGCGCGCGCCCTGGTCCACGCGCGCGCCTTGGTCCACGCGCGCCGCCTTGGTCCACGCGCGCGCCTTGGTCCACGCGCGCGCCTTGGTCCACGCGCGCGCCGCCTTGGTCCACGCGCGCGCCTTCTTGGTCCACGCGCGCGCCTTGGTCCACGCGCGCGCCTTGGTCCACGCGCGCGCCTTGGTCCACGCGCGCGCCTTGGTCCACGCGCGCGCCTTGGTCCACGCGCGCGCCTTGGTCCACGCGCGCGCCTTGGTCCACGCGCGCGCCTTGGTCCACGCGCGCGCCTTGGTCCACGCGCGCGCCTTGGTCCACGCGCGCGCCTTGGTCCACGCGCGCGCCATGGTCCACGCGCGCGCCATGGTCCACGCGCGCGCCTTGGTCCACGCGCGCGCCTTGGTCCACGCGCGCGCCATGGTCCACGCGCGCGCCATGGTCCACGCGCGCGCCTTGGTCCACGCGCGCGCCTTGGTCCACGCGCGCGCCTTGGTCCACGCGCGCGCCTTGGTCCACGCGCGCGCCTTGGTCCACGCGCGCGCCTTGGTCCACGCGCGCGCCTTGGTCCACGCGCGCGCCCTGGTCCACGCGCGCGCCCTGGTCCACGCGCGCGCCTTGGTCCACGCGCTCGCCCTGGTCCACGCGCGCGCCGCCTTGGTCCACGCGCGCGCCTTGGTCCACGCGCGCGCCGCCTTGGTCCACGAGCGCGCCTTGGTCCACGCGCGCGCCCTGGTCCACGCGCGCGCCTTGGTCCACGCGCGCGCCTTGGTCCACGCGCGCCGCCTTGGTCCACGAGCGCGCCTTGGTCCACGCGCGCGCCCTGGTCCACGCGCGCGCCTTGGTCCACGCGCGCGCCTTGGTCCACGCGCGCGCCTTGGTCCACGCGCGCGCCTTGGTCCACGCGCGCGCCTTGGTCCACGCGCACGCCCTGGTCTACGCGCGCGCCTTGGTCCACGCGCGCGCCCTGGTCCACGCGCGCGCCCTGGTCCACGCGCGCGCCCTGGTCCACGCGCGCGCCCTGGTCCACGCGCGCGCCTTGGTCCACGCGCGCCGCCTTGGTCCACGCGCGCGCCTTGGTCCACGCGCGCGCCTTGGTCCACGCGCGCGCCGCCTTGGTCCACGCGCGCGCCTTCTTGGTCCACGCGCGCGCCTTGGTCCACGCGCGCGCCTTGGTCCACGCGCGCGCCTTGGTCCACGCGCGCGCCTTGGTCCACGCGCGCGCCTTGGTCCACGCGCGCGCCTTGGTCCACGCGCGCGCCTTGGTCCACGCGCGCGCCTTGGTCCACGCGCGCGCCTTGGTCCACGCGCGCGCCTTGGTCCACGCGCGCGCCTTGGTCCACGCGCGCGCCTTGGTCCACGCGCGCGCCTTGGTCCACGCGCGCGCCATGGTCCACGCGCGCGCCATGGTCCACGGCGCGCGCCTTGGTCCACGCGCGCGCCTTGGTCCACGCGCGCGCCATGGTCCACGCGCGCGCCATGGTCCACGCGCGCGCCTTGGTCCACGCGCGCGCCTTGGTCCACGCGCGCGCCTTGGTCCACGCGCGCGCCTTGGTCCACGCGCGCGCCTTGGTCCACGCGCGCGCCTTGGTCCACGCGCGCGCCTTGGTCCACGCGCGCGCCCTGGTCCACGCGCGCGCCCTGGTCCACGCGCGCGCCTTGGTCCACGCGCGCGCCCTGGTCCACGCGCGCGCCGCCTTGGTCCACGCGCGCGCCTTGGTCCACGCGCGCGCCTTGGTCCACGCGCGCGCCTTGGTCCACGCGCGCGCCTTGGTCCACGCGCGCGCCCTGGTCCACGCGCACGCCTTGGTCCACGCGCGCGCCTTGGTCCACGTGCGCGCCTTGGTCCACGCGCGCGCCCTGGTCCACGCGCGCGCCCTGGTCCACGCGCGCGCCTTGGTCCACGCGCTCGCCCTGGTCCACGCGCGCGCCGCCTTGGTCCACGCGCGCGCCTTGGTCCACGCGCGCGCCGCCTTGGTCCACGAGCGCGCCTTGGTCCACGCGCGCGCCCTGGTCCACGCGCGCGCCTTGGTCCACGCGCGCGCCTTGGTCCACGCGCGCCGCCTTGGTCCACGAGCGCGCCTTGGTCCACGCGCGCGCCCTGGTCCACGCGCGCGCCTTGGTCCACGCGCGCGCCTTGGTCCACGCGCGCGCCTTGGTCCACGCGCGCGCCTTGGTCCACGCGCGCGCCTTGGTCCACGCGCACGCCCTGGTCTACGCGCGCGCCTTGGTCCACGCGCGCGCCTTGGTCCACGCGCGCGCCTTGGTCCACGCGCGCGCCCTGGTCCACGCGCGCGCCCTGGTCCACGCGCGCGCCCTGGTCCACGCGCGCGCCCTGGTCCACGCGCGCGCCTTGGTCCACGCGCGCCGCCTTGGTCCACGCGCGCGCCTTGGTCCACGCGCGCGCCTTGGTCCACGCGCGCGCCGCCTTGGTCCACGCGCGCGCCTTCTTGGTCCACGCGCGCGCCTTGGTCCACGCGCGCGCCTTGGTCCACGCGCGCGCCTTGGTCCACGCGCGCGCCTTGGTCCACGCGCGCGCCTTGGTCCACGCGCGCGCCTTGGTCCACGCGCGCGCCTTGGTCCACGCGCGCGCCTTGGTCCACGCGCGCGCCTTGGTCCACGCGCGCGCCTTGGTCCACGCGCGCGCCTTGGTCCACGCGCGCGCCATGGTCCACGCGCGCGCCATGGTCCACGCGCGCGCCTTGGTCCACGCGCGCGCCTTGGTCCACGCGCGCGCCATGGTCCACGCGCGCGCCATGGTCCACGCGCGCGCCTTGGTCCACGCGCGCGCCTTGGTCCACGCGCGCGCCTTGGTCCACGCGCGCGCCTTGGTCCACGCGCGCGCCTTGGTCCACGCGCGCGCCTTGGTCCACGCGCGCGCCCTGGTCCACGCGCGCGCCCTGGTCCACGCGCGCGCCTTGGTCCACGCGCGCGCCCTGGTCCACGCGCGCGCCGCCTTGGTCCACGCGCGCGCCTTGGTCCACGCGCGCGCCTTGGTCCACGCGCGCGCCTTGGTCCACGCGCGCGCCTTGGTCCACGCGCGCGCCCTGGTCCACGCGCACGCCTTGGTCCACGCGCGCGCCTTTGTCCACGCGCGCGCCTTGGTCCACGCGCGCGCCTTGGTCCACGCGCGCTCCTTGGTCCACGCGCGCGCCTTGGTCCACGCGCGCGCCGCCTTGGTCCACGCGCGCGCCGCCTTGGTCCACGCGCGCGCCTTGGTCCACGCGCGCGCCTTGGTCCACGCGCGCGCCTTGGTCCACGCGCGCGCCCTGGTCCACGCGCGCGCCTTGCTCCACGCGCGCGCCTTGCTCCACGCGCGCGCCTTGCGCGCCTTGCGCGCCTTGGTCCACGCGCGCGCCTTGGTCCACGCGCGCGCCTTGGTCCACGCGCGCGCCATGGTCCACGCGCGCGCCATGGTCCACGCGCGCGCCTTGGTCCACGCGCGCGCCTTGGTCCACGCGCGCGCCATGGTCCACCGCGCGCGCCATGGTCCACGCGCGCGCCTTGGTCCACGCGCGCGCCTTGGTCCACGCGCGCGCCTTGGTCCACGCGCGCGCCTTGGTCCACGCGCGCGCCTTGTCCACGCGCGCGCCTTGGTCCACGCGCGCGCCTTGGTCCACGCGCGCGCCCTGGTCCACGCGCGCGCCCTGGTCCACGCGCGCGCCTTGGTCCACGCGCGCGCCCTGATCCACGCGCGCGCCGCCTTGGTCCACGCGCGCGCCTTGGTCCACGCGCGCGCCTTGGTCCACGCGCGCGCCTTGGTCCACGCGCGCGCCTTGGTCCACGCGCGCGCCTTTGTCCACGCGCGCGCCTTGGTCCACGCTCGTGCCTTGGTCCACGCGCGCGCCTTGGTCCATGCGCGCGCCTTGGTCCACGCGCGCGCCGCCTTGGTCCACGCGCGCGCCTTGGTCCACGCGCGCGCCTTGGTCCACGCGCGCGCCTTGGTCCACGCGCGCGCCTTGGTCCACGCGCGCGCCTTGGTCCACGCGCGCGCCTTGGTCCACGCGCGCGCCTTGGTCCACGCGCGCGCCTTGGTCCACGCGCACGCCTTGGTCCACGCGCGCGCCTTTGTCCACGCGCGCGCCTTGGTCCACGCGCGCGCCTTGGTCCACGCGCGCTCCTTGGTCCACGCGCGCGCCTTGGTCCACGCGCGCGCCGCCTTGGTCCACGCGCGCGCCGCCTTGGTCCAAGCGCGCGCCTTGGTCCACGCGCGCGCCTTGGTCCACGCGCGCGCCTTGGTCCACGCGCGCGCCCTGGTCCACGCGCGCGCCTTGCTCCACGCGCGCGCCTTGCTCCACGCGCGCGCCTTGCGCGCCTTGCGCGCCTTGGTCCACGCGCGCGCCTTGGTCCACGCGCGCGCCTTGGTCCACGCGCGCGCCATGGTCCACGCGCGCGCCATGGTCCACGCGCGCGCCTTGGTCCACGCGCGCGCCTTGGTCCACGCGCGCGCCATGGTCCACGCGCGCGCCATGGTCCACGCGCGCGCCTTGGTCCACGCGCGCGCCTTGGTCCACGCGCGCGCCTTGGTCCACGCGCGCGCCTTGGTCCACGCGCGCGCCTTGTCCACGCGCGCGCCTTGGTCCACGCGCGCGCCTTGGTCCACGCGCGCGCCCTGGTCCACGCGCGCGCCCTGGTCCACGCGCGCGCCTTGGTCCACGCGCGCGCCCTGATCCACGCGCGCGCCGCCTTGGTCCACGCGCGCGCCTTGGTCCACGCGCGCGCCTTGGTCCACGCGCGCGCCTTGGTCCACGCGCGCGCCTTGGTCCACGCGCGCGCCTTGGTCCACGCGCGCGCCTTTGTCCACGCGCGCGCCTTGGTCCACGCTCGTGCCTTGGTCCACGCGCGCGCCTTGGTCCATGCGCGCGCCTTGGTCCACGCGCGCGCCGCCTTGGTCCACGCGCGCGCCTTGGTCCACGCGCGCGCCTTGGTCCACGCGCGCGCCTTGGTCCACGCGCGCGCCTTGGTCCACGCGCGCGCCTTGGTCCACGCGCGCGCCTTGCTCCACGCGCGCGCCTTGCTCCACGCGCGCGCCTTGGTCCACGCGCGCGCCTTGGTCCACGCGCGCGCCTTGGTCCACGCGCGCGCCTTGGTCCACGCGCGCGCCTTGGTCCACGCGCGCCCCTTGGTCCACGCGCGCGCCTTTGTCCAAGCCTAAGTTGTACGTTACGTTTGCGGAGCTGAAAATTGTTTGCGTTTGCGGGCAGATTACAACCTTTTCTTGGGCTGCCCACCAAACTTGTGCCCTCGTTTTTGCTGTACATCCGGTTGTTTCTTGCACAATCAAAGGGTGGTGCGACGATGTTCCGACCACCACCCATATAGTTTCCGGTGACGGGTTTCATATGTGCTGTTTTTTCACACCTTGTCCATTTTTTTTGTCTCGCATCCTGCCTCTTGTCCCAATCCTGTAGTCGACGGCCCTTCTTGGCAATTTTTCTCCCTGCCCGGATATATGTTACGCATATTTACGCGTACGTACTCGTACGTTTACGTTTACGCGTATTGTTACGATACGCGGACCCAACTTAGCTATTATCTCATTAACCCTCCCTCCCCTACCCTCCACCCCCAACTAACACAGCAACCCTCTTTATTTCCATCCATCCCCTTTTTTCCCTTTATCTCACCTGTTCTTTTCTGTGCAGGGTCACTATGGGGGGGCGGAGCCGATAGTCATTCTTGGATTCAACCACATGGGGCAGGTGAGGCATGGGGAAGGTGACACGTGGTATTACTTGGGGGGTCACTGTGCAGGGTCACTATGGGGGGGCAGGGTCACTATGGGGGGACAGGGTCACTATATGGGGGGACAGGGTCACTATATGGGGTTGCAGGGTCACTGTGGGGGGGCAGAGCCCATAGTCATTCTTGGCTTTAACCACATGGGACAGGTGAGGCATGGGGAAGGTGGGATGTGGGGAAGGTGGGATGTGGGGCAGGTGGAATGTGGGGCAGGTGGGATGTGGAGCAGATGGGATGTGGGGCAGGTGGGATGTGGGGCAGGTGGGATGTGGGGCAGGTGGGATGTGGGGTAGGTGGGATGTGGGGCAGGTGGGATGTGGGGCAGGTGGGATGTGGGGCAGGTGGGATGTGGGGCAGGTGGGATGTGGGGCAGGTGGGATGTGGGGCAGGTGGGATGTGGGGCAGGTGGGATGTGGGGCAGGTGGGATGTGGGGCAGGTGGGATGTGGGGCAGGTGGGATGTGGGGCAGGTGGGATGTCGGGCAGGTGGGATGTGGGGCAGGTGGGATGTCGGGCAGGTGGGATGTGGGGCAGGTGGGATGTGGGGCAGGTGGGATGTGGGGCAGGTGGGATGTCGGGCAGGTGGGATGTGGGGCAGGTGGGATGTGGGGCAGGTGGGATGTGGGGCAGGTGGGATGTGGGGCAGGTGGGATGTGGGGCAGGTGGGATGTGGGGCAGGTGGGATGTCGGGCAGGTGGGATGTGGGGCAGGTGGGATGTCGGGCAGGTGGGATGTGGGGCAGGTGGGATGTGGGGCAGGTGGGATGTGGGGCAGGTGGGATGTCGGGCAGGTGGGATGTGGGGCAGGTGGGATGTCGGGCAGGTGGGATGTGGGGTCACTGTGCAGGGACACCACGGGGGTGCAGGGTCACTATGGGGGTGCCGAGCCCATTGTCATTCTCTCGGCTTCAACCACATGGGGCAGGTGAGGCATGGGGAAGGTGAACCTTGGGGCAGCAGGTGACACGTGGGACAGGTGACACTACGCATATGGCAGGTTTGCGCCGTTGCAGAAAACAGCAGGTGAATCTGCTGACCACTCTGCGTGCCACCTCCCAAAAGTTCTGCCTGTCCAGATGGTCTTTGTACCCTTCCCTAACCCTAACCCTACTCTCTCACTGTCCCACCCTCCCACTCCCTCTCCCATTCCCCTCTCTCAGGTGCTGGCCAACAAGCTATCCACGCCGCTAGCCACCATCTCAGGGGGGTCGGGAGGGGACGCACCTGGGTGGATGTGTTACTTACTACTGGCCATACCTGTTCTGCCATGTGTGAATGACCCTCATGTTTCACCGCCTGTATTCATTATGCGTGCTATGTGTGATTCAGGTGCTGGCCAACATGCCATCCACGCCACTAGCCACCATCTCAGGGGGGTGCCCTGGGGGAATGTGTTACCACCACCAGTCATACCTGCTCTGCCACCCTCCCACCCTCTCACGCCCCTCTCAGGTGCTGGCCAACATGCTATCCACGCCACTAGCCACCATCTCAGGGGGTTGCCCTGGGGGGATTTGGTACCACCAGTCATACCTGCTCTGCTCTCCCACTCCCACCCTCTCACCCCCCCTCCCTCCCACCCTGCCACCCTCCCACTCCCCTCAGGTGCTGGCCAACATGCTATCCACGCCGCTGGCCACCATCTCAGGGGGGTGCCCTGGAGGAATGTGGTACCACCAGTCATACCTGCTCTGCTCCCCCACTCTCCCACCCTTCCACTCTCCCACCCTCCCACTCCCCTCTCAGGTGCTGGCCAACATGCTATCTCAGGGGGGTCGGGAGGGGACGCCCCTGGGTGGATGTGCTACTTACTACTGGCCATACCTGTTCTGCCTTGTGTGAATGTCCCTCATGTGCCCATTCGCGTCCGTTCATGTGTGATTCAGGTGCTGGCCAATATGCTCTCCATGCCGCTAGCCACCATCTCAGGGGGGTCGGGAGGATATGCACCTGGGTGGATGTGCTACTTACTACTGGCCATACCTTTTCTGCCGTGTGTGAATGTCCCTCATGTGCCCATTCGCGTCCGTTCATGTGTGATTCAGGTGCTGGCCAATATGCTCTCCACGCCGCTAGCCACCATCTCAGGGGGGTCGGGAGGGGACGCCCCTGGGTGGCCGTTTGTGTGCTTCGACCTCAACCCCAATCGCGTGCGGGTGAGTGAAGAAGTGGAGTGAGAGAGTGATTGAGTAAGAGAGTGAGTGAGAGATTGGGGGAGTGAGTGAGTGCAAGTGTGAGGTGATGCACCTAGGTGCACTTTGTGTGCTTTGATCTCAAACCCCAATCGCGTCAGGGTGAGTGCATGAGGTGGGAAAGCACCTTGGCTTCCCTGCCTCTATGCTGATGGGTGCCTATGGTTCAACACACTCTATGGTTCAACACACTCTATGGTTCAACACACTCTATGGTTCAACACACTCTATGGTTCAACACACTCTATGGTTCAACTTACTCTATGGTTCAACACACTCTATGGTTCAACACACTCTATGGTTCAACACACTCTATGGTTCAACACACTCTATGGTTCAACACACTCTATGGTTCAACACACTCTATGGTTCAACACACTCTATGGTTCAACACACTCTATGGTTCAACACACTCTATGGTTCAACACACTCTATGGTTCGACACACTCTATGGTTCAACACACTCTATGGTTCAACACACTCTATGGTTCAACACACTCTACCCCACTCTACCCCATATGCCCCTTCCCTTACTTTCCCTCCCTCCCATTTCCCCCACAGATGGGCAAGCGCCTGGGCTTCCCTGTCCTATATGGTGACGGGTGCCGCCCGGCAGTGCTCGAGTCGGCCGGCATTCCTCGTCCGCTAATGGCCATCGTGGTGTACTCGGGGCGGCAGCAGTCGGTGTCTTCTGTGGAGAGACTACACGACGCATTCCCAGGGGTGAGTGGTGCAGTGCAGCTTTTGAGGCGCCCAAAAGAAGGAGCCGTTTTAGGGGCACCTGAAGGAACAGTCGATGGTATCTGTAAAGAGAATGCACGACGCCTTCCCAGGGGTGACTGTGACGGGCGCTGGGGCCCTCGGGGGGCTTTGGCGGGCTTTGGGGGGGACCTTGGGGGGAGTGGGTGGTGCAGGCAAAGTCAGATCGCCTCAAGAAGCAGTCACATTTAAGGATGCACTCACCTGGCTGCTTAAAAGGTGACTTACAAAGCGAGCTGAGAAAGCGCTTCTTCTCTCCCGCCATTCCCCCGAACTTCTCCCCTCCCCCCCCCCCCCCCCCCCCCCCTCCCCCCTCCCCTCTCCCCTCCCACCCACAAGCTGCCCATATACGCCCGGGCCGTGGATGCAAGCCACCTGGCAGAGCTGAGAAAGGGCTTCTTAGCTCTCGCCATTCCCCCCTCTGCCTCCCCTCTGTCCCCTCTTTTCTTCGCCCTTTTCCCACCCACCAGCTGCCCATATACGCCCGGGCCGTGGATGCGAGTCACCTGGCGGAGCTGAGAAAGGCGGGTGCCACAGACGTGGTTCTGGAGAGCGCAGAGGTGAGTGAGACACTTGGGATTTGCTCTTAGCGAGGTGAGATGACGAAGAGGAGGTGAGTGGCCCTTGTAGCTCCCAAGGGCTGGTGCCACGACATGAGGTGTGTGGCTGGCCGGTGCAGCCGAGAAAGGCGGGTGCCACAGACGTGGTGCTGGAGAGCGCAGAGGTGAGACCCGCTGGGTGAGATGCGTGAATGAAGATGGTAGCGAAGTAGGACGATACGAGGAAGTAGAGGTGATACTGGTGTCATGGCATGAGTTGAGTGGCCCGTGCATCAGAAAGGCGGGTGGCACAGACGTGGTGCTGGAGAGCGCAGAGGTGAGTGAGACGTGTGGGACGTGCAGAGGTTATAGCGAGGTGAGATGAATGGCCTTGTAGCTTGGAAAGGCGGGTGGCACAGACGTGGTGCTGGAGAGCGCAGAGGTGAGTGAGACGTGTGGGACGTGCAGAGGTTATAGCGAGGTGAGATGAATGGCCTTGTAGCTTGGAAAGGCGGGTGGCACAGACGTGGTGCTGGAGAGCGCAGAGGTGAGTGAGACGTGTGGGACGTGCAGAGGTTATAGCGAGGTGAGATGAATGGCCTTGTAGCTTGGAAAGGCGGGTGGCACAGACGTGGTGCTGGAGAGCGCAGAGGTGAGTGAGACGTGTGGGACGTGCAGAGGTTATAGCGAGGTGAGATGAATGGCCTTGTAGCTTGGAAAGGCGGGTGCCACAGACGTGGTGCTGGAGAGCGCAGAGGTGAGTGAGACGTGTGGGACGTGCAGAGGTTATAGCGAGGTGAGATGAATGGCCTTGTAGCTTGGAAAGGCGGGTGCCACAGACGGATGTGAGAAAGATGCTGGGTTTCGTTTTGTCCGTCAAACACATCGTCTGGTCTGGACGATGCTGAGGCGGGTGCCACAGACGCACATTGCCGAGGCTCTCATGCGAGACGATGTATTGGTTGACCTCATGTTCCGCCTCGGCTCGCATCGTCTCATGTGAGAGAGGCTCTTGACAAGGAGGCTGTCACACGCCACGTCATGTGCGTGTGAATGCGTGCATGAACATGTGTATCCCTTTTCCCTCTCCGCAACCCCCCAGGTTGGTCTCCGTCTGGGCTCCATGCTACTGCAAGACATGGGGGTGATGAGAGACGATGTGGTGTTCCTTCGCCGCCTCATGAGGGAGGCTCTTGACACGGAGGCTCTCTCATCATCACTTGCGCTCTTGTCCCGCCCTCCAACCCCCCAGGCCGGCCTCCGACTGGGCTCCATGCTGCTACAGGACATGGGTGTGATGCGAGACGATGTGGTGTTCTTAAGGCGACTCATGCGAGAGGCTCTTGACACGGAGGCTGTCACCCGCCGCACGGGGGGGCAGCGGTTGCTCAAGGACAGATCGGATCTGGGCGGCAGCTGGCCGCCCAAGGAGGAGAATTTGGGCGGCAAGCGGGCGGCGAAGGAGGATTTGGGTGGCAGTGGGGTGGGGAAGGAGGGGGGGGGTGGTAGAGGGGAGGAGAGTGACAGGGAAGGGGATTCGAGTGGGAATGAGGAGGGAGGTGGAGGTAAGGTGAGGGTTGGGGAGGATGGGGAGAAGGAGGGAAAGAGTGAGGGACGGAAAACGAGTGGTGTTAATGGGTTGGCTGCGGTGAAAAAGGTTGGTGATAAGGTAAGTGGTGCTGCTGCTGGTAGTGGTGGTGCTGTTGCTGCTGCTGCTGCCGCCGCTGCTGCCGCCGCCACTGCTGTTGCTGCTGCTGCCAGTGGTGATGTCGACACCGCTGGTGCCGCTGCCACCGCTGCTGCCGCTGCTGCCACTGCTGCTGCTGCTAGGGTGAAACCTGCCCCTTCTGACACTGCCGCCTCTCCTGATTCTTCTGCCGCTCCCCCGGCTGCTACACCTGCATCAGGGAGTGACGGGTTGATTACACGGGCTCAAGCAATGAATGCAGCGGTGGGATTTGTGAGTGGGGATGATGAGAATGGGGACGCCGGTAATAATGGTGATGATGCTGGTGAAGGTGATGGTGATGGTGATGGTGATGATGATGGTGGTGATACTGGTGAAACTGGTGCAGCAACACCTGCAGAAGGAAGTGGTGTGCTAATTACAAGAGCCCAAGCGCTCAGTGCAGCGGCAGCATTCGTCACTAGTGATGATGACAATGGGGACGCTGCTACCGGTAACAATGGTGATGACCTTGATGATACTGGTGGTGATGGTGTGTTGGAGGCAATGAAGGAGCACCTAGAAGAGGGTAAAACCAGTGGTATCGAGAGCAGTGGGAGTGGAAAAACTGTTGTTGGCAGCTTAACGGGTGGGGCTGACATGAAGGACGGTAATTCCGGCTTGGCAAGGGCCAACGGTAGTGGAGAAGGTGAGTCAGATTCGGAGGGATCTGGCAGTGATGGCGTGGGAGGGGAGTCCTCGTTTTCGACAAGCGATGATGGGCTACAGTATTTCTCTGATGGTGAGGATTTTGTTGATACGAAGCTAGGTTGCAACTCCAGCAGTGGCACTCCTCGTGAGTTATGAGACTTGACACACCACCTAATTGGGTAGTGTTTGAAATGCAAATTCTACGGAGAATAGCTCTTTTCATGGGGCGGTATGTTATAATGTGAGAATTGCTATATGCCAGCCAAGGTATGGTGGTTCCAAGGTATGCAAATACTTGATGGGGCCATAAAGAAGTGGCTAGAAACTACTCAAGCAAAAGCTTTGCAGCATGAGAACACTAATGGCTCGGCCTGTAGAATTTGCACGAGCCACTCTATAAGATATATTTCACAGCGTTGAGTGGGGGGATATTTGTGGCGCAGAGGGATCGAAAACAGCGTTTGAGCGAACCTTCCATCAGCACGTGTCCACGTCTCGTGTTTGGTCGTTCACTTCACGCGTCTTTCGATGCCTTCTGCCAGCTACCCACCAATCGCAACAAAGCCACCGCGTCGCGCATCTTGGGATTGGATTTTGCAATCGCTGGCAGGCGAGGTGACAAGGGGAGGGAGTGAGGTGAGGGAGGATGGAGGGAGCGGAGGACGAAGGAAGCAATCGTCCTTGGGTTTTTCCTTCTTTGACCGCAGTGTACCGTGCAGAACATACTCGAACACACTATTGATGCCCAGGCTCCAATGAACATTCTGGAGTGGCATATGCAAGCAGCTGCTCCTGCCAGAAAAATTAGTTGCGAGATTTCTTGAAGTTAGGCAAACCTACCACCCTCTTACTGAATGCCTTTTCTGCATTTTCGTTTGAACAATGCGTAAAAATTCAGGAGAATTGCCATGTTGATATGAGATGTTCCGCGCTCACGAATTTCCGTCTCGTTGTTAGCGCGCGTGCTAGTTTAGCGGGAGGTGGGAATGGCGGGGGATCCTAGGGCTGCTTTCATCAATCAGCATTCGATTTCCTTTTCCTTACCCTTCTGGTACTTCTCGGGAGAATGTCGGACGTTTAGTTGGTAGTAAGAGACATTCTAAGTGTATTTGCGACTGCATTTAGCTCGGCGTCGTATTGCAGAACTGATACATCACAAACTTTCGTGGTTTCTTGCGAGGTTTCACTAAGCTTCACTTGTTGGCCAGTTCTCGCAACCATGGCGTTAGCTCGCCGGCTTAACAAGATGTTCGTTCAAGGAGGGAAGCAAGAAGGCCCCCCCGCCCCCTCCCGCAAGCCTCGCAATCCGCATTCGCACACGTCGTCGCAAGATTTGGACGACAACAGCGAGCCTCGCCGCTCGCGATCGTTCGCACGTCGCAGCTACGACAGCAGCGCGGCTCCCGCCGCTGCGACTCCACCCACCGAATCTTTCGCGAAAATGCGCAACGTCGAGTTCGCTGGACGGAAAAAAGGATGCCGCCGCGGGTCAATCCCGCGACCACGGCGCGCACGATTATCTCGTGGATTCCCCCGATAGAGTCACATCGAAATGGAGCAAAGCCGACTGGCAGGACATTATCAGCGCCTTAGAGGCAGCTTCTAAAGGGTACGAATGCTCACTTCGAAATTCCACGAGCGCAAGTAAACACGGACACATTAAACCCACGTAAACGGCACGTAGCCTTGCTGTTCAGCCTAGATCTCACTCATCTCCCTCCTATCCGTCTTTTCTTTCCCTTCCGCGCCCCTGCCTTCCGCGCCCCTGCCTTCCGCCATCCTCAGGTGCCATAAGTGCGGAGGAGACTCCTCCGCCAATCCCCCCCTCGCCTCCGCCTTGCGCCTCGTCTCTCAGCTAAAAGCCGGCGGCAATCACAATCACAACGACACCCTCTCCTCCGCCGGCACCTCTCCCAGACCTAATTCCCGAGCCTCACCCAGACCTCACCCCCGAGCCTCCTTCCCAGACATGCACGGTGCAATGACGGACGTTGGCCCGTCCGCGTGCCCGTACCTGGGCGGAGGCGGAAAGGCTGGGGCGGGGGGTGCGGGGGGAGATGCGGGGGAAGGAGGGCCACGGGTGGCGGGGCTGGTTCGGACGAACTCGGGCGCGAGCAGTAACACGGACTCGCTTATAACGGGGACGACTCATAGCGTGGGAGGGGGAGCGGGAGGGGGAGGGGGAGTGGGGAGCAACGTGAGTGCAGCCGACCTTCTGAATCGGCGCATGCTATCGTTGATTACACGGGCGCATGAGCTATACGCCAAGGACACGGTACGCATGAGTTGACTTTTGAATCCATGTCACCTCAGCAACGTGAGTGCAGCCGACCTTCTGAATCGGCGCATGCTGGCGTTGATCACTAGGGCGCACGAGCTTTACGCAAAGGACACGGTACGTACGTATGAAATGCGGTCTTAGTGAGATTTGTTAGGATTCCCAGAAATCCGGCGTATGACTTTTGAGGCGCCTCAAAGTGAGATTTGTTAGGATTCCCAGAAGGTGCTGCTGCCGATGGGAATCCTAACAAATCAGGCGCCGATGGTGGCGTCAGGCGCTGCTGCTGACGTGGCATACGTGCTGACTGCGCGGGAGCTGCAGGCAGGGGGTGGCAACATGCACGTGCCTGGCACACCGGGTTCGGCTTACAGTGGGGGGGGAGGGAGGGGGAGCATGGGTGGGGAGATGACGGAAATGGGGGGCATGGGTGGAATGGGGGGGATGGGGGGCATGGGGGGAATGGGTATGGGGGGAATGGGGGGCATGGGGGGCATGGGAGGAATGGGGGGAATGGGCATGGGTGGGGGTATGCGTGGGGGCATGGGCGGGGGCATGGGTGGGGGCATGGGTGGGGGCATGGGTGGGGGGATGGGGACTTATGATTCGATGGGGCATGGTCGGGGTGGGATGGGTGCGACGAGGCCTGCTGCTGGTGGTGCTGGTGGGATGGGTTCTGGATCAGCTGCTGGTTCAGAATTCGGTGCTATGGGCGGTGCTGGTGGTGGTGGTGCTGCTTCTGGTGGTGGTGGTGGTGCTGGTGGTGGTGGCATCAAGTTGGAAGGTCTTGATATCAAGCCGTATCAGCAGAAGCAGCAGTCCGGTACCAGTAGTTACGCAAGTTATACGCAGAAGGAAGAGTACAACACGTATGTGTATGATGGAAATGGTATTTGAGATAGTTATGCTTACCTTTGTTGTATGCGTAAAATTATAACTCTTGAGGGCTTGGTTGCAAACCGATATTCTATTTTTTTTTTCTATTTAAGTTATTGTAAGTGAAGCGCGATTGCTAGTATCCTGGCAAGTAGAGTATGGAAGAAAATTTCATTTTTCTACACCAGTTTTGTATTGGGGTCTTGCACAAAAGATAGACGTTTCGTTCTTCGAAGTGCTTTGCAGGGGTTATTGGATGACACTCCCACACCAAGGCTGTTGTTACCGGAGCGGCATTCTGGTCTTCTTGTGCCAGCTATTGAACCGCACTGCACCATTTCAAGTCTTGAACTGTTTCTTCATATCCTTATCCTTTCCCTTACGGCGATCGCTTTTCCCTCTTTATGGTGCCGCTAGGGTTTCAACAAAACCGTTCTCACAAACCAACCCACAACGTCTACCCCTCGATACTGTCGCAAATTACGACGATAGTGGTTGGTTTTCCTCAGTTATGCTCGCCATCTATATCTGCTTTGCCATTTCTTTCTTTCCGCAGTTGGCCCCAGTCGCGAGTTCGGGTGTGTGGCAGGCAGTCGTAGCGCACATTTGAAATCGATCCCCCCAGTAAATGTTCATTGGCTGTTGTTGACGAAGCACCACTGCGTCTCTGTTCAATTAGTAAGTGCCCCAAGCTAGTGTCGCGAGTTTACTACGAGTTACGGGGGAAGGTCCCTGCTAGTGTTGTTACGAGTTACAGAAAGTCTCTTACCGACGTCGGACTGTTGCGGGATAAGCGCAGTTTGCGGTTGCCTCGTGTGATAAGACAATTTCGTTTCTTCTACTGCTCAAAGCTCTCCGTCCGCGATTGCAGAGCTGCAATGGGCGTAGCCGCTTCCCGCTCATAGCCCTCCATTGTGCTCCGTCGTAGCCGCTTCCCGCTCCGACGCCATTAGAGTACTCCTGTCTTGAGATGTTTTGAGATGTCACTAGAGGAGCTTCGTATGTCTCGCCATTCTTTTTCCTTCTTGACGGCTTAGCTATCTCTCCGCGCAGCCACCTCGACCTTTCTCGTTGCTCCCTTCGCGTTGAGTCACGTCTGTGTCGTCGCTCCCTTCTTTACACTATCGACAGCGTCTCACTTTTCCGACTTTCTTCCCCCTTTTTTCAAGTGTTCTTTTCTTACCGAGTCGTTACACCCTCTGCTTTTCGACGTTCATATCGCCCAGTCGCCTCCTCTTTTCCAGCCGTTACATTCGCGTTACTGTCTCACGGCCCACAAGTCTCGGCCGTATGGAGGAAATACCCGACAGTCACGCCTTCGCGGCAGCGCCAATGGAGGGCGTGGAGTCGGAGCAACCTGTGCAGGGTGTCGAGGCACCTTTTAACGAGGATATAAACGTTTTTTCAGCACCGGAAGCGGCGTCGGAGCCTGCCGCAGCGGAGCCAGGATCGAGCACCGCGGAACACTTCGAGGCGGCGGATGCGGGTTTCGCGGCGTCCGATGCGGCGCCAGATGCGGCGGCTGATGGGGGGTACTCGGCGCACGAGAGCGCGGCAGCGGCGGCAGCGGCGGAGTTAGAAGGCGACGGAAGGGACGCGGAAGGAACGGTGGCAGCGCCAACGACGGTGATCACGGAAGATGCTGAGAACCTTCTGGACGACATGCTGGGAGAGTCAGGTACGTTCAAACGGTGACCATTTTGATTTCCCTCTTTGTCATATATATTTTCCGTATGATAAAGCCTTTCATTGTAACTTCACTCGCGTTTCACTTCGCTTGCCTTGTCAGTGTGTATCCTTGCTATAATGAATCTTCGTATTTGGTCAAACTTGCTATCAAACATTCACTTGCCAACCCCCGCCACCATATGCCCTCTCCTCCTGATGAGGCTGTTCCAGAACCTACTGCCGAACCTGCTGTTGCCGAGCCTGTTCCTCTAGATGATGCGCAAGCTGCAACCATTGGTGTTGCTGGGGAGGTTCCTGCCGATGCTACCCCCGAGGCTCCTCCCACTGCTGCGGAAACACCTGCAGAGGAATCTGTTCCTGTAGAGGAAACGTCACCAGCGGAGAGGACATCAGCAGGTGCACTAGATGGAACCGAAACTGGTGCAGAGGAATCTGCCCCTGCAGAGGAGAGTCAACCGCAGGGTGATAACCAGGAGTTTGTTCCGCCAGTGGGGGAAGCGCTGGCGGAAGGGGAAGTTCCGCCAGTCGGGGACGCACAGGGAGAGGGGGAAGCGGCTCCGCCAGTAGAGGGGATGGGCATGGATGTGAAGCGCGATGATGGGAGTGGTGCGTACGTGCAGCAGGAACCAGAGCAGCCTATAACGGGTATGGGCATGGATGTGAAGGTGGATCAGGGAGGCATGGAGGGGGGGCAGGTGGTGGGGAGAGAGGGGGAGGTTATGGGGGAGGGAGGACAGGTGGTGGGGGGAGAGGGGGAGGTTATGGGGGAGGGAGGGCAGGGGGTGGGAGAGCATGTGGGAGAGTATGTGGGAGACCATATAGATGAGCAGGAGGGGGATGGAGCACTTCAGCTTCAGATGGGCATGGATGTGAAACCTGATGGGGAAACGCCGGGGGAGATTGCGCAGGGGGAAGCGGGCGAGCAAGGGGGAGTGGGGGAGGAGGCGCAATACGAGCAGCAGGTTGGCGCAGTTGGCAGTGCGGGCGGAGAGCATGGGGAGCACAGGGAGCGTGGGGAGCATGGGGAGCAGCCACATGAAGCGCAAGCGGGGGGAGAGCTTGGGGGGGAGGCGCACGCAGGGGGGGAGCATATGGCGCAAGAGTATGCAGCGCAGGAGCATGGGGGTGGGGAGTATGGGGCACAGGGGTATGTGGGGGAGGCTTATACAGGGCAGCAGCAGCAGGGGGAGGCTTATGCAGGGCAGGAGCAGGAGGTGGGGGTGTATGCTGGGCAGCAGCAGGAGGGGGAGGCTTATGCGGGGCAGCAGCAGGAAGGGGAGGCCTATGCGGGGCAGCAACAGCAGGAGGGACAGGAGTATGTGGGGCAAGTTGTGGGAGGAGATGTGGAAATGCAGGAGCAGCAGCAAGGAACGGTGGTGCCGGAGGGAGGAGAGGTGGTTTATGCACCTAATGCTGCTGCTGCTGATGCTTCTGGTGCTGCTGGTGGTGATGCTGCTGTTGAAGCTGGAGAAGCGGCGGCTAAACCTGATGCTGATGCCTTTTCTGCTGCTGTTGCTGCCGCTGACACCGCAGCAGCAGAAGCAGCCGCAGCAGAAGCAGCAGCGACGGCAGCAGCAGAAGCAGCAGCAGCAGAAGCAGCAGCAGGTGGCGTGACAGGGGATGATGGGGAGGGAATGGAAGGGGTGCAGATGCAGGGGGAAGCGGAAGCAGCACATCTGGCTGAGGGCGGGGAGGGATACACTGAAGCGGGGACCCATGAAGGGTATGCAGAAGCAGGGGCGCAAGAAGGGTATATTACTCAGGGTAATGAAGGGATGGGGATGGGTAATGAAGGGTACGCTCAGGAGGTCGTTCAGGGGGAGCAGGGGGAGCCTCAGGGTGGGTACACGGGAGAACAGGCACATGAGGGGTACGGGCAAGAAGGGGCGACTTTTGAGTCGACTCAAAAGTCAACTCAGGGGGAGCAGGGGGAGCCTCAGGGTGGGTATACGGGAGAGCAGGGCCAGGCACATGAGGGGTACGGGCAAGATGGGGCGACTTTTGAGTCGACTCAAAAGTCAACTCAGGGGGAGCAGGGGGAGCCTCAGGGTGGGTACACGGGAGAACAGGCACATGAGGGGTACGGGCAAGAAGGGGCGACTTTTGAGTCGTCTCAAAAGTCAACTCAGGGGGAGCAGGGGGGGCCTCAGGGTGGGTACACGGGAGAGCAGGGCCAGGCACATGAGGGGTACGGGCAAGAGGGGGCGACTTTTGAGTCGACTCGAAAGTCAACTCAGGGGGAGCAGGGGGAGCCTCAGGGTGGGTACACGGGAGAGCAGGGCCAGGCACATGAGGGGTACGGGCAAGAAGGGGCGCATGCTTATGCGGTCGGTGGGGAGGCAGGAGGGTATGCGGAAGGGCAGATGGAGGGACACGTGGAGGGGCAGATGGAAGGACACGTGGACGGGCAGATGGAGGGACACGTGGAGGGGCAAATGGAGGGACACGTGGATGGGCAGATGGAGGGACACGTGGATGGGCAGATGGAAGGACATGTGGAGGGGCAGATGGAGGGGCACGTGGAGGGGCAGATGGAGGGCCACGTGGCACAGCCTTACGTGGAAGGGGAAATGGCAGCGGAAGGGCATGTGGAAGGAGGAACCACAGCAGCAGGAGAAGCAGCAGGAGAGGCAGCAGCAGGAGAAGCAGCAGCAGGAGAGGCAGCAGCAGGGGAAGCAACAGCGGCAGCAGGAGCAGGAGGAGAAGGCGCAGGGGTAGCAGACGGTGTGGGAGCGGGCGGCAAGGAGATGGTTCTGGCTGGCACGGAAGCAACAGATCGGATTTTGTCTAGTGTGGAGGCGGCAGATCTGATTCTGATGCAGCAGCAGCTGCCACAGCCGCCGCCCGGGCCGGCCGTGGGGAACCTGATGATGCTGCCGATGCTGCTCGATCAAATCGAAGCACACATCCTCTTCTACGGACGCATCTTGTGAGTTCTTTCTGAATGGGGTGTGATGTGACTGTATGGTGTGTGGTTGTACGGGTTGTGACAGTGTGCTGGCAGTGAGAGGGTTGGTTGGCAACTTGGCAGTGAGCAGAGGGCAACCTGATGATGCTGCCCATGCTGCTGGACCAGATCAAAGCACACATTATTTTCTACGGGCGCATCTTGTGAGTCGTGTGACTGTCGAAGATGTGACTGTATGGGACTGTATGGGACTGTATTGGCTGTGGGCAACCTGATGATGCTGCCCATTCTGCTGGACCAGATCCAAAGCACCGGACGATCTTGTGACTACTGTCCCACACGTGTGCGCCCGCCCCATGCACATAACCCCTCGCCCTCACCCCTCTCCCCCATCTCCCCTTTTATTCATGCACCAGTCGCAAGGAGCCTTTGGAGGAGGAGCTGCGGAATCTCGTCTTCGCATCCATGCCCTCAGGTACCGCCTTCCCCTGGTGATGCCTGGGCCTTTCCCAGGTACTGCCTTCCTTCCTCCATGGCCCAGGTAAGGCCTTCCCCACGTAACGCCTCCATGCCCTCAGGTACCGCGTTTCCCAGATGATGCCTTCATCCCCCTGTTACCGCCTTTCCCCTGCTTCCATACCCTCAGGTAGTGCCTTCCCTGTCTTACCCCCCCTTCCCCTGTTTCCTTCCAATCCCCTCGTTCCTCTCCTTGTCTTCCTCTCATTGCTCATCCTCACCTTTTCCCACTCCGTGCCACTCCTTCCCACTCATCCTCACCTTTTCCCACTCCGTGCCACTCCTTCCCACTCATCCTCACCTTTTCCCACTCCGTGCCACTCCTTCCCACTCATCCTCACCTTTTCCCACTCCGTGCCACTCCTTCCCACTCATCCTCACCTTTTCCCACTCCGTGCAACTCCTTCCCACTCATCCTCACCTTTTCCCACTCCGTGCCACTCCTTCCCACTCATCCTCACCTTTTCCCACTCCGTGCCACTCCTTCCCACTCATCCTCACCTTTTCCCACTCCGTGCCACTCCTTCCCACTCATCCTCACCTTTTCCCACTCCGTGCCACTCCTTCCCACTCATCCTCACCTTTTCCCACTCCGTGCCACTCCTTCCCACTCATCCTCACCTTTTCCCACTCCGTGCCACTCCTTCCCACTCATCCTCACCTTTTCCCACTCCGTGCCACTCCTTCCCACTCATCCTCACCTTTTCCCACTCCGTGCCACTCCTTCCCACTCATCCTCACCTTTTCCCACTCCGTGCCACTCCTTCCCACTCATCCTCACCTTTTCCCACTCCGTGCCACTCCTTCCCACTCATCCTCACCTTTTCCCACTCCGTGCCACTCCTTCCCACTCATCCTCACCTTTTCCCACTCCGTGCCACTCCTTCCCACTCATCCTCACCTTTTCCCACTCCGTGCCACTCCTTCCCACTCATCCTCACCTTTTCCCACTCCGTGCCACTCCTTCCCACTCATCCTCACCTTTTCCCACTCCGTGCCACTCCCCACTCATCCTCACTTCTTCCCTATCCTTTCCACTCATTCCTGTTCCTTCCACTTCGCTTTCACAACCCAGACCTAGACACACCAGAGCACGAGCGCTGTCTAGAAGTGGTGGACGCCTGGGAGGTTCGCAAGCGCTGGGCAGAGTACAGCACTCCTTCCCACTCATTCCCACTCCTTCCCACTCTTTCCCACCCCTTCCCACTCCTTTCCAGACCTAGACACACCAGAGCACGAGCGCTGTCTAGAAGTGGTGGACGCCTAGGAGGAGCGCAAGCGCATGGCTCTCCCCTTGCTTGCAGTGCTTCCACACCTTCCCACTCCCTCCCAACCCCTCATACTCCTTCTCACTCCGTCCCACTCCCTCCCATCCCTTACCACATCTCCTATCCAGACCTAGGCACGCCGGAGCATGAGCGATGGCTCGAGGTGGTGGAGGCTTGGGAGGAGCGCAAGCGCATGATTGGTTACCAAGCCTCGGGCGGCCGAGGCAGGGGGAGAGGCCGGGGGCGAGGCAGGGGGAGGGGCAGGGGGCGGGGGAGGGGGAGGGGGAGAAGGGGCGCATATGCTGCCAATGGGGGGGGTTATGGTGGCAGGGGGGAATATCCGGGGGAAGAAGGGGAGGAGGGGTTTTACACTGGGAGTGGGATGAGGAGAGGGGGAGTGTGGGATTCGGAAGGGATGGAAGGGGAAGAGGGTAATCCAGGGGAAATCGACGGGGAAATTCCCCATAGAAAATACCGGGTCGGGCCGAGAATTCCAGCCGAGGCGCAGAAATTAGGGGCGGTTTTGGGGAGGGCGGCGTGGGGGAAGGCAGAGGAGGAAGAGGCGAGGGAGTATCTGTTGGGTTTGGCCCCTGATAGAGGGATTGCAGAGGAAGCAGCTGGTAGGGCTGCTGCTGCTGCTGCTGTGGCTGGAAAGCATGCTGCTGCTGCTCTTGGGTTGGTGTGTGGGGATGGGGTGAAGGGGAAGGAGGAGGGGAAGGGAGTGGAGGGTAAGGAGGGGAAGGAGGAGGGGAAGAAGGATGAGGTTGTTGGTGTTGCTGATGCTGATGTTGGTGCTGGTTCTGCAGCTGTGCCTGCTAATGTGGCTGATACTGTTAATGATACTGCTGCTGCTGATGGTGCTGCTGATGGCACTGGAAAGGAAGGTGTCACAAAGGAGAGTGATGCAAGGAAACCAGATACAGGAGAAGAAACAAAGGGAGAAGATGCAAAGGGAGCAGACACAATGGAAACCGATACAAAGGACGCTGCTGCTACATCCGGTGCTGCTGCAGATGCTGCTGCCAATGCTGATGCTGCTACAGATGCTGCTGCTACAGCTGATGCTGCTGCTGCCGCTACAACCGATGCTGCCAAAGCCGATGCTGCTACAGCCGATTTGGTGGAAGCAGCCAAGGGAACAGATGAACCGGAAGCACCAGACCTTATGGAAACAGATGCAAAGGACGCTGCTGTTACCACAGATGCTCCTGCTGCTACAGCCAACGCCGGTGCTACTACAGCTGATGTCGCTACAGCCGATGGTGCTACAATTGATGGTGCTACAACTGATGTCGCTACAGCCGATGGTGCTACAACTGATGCAGAGGAAGCAGCTAAGGGAGCAGACACTATGGAAACGGATACAAAGGACGTCCCTGCTACAACCGATGCAGCAGCTGCTGCTACAACCGGTGCTGCTACAACCGATGCTGCTACAACCGATGCTGCTACAGCTGAGGTAGCGGAAGCAACTAAGGGGAGTGATGAGAAGGAAGCAGACGTAATGGAAACAGATGCAAAGGATGCTGCCGTTGCAGCCGATGCTTCTGCCGCTGCTACAGCAGTGGACACTGCAACAGGTGATGCTGCTACAGCTGATGCTGCTACAGCTGATGCTGCTACAGCTGATGCTGCTACAGCTGATGCTGCTACAGCTGATGCTGCTACAGCTGATGCTGCTACAATCGATGCTGCTACAGCTGATGCCGCAGAAGCAGCTAAAGGGAGTGATGAAAAGGGAGCAGAAGCTATGGAAACAGAAGAGAAGGTGATTGCAGAGGAAGCGGCAGAGAAGGGGACTGCAGAGGAAACAGCCGAGAAGGTTCCTGCAGAGGAAACAGCAGAGAAGAAGCCTGCAGAGGAAGCAGCCGAGAAGGTTACTGCTGAGGAAGCAGCAGAGAAGGTTCCTGCAGAGGAAGCAGCAGGGAAGATACCTACGGAGGAAGCAGAAGCTGCCAAGGAGAAGCAGGAGCAAGCACAGGACAGCAACGTTGATGCTCCTGCAGCTACCACTACTGCAGATGTGCCTGATGCTAGTACTGTTGATGTGGCTGCTGCTGCAGCTGCAGCTGCTGCTGATGCGCCTGATGGTGCTACTGCTGACGAGGCTGCTGCTGCTACTGCAACCAATGCTGCTACATCAGATGCTGCTACAACCGATGCTGCTACAGCTGATGCTGCCACCACTGATGCTGCTACAGCTGCAACTAATGCTGCTCCTGGTGATGCTGCTGCTACAGCTGATGTTGCTACTACCAATGCTGCTCCCACTGATGCCGCTACCACTGATGCCACTACAACAGATGCTGTTATAACCGATGCTGCTGCAACCGCTGTTGCTGAAACAGAAGCTTCAACTGCTGATGCCACTATAACAGATGCTGTTGCAGCCGATGCTGCTACAACCGATGTTGCTGCCACAGCTGATGCTACCGCTGCCACTGGTGCTGCTGCTGCCACCGACGCTGCTGCTACAACGTCGCATGAGGCGGCTGCTGCTGATGCTGCTGCTGATGGAGCTGCCATTACGGATGCTCCTGCTGCTCCTCCTGCTGCTGTTGCAGCCGCCAACCCCGCAGCCCCTACACCCACCAAACCCACCGGTCCCCTTCTAGACGGCTGGTGCGAGGCAGCGGATCGGGCTCTCTTAATGGCGAAGGACTCGGCTGTCAGTGCAGGAAAGGCCATGCTGGCACTCGATCGTGACCTGGACGCCATGTGGCAGGAGCTCTATGAGGTGGACAACTGCCACGTGGAGGCTGACAGCTCAGCAGGGAAACTCGCTGCGCAAGCACTGGCTGCTGCAGCTGTGGCTCGGGCGTCAGCCGCTGCTGCCAAGTCAGCGTGGGACTTAGTTAAGTATTATAGGAGTAAGGTGGGGTTGATAATGATGGAGGAGGAAGGGAGGGAGTGGAGGGAGGGGGGCGGAAGGGGGAGAGGAGGGAGGAAGGGGGAGAAAGGCGGGGTGAAGTATGTCCTTGCGCTGCAGGTTAAGCCGCGGAGGGTGAGGAGGACGGCGAGGGAGCTTGGGAAGATGGGGGATGGGGTGTGGGAGGAGGAGGAGGACGAGGAGGAAGTGGAGGGGTTGGAAGGGGTGCAGGGGGCTTCGCCTATGGACGAATCAGGAGCCGCCACGTGGACAGAGGAGGAAGGGTTTGGGGGAGGGGGAGGAGGATCGGGGGGGAGGGGAGGAATAGGGGGAGGAGTAGGGGGAGGGGTAGGGGGAGTGGTAGGCGGAGGGGTGAGCCCTGTGGCGTTTCAGGGGTATGAGGGGACGCCTGGGGGGAGGGGAAGCGGAAGGGGCAGGGGGAGGGGGAGGGGGAGGGGCAGAGGGAGGGGTAGGGGGAGGGGGAGGGGAAGGGGGCGTGGGCGCAAGTCAGTTTGGGACGAGGGGGAGGATGAGGGGGAGGAAGGGGGGGAGTGGCGGGTGGGGAAGAGGTCACGGGGGGAGATGGAGGGAGGGGGGGAGTATGGGGAGGAGGCGGAAGGGGAGGAGGAGGCGGAGGAGGAGGGGGGACAGACTCTGCGTCACAAGTTCAGTGTGGGGTCGTTTGTTGAGGTATGTGTGCGGCGTGGCCTCTAATTCTGAGGTATGTATGGTATGGGGCATGGCCCCTGATTTTCATGACTCGTCGACTCAACAGGCAGGCACGGCGGCACAAGTTCAGTGTGGGGTCGTTTGTTGAGGTATGTACAGGGCGTGGCCTCTGTTGTTGACTGTGACTGGCCTTTTTCTTCATGACGTCTTTCTCCCAACAGACTCTCCGGCACAAGTTCAGTGTGGGATCGGTATAGCCTCTAATTATGAGGTATGTATGGTATGGGGGGCATGGCCCCTGATTTTCATGACTTGTCGACTCAACAGGCAGGCACGGCGGCACAAGTGCAGTGTGGGGTCCTTTGTTGAGGTATTTAAGGGGCATGGCATGGCCTGTTTTATTATTCACCACTCACAAGGGGCACGGAACGGTGATCACAAACAGAGCTCGCCTTGCATCACTGCTGCACACTCTCTTCTCATTCATGTGTGCGCTTGCGCGTCCGCTTGCACGTGTTGCTGTGTGTCTGGCAGGTGGCATCAAACGAGGAGGGCCTGAGGGGCAGCTGGTTCACGGGCACGGTGCTGCAGATGACCTGCAACTGCTGGCATATATGTGTCTGTTGCCTTATCATCTCACGCGTATGCCTCTCTTCCCTCTCTCCCTGGCGCAGGTGGCGTCCAACGAGGAGGGGCTGAGGGGCAGCTGGTTCACGGGCACGGTGCTGCAGATATATGCTCATGTGTGCCTTGCTTGCACATGTTGCTGTCTGTGCGTGTGGTTGCGCCGGTTCGTGTTGCTGTGTGCACGGCAGGTGGCGTCAAACGAGGAGGGCCTGAGGGGCAGCTGGTTCACGGGCACGGTGCTGCAGATAGTGGGCAACAGGGCGTTGGTGCGATACGATGAGTTGCTGGATGACGATGGTGAGTGGATGAGCCTCGTGGTGGTGAGTGCATGGCGCATGGTGTTGGTGGTGAGGCTCTTGCACATGTGAAATGGGCCTAGAAGCTAGGAGATGGCTTCACTGGGTACTGCTGCAGATTGTGGGCAACAGGGCGTTGGTGCGATACGACGAACTGTTGGACGATGATGGTGAGTGCATGAGCCTCATGGTGTTAGTGGTGAGTGCATGGTGATTGATGCTTGGAGCCTGACTTCACGGGCACGGTGCTTCAGATGGTGTACAATGAGCTGCTGGAGGGTGATGGTGAGTGGTGGTGATTGCATGGCTATAGCTTCTTGCATGCATCCTTGGTTCACGGGCACAGTGCTGCAGATAGAAGGGCCAGCAGCCGGAGAGGCGGCTGAGAGGCGGCTTAACCCCCCTACTACCCTTCCTCCCCCACCCCCCCTCACTCCACCAGGCACCCACCAGTTGGAGGAGTGGGTGGGGCTGGTCCCGCCATCCCCTGCTGCAAGCGACGCCTCCCGCTTTGTCTCGGGAGTGCCATCGGGCCCCCAGAGGAAGGGCCAGCAGCCGGAGAGGCGGCTTAACCCCCCTGCCACCCTTCCTCCCCCAACCCCCCTCGCTCCACCAGGCACCCATCAGTTGGAGGAGTGGGTGGGGCTGGTCCCGCCTTCCCCTGCTGCAAGCGATGCTTCCCGCTTTGTGCCGTCGGCCCCCCAGAGGAAGGGCCAGCAGCCTGAGAGGCGGCTTAACCCTCTTGCTACCCTTCCTCCCTCCCCCACCCCCCTCCCTCCCACCAGGCACCCACCAGCTGGAGGAGTGGGTGGGGCTGGTCCCGCCCTCCCCTGCTGCAAGTGACGCTTCTCGCTTCCTGTCAGGCATGCCGTCGGCCCCCCAGAGGAAGGGCCAGCAGCCGGAAAGGCAGCTGAGAGGCGGCTGGGAGGCGGCTGAGAGGCGGCTGAGAGGCGGCTGAGAGGCGGCTGAGAGGCGGCTGGGAGGCGGCTGGGAGGCGGCTGCTGTAATTAGTTGACTTTTGAGTCGACTCAAAAGTCAACTCGGCTGGGAGGCGGCTGGGAGGCGGCTGGGAGGCGGCTGAGCCTGCCTTCTTAACCTCACCCACCCTCCGAACTCTCTTCTTTCCCATTGTCCCCATCCCCCCGCTCTCCTCCTCACCCTTCTCTCACCCCAGGCACACACCAGCTGGAGGAGTGGGTGGGTCTGGTCCCGCCATCCCCTGCTGCAAGCGACGCCTCCCGCTTTGTCTCGGGAGTGCCGTCGGCCCCCCAGAGGAAGGGCCAGCAGCCGGAGAGGCGGCTGAACCCCGTTTCTTCCTCTTCTCCCGCTTTCCCCACCTCTCTCCAGGCACCCACCAGTTAGAGGAGTGGGTGGGGCTCGTCCCGCCCTCCCCTGCTGCAAGCGACGCTTCTCGCTTCGTCTCGGGCGTGCCGTCGGCCCCCCAGAGGAAGGGCGCGCAGCCGGAGAGGCGGCTGCGGCCGGGGAGGGAGAGGGGGAGGCGGCGGAGAGTTGCCATGGGGCGAGTGTGGGCTGTGGGAGACAGAGTCGACGCGTGGGTGGACGACGGGTGAGTTCTGAGTAAAGTTGAAAGGGAGAAAGGGATAGAGCAAAGCCGAGAGGAAAGGCGAGAGCAGGGCGAGGAGCTTGAGAGCAAGGGCCAGAGGAAGGGCGAGCAGCCGGAGAGGCGGCTGAGGCTGGGGAGGGAGAGGGGGAGGCGGCGGAGGGTGGCGATGGGGCGGGTGTGGGCTGTGGGGGACAGAGTCGACGCGTGGGTGGATGACGGGTGAGTTCTGAATTGACTTGAAAGGGATAGAGGAAGGGCGAGAGCAAGGTTACGAGAAAGGGCTAGTAGAGGGGTGAGAGGAAGGGCGAGCAGCCTGAGAGGCGGCTGCGGCCGGGGAGGGAGAGGGGGAGGCGGCGGAGGGTGGCCATGGGGCGGGTGTGGGCTGTGGGAGACAGAGTCGATGCATGGGTGGGTGACGGGTGAGTGGGGGGGTGATTAGCTTTTGATTGACGCAAAGAATTCTTAGCAAGTGGTCTATGAGGGTGAGGGCGTGGGCTGTGGGGATGAGCCTATTTTTTAGTCGACTAAAAAAAAGAATTCTTAGCAAGTGGTGTATGAGGGGGAGGGCGTGGGCTGTGGGGATGAGGGTCGACGCATGTAGTCTCTCTCGCTCGCTTTCCTTCTCACCCCCTCTTGTTCTCTTTCCCCTCTCACCCCCACTTGCTCTTTTTCACTCGCAACCCCTCCTGCTCCCTCCCTCTCACCCCTTCTCGCTCTCTTCCCCTCCACCTCTCATTCCATTTACCCCTCTCCCCTTATCCCCCTCTCGGCAACACAGGTGGTGGGAGGGGGTAGTCACTGCACTGGACGCACAGGGTCCCAAAATCAGAGGCTTCACTGTGGAGTTTCCAGGTACTTTCCTTTACGCTCTTGTTCCTAGCTTCTTCTCAATCCCAGTCTTCTGCTGCTGAAGTGGCACATCCGCATCTCTATTCCAGAGGCACCTCGGTACTACAGTTTCTCTTGCCGTGTCAGTCCTTCTCACCTGCACTTTGTCTCCTTTTACGCTTGCCGTCCCTTCCCTCCCTTACGGCAGGGTACGGGGAGATGGGGCAGAAGCAGGTGCGGCCGTGGGAGCTGCGCCCATCAATGGTGTATGACACTCAGGGCCACCTCTGGCACCTCGTCAAGGTCAAGGCCGCGTCGCTTGCTGCTCACTGCCACTCATCTCTCCCCCACCCTGCCCCCCCCTTTCCTCTCCCCCCCTGCTCCCCCCCCTGCTCCCCCCCTGCTCCCCCCTGCTGCTCCTCCCCCTGCTTCTCCCCCTGCTCCTCTTTCCCTCCCCCATTCCCTCACCGCCCCCTGCTGTTGTGGCAGGGTACGGGGAGATGGGGCAGAAGCAGGTGCGGCCGTGGGAGCTGCGGCCATCAATGGTGTATGACACTCAGGGCCACCTCTGGCATTTCGTCAAGGTCAAGGCCGCGTCGCTTGCTGCTGTGGTGGGCGGAGCAGGGGGCGATGAAGAGGAGGAGGGGGAGGAGGAGGAAGTCGAGTATGTGGGGGAGGAGGCTGGCGCAGCAATGGAAATGGTGAGTCTTGTGGAAAAATCGAGGTGCATTATAAGGAATATCTCGTGGAGGAGGCCGGCGCCCCAATTGAATTGGTGAGTCTGATGGACGAATTGAGGTGCCTTAGAGAGAATATCTGGGGAGGAGGCCGATGCTGCAATGGAGATGGTGATTATTCACTGAGGGGGAGCTCAGTCTTCCTGAGACATGTCTAAAGTCACCTCCCATCTCCTATTGCCCATCTCCTATCTCCCACCGCCCATCACCCCCCCCCCCCCCCCCCCCCCCCCCACAACACCACGTGTAGCAGATGGAGAGGCCTCGGAAGAGAGGCCGGCCGCAACTTTCTGATACATCTCTAGAGTCATCTCCCTTCTCTCATTGTCCATCACCCATCTCCCATCGCCCATCTCCCCCAAACATCACATGTGGCAGATGGAGAGGCCTCGGAAGAGAGGCCGTCCGCGCCTGCACTGAGAGGGAGTTCTTTGTCTGTGATTGTGGCCCCACACAGTTGGTGAGTGCTCGAAACAAGTGGGGTGTTACGAAAGCATTCAAATGGAGTCTTTATCGGCGCTTTTGGGAGGGTGTTTGATTAATAGCTAACAGTTGATCTGTTACTGCTGATAAGCCATTCTGTATTGTCGGCCTATGGTTCGTTGTTGGCTTGCTCACGGATTTCTGTTTTGCGTGTCTCCGTCCATTCCCAAACCATGTCGTTAGTGGCCAGGGTGATAACTAGCGTGACTGAAGTTTGTGAAGTTGAACCTTCATATTCATCCTTAATTAGAAGAGCGTGGGCTGTAGTCAGGACGTGAATGCATGTCTGGAATCGGGTGTGTAGTGAAAGGTTTTTGCTTTGTGAGTAGATGGTATGACAGATGTACTGTTTGCCCATTGACTCAAGTTTAGTAGTGTTCACTAACCCCTAGTGAAGGAAAGTAGTTGTATCTATAAAAGTTTATACACGCTGCACATGGTTTTTTTGCCACACTATCCCGTATTTTCCGTGTCGTGTTTGTTGCATCTGCGTTGCATACCCTGGCTGGCGCGCAGGCCGCAGATGGGTCAAAGACCCGCAATTGGCGGTCTTTGTTACCCAATCAGTTCCAATCCAACCAGGTGACTCTGACATCCTTTCCGCGCAGGCACGCTAGCTGTTTAGTTTTTTCGAGGCGCACATTGACCGACGAACCGTATCGCGCATTCCCAAAACAAAATTCAATTTCCATCCAACCTTCCCTCGTGCGCACTGCACGTAGTGCATTGCATGGACTGATGCAGTCGCCCCTTATCCGGATTCTAGGGTCGTCGTGAGTTTCGAGTTATCCGTCTATCCATCTATGGGTGTCGTCAGAATGATGTCTTTGAGTTTGACAGCACAAAGGTAAGCAGGACGTGGCAGTCATCTAGGGTTTTTGCTAGTCGATTGGATACCTAGGAGGACCGTTGCATTGCATGGTGTTTCCCTGCAATCCAGAGAGCTAGACCTGTTCATGAGACGGAAACCGCGCTGCTAACTCGTCGACCTCGTAACACTCGTCCTCGTAATACCCGTCTACCCACCATTCGAACGCTCTATCTTCCACTCGTGTAGCGCATGGTTATGGCTCCATCGACCATCATGGAGATCATAGACGCGAACGATAGGAAGACACATAGCACTCCGTCACATGGCGATTCTACACTTGCAGCCTGCGCGCAACAGGTGGATTTGTTCAGGAAGTTGCATGCGCTGCAGTGCCATACCATGTCCCGCCATGCTATGTGCGGTACCAGGCATCTTGTCGTGTGTGCACCGCGGTACTCCTACTAGGCACCATGCGAGGCCATGTGATGTTTTGCGTCGAAAGGGTTCCCGAATTGTTGCGAGTCGCCATGTGGAGCGCACAAGGAAGAACGAATCCTCCGCCACTTTCGAGGCGGCTCGAGGGGTTGAGAGCGCGCTCCGTCCGAACAAGTGGGCGCGTAACGCAGCGCGGCAGCTCCCTTCGCAACCAGAGCCTGACGACAAGCCACCAACGCTCGTTGAAGCTAACCCCCCACTCTCCTAGCTGCTATTACCAGCCCCCACGCTGCATCTATATAAGTCGAGGGTGCTTCCTCACCGTCAGTGCATGCGGTTCTTCGAGCTCTCTCTTCCAGCCCTGTTTTCCGTTTCTCCCTCTTGCCTCGCCTTGCGCGTTCCTTCGTTCCGGAACCTCGTGTCAGCGAGCCGTCGTCATGGGTCGCGCGTTGGTGCTTGCGTTGCTCGCGTTCTGCCTGGTGGGGTGCGCCTCGGCGCGCTTTGGCTCCCCCGCCAACGATGAGAAGGAGTTCATCCCCGGGCAGCCCCAGGAGGCGTTCAAGAGCAGCGGCGGACGCGTGGAAGTGTGGAGCCCCGACTTCAAGCAGTTTCAGGTACGTTCTCTAAGTCTCCCCTCTTGCCCGAGACGTCCCGCTTCTGCCCTTACCGTAAAACCTACTATTCTGCACTTTCCTTTCTGCTCTTCTGTACTGCAAACCTCCTGTGCTCGTTCTTATCCTCGGTTTCTCTTTTACGCTGTACCCGTTCATTTCGGTCCTTGACAGGATGCGGACATCGGCGCTGGCATCGTCACCATCGAGAGCCAGTCCCTGGCGCTGCCCCACTACGCCGACTCCGCCATGGTACGCTTCCTCCACCGCCTCTTGCCATTCCCCCTATTCCCTTCTCATCCCCCCTGCTCTCCTCCTGCTTTTTTCGTCTGGTGCTGCACGCGCCTCTGAGAACAACCCTCCGCCTTCCCCCACTTTCTTCTCCTTACCTGACGATGCACCGCAGATCAACTACGTGATTGAGGGAGAGGCATGCGTCGGTCTCATCACGCCGCTCGGCATGCCCACCAACATGCGCCGCCTGCGCAAGGGCGACGCGTACATCCACCCGCGCGGGTGGGCGCACTGGGCGTGGAACAACGGCAACCAGCCGTTCCGCGCGGTCGCTATGGCGGATACCTCCAAGGGCCCCCAGCGCGGCCAGTACACTTCGTTCCACCTCATCGGCGCGCAGAAGGAGCAGAGCGGCGGCATCCTGCACGGCTTCAGGTGCGTCACGGAACCTGCGGGGAGGGTTTTCCGCTTTGCCCTTTTTGTGTTCTCTACAGATCGCCCTTTATCGCCCTTTATCGCCCTTTATCGCCCTTTATCTTCGAATAGCGCTGCCAAGCCCGCACCCCTTGTCGTCTGCTTCCCCCTACACCGTCCGCTTTCCCCCTTCCCATGCAGCTCCGACCTGCTCGCGCGCGCGTGGAACGTGGAGGAGAACGACGTGAAGCAGCTGCTGCAGGAGCAGAAGGAGACCGCCTTCGTGAAGGTGCAGCAGAGGAGCCAGGTCGACGCGCTTAACGCCGCAATCGACGCTCTCAACGCGCGCTCCGGCGCGGAGAACATCTTCGGCGATTTCTCGTACAATCTCATCGAGAATGACGCGGATATTCAGCGCGAGGGCGCGGGCCGCGTGACCTGGGCGAGTGGCTGGAAGCTTCCGATGTTCCGCAAGGTTGGGTTCTCGGCTGCGCGGTTCGAGCTTGAGCAGAACGCGCTCGCGGCGCCGCATTGGCTGGCGAACAGCGCGGCGCTGATCTACGTGCTGAACGGGCAGGGGCGGTTCGAGATGACCCACTCCGACGGGCGCACGGCGGTGCGACGCGACGTGAAGCAGGGCGAGCTGATCGTGATCCCGCCCGGCCTCCCGCACGCCACGGTAACTAGGGGTTCCTTATTATTGCCACGCTCCTTACCCTCTTTCCCTGTTATTCCGCCCCCTTCCTTCCTCACCTTTCGCGCAATCCCGTAACAATATACGATCGTTTCCCCCATACTTTTTCCCGCAATCCCCTCGTGTTTTCTCCTCTCAGCTTGCCTCCGGCAACGGCATCGAGTACATCGCGCTCATCACCAAGTCGCGCCCGCAGGTCGGCTTCCTCGCGGGGGCCAACTCCGTCTACCGCTTCCTGCCGCGCGCCATCCAGCAGGCCGCTTTTAACGCGGACGAGAAGCTGATTGAGAAGCTGCGCAGCACCCGCCAGCACGAGTACGTCATCCTGCCGCCCAAGGGCCAGAAGCCCAAGCCCCGGGCGTTCACCGAGGAGGATGAGGACGTGGATGTCGATTTCAGCATCATCGACACTCCCTATGGCTTCTAAGCACAAGTCGGAGCGATTTTTGCAGTCACTGTCACTCTCTTTGAGGCGAGGCAGAAGGGGTGTGGCCTGAACGTCAGAACTCGTTCTGATAGCTTCAAGGTTTTTGGTAGTAGCTAGAGTGGGCTGAAGAATTTAGGGTGGGCTGGGTTGTAATGCTTCGGAATTCCTTGTACAGTCTTGCGTGAGTGCAAGAGTTTTACAGTTGAATGTGAGCATTTCGGAAACAACGTATCATACTACTTGCATTGGCGATGTAAAAGCGGACTCCACACTATGGGTTGGCAAAAACACTTCCACGTTTCAGAACGTAATATCTCTCTAGGTACAGCTGCAGTAGGTACCTGAAATCGCAAATTAACCTTTGCCAGATCTTGTGCAATCGCAAGATAAAGATCGCACGCTTTTTTACAAGTCAAAACTCTCGCTTTTACCTCGTCCGTAGGATTAATCGAATCGTAGTAATCGACGGATATGCAAGCTTTTGCTTCTCGTGCCAGATCGCCTCCTCCCATCAGCAGTCAGCGAGGGTCAGAGCAAGTCGCTGCATGACGAATGGCTTGATAGGTTGCTGACATGGCAGGATGTCACGCCTTCACATTCGACATGCTTCAGCAGGCCAGGAGATGCCTCGACACGCCTCAGCACGCCCCGACGCGCCTCGACGCGTCTCGCGTCTTGACACGCTTCGACGCGCCCTCGACATGCATGCAGGCCGGTGCTCATGCAAACCCCGGCGAAAGGATGCAGTCGATTTCTCCGACTCAAGATCTCGCGTCGCCATTCCGTTTCTGGCATCTCGCGTCGCCACGCATGTTGCTGCTGCTGATTCCTGCAACCGCCCTCTCCTCCTCCCTCCCTCTTTCTCCTCCTCTCCTCCCTCACGCTTTCCCTTCACCCTCAAATTCAACACTCCCACCCCGCTCGCTGCTGCTCATTCCGTCGGTCCTTTTTCTCGTTTCGCTCCGGCGGTGCTTCTGCTTCGCTCTTATCGCGTTCATTGACATATCTCAGCGGCGTTTGCTCCTCACTCACGTGGTTCGTTCCCGAGTGAGACGAAAATCAAGCTGGTAATCATCGTACCTTGATATCCTTCGGCGACTGCTAATCAGCACCCATGGCGTTGCCTCGTCTCTCCCAGTCCCCAACGCTGCTCCTACTCCCTACCTCCTCCCTCCTCCTCTCCCTCTTCTGTCTCCTCCTCCTCCTCTCTCCACTACCCTCCCCTTCTCCCATGCTTGCCGCACATGCCATGACACCTGCTGCCGAACCTGAGCCTACCACTGCACCTGCTGCCGAACCTGAGCCTCGGGGTTGGCTTTCCGTTGGTGCTGCAGCTCAACTCCACCAAGGCTGGCGCTGGCTGGGCGTTGGACCTCTGATGTCAAGCCTGAGAACGAGGCTCGGAAAAGGTCTCGGAAGGAACGCTGAGGAGGTCGGGGGAGGTGAGGACAAGGCGAGGGAGTTTCTTGCAGGAAGGCCGCAGGTGGAGGTGGCAACCGGTGGAGGGCGGATTGAAGTGTGGGGAGCTGGGCTGAAACGACTGGAGGTGAGTTACCCCCTTCCTGCGGTGTGGTGTTGTTCTCATAATATGCCTCCCCCGCTGCTGTCAACCAGCCACAACCGCTGCACGTCACATGGTAGGATGCGGACGTGAGTGCAGCAGTGATGACAATCGAGCCACAGTCCATGGCTCTGCCCATGTACTCCAATGATGAGGAGGTGTGATTGTGACATGTGACGTTATCATGACCCCCCTGCTTCAAACCACAAACTCTGCCCTGCTTCTAATCAACCGCTGCCCATGGCTGGATACGGATGTCAGTGCGGCAGTGATGACAATAGAGCCACAGTCCATGGCTCTGCCCATGTACTCCAACGATGAAGAGGTGTGATTGCGACATGCTATGTAATCTTTACCCCCCCCCTTGCTTTCGACCATAACCACTGCCCATGGCAGGACGCGGATGTCAGTGCAGCGGTGATGACAATAGAGCCCGAGTCCATGGCCCTGCCCATGTACTCCAACGATGAAGAGGTGAGTCATGTCATTTCAAGTTTAATCGATGTGCATACCCATTACATGCCCATTACATGCCCATTACATGCCCATTACATGCCCATTACATGCCCATTACATGCCCATTACATGCCCATTACATGCCCATTACATGCCCATTACATGCCCATTACATGCCCATTACATGCCCATTACATGCCCATTACATGCCCATTACATGCCCATTACATGCCCATTACATGCCCATTACATGCCCATTACATGCCCATTACATGCCCATTACATGCCCATTACATTACCATACATACCCATTACATGCCATGACATGCCCACTTCAACCCCACCACTGCATGTCCCACTTGCACATCTCGTTAAGAGATGACTTTTCAGTCGACTCAGAAACCTGCATGTCCCACTTGCACACCTGTGTACCCCTTGTATTACTGGAAACTTGCGGCTGCGGTGCGCAGGTGTCCTATGTGGTGGAGGGGGGGAACACGTGGCGAGGTGTTTCTTTTGTCTAACTCAAAACCCACTAAGTGTGCTGCTGTGGTGCGCAGGTGTCCTATGTGGTGGAGGGCGAAGCTCGGGCAGGGCTTATCAGCCCGGAGGGTATTCGAACCAACGTGAGGTGCGTGAGATGCGATGGGATGCGATGCGGTGCGTTGTGGTGTGATGTGATACGATGCGCTGTGATGCTGTATGACATCATGTTGGTGTTAAACCACTCATCACAATATGACACTTTTTCTTCTGTACCCTTTACAGGAGGCTGCGCAAAGGTGACGCGTTTGCGTTCCCGCGAGGCTGGGGCAGGTGGATCTGGAACGATGGGAAGGAGCCTCTGCAAATCATATCCATTGCTGGTATGCTGACGTGTCAATGCGGGTATGCTGACGTGTCAATGCTGAGTCGACTCGAAAAGCAGGTGGATCTGGAACGATGGCAAGGAGCCTCTGCAAATCATATCCATTGCTGGTACGCTGATGTGTCAATGCTGGTATGCTGACGTGTCAGTGTTGAGTCGACTCGAAAAGCAGGTGGATCTGGAACGATGGCAAAGAGCCACTGCAAATCATATCCATTGCTGGTATGCTGACGTGTACTATTTGGTGTGCTGACGTGTTGTTGCTTTGCTGGTATGCTGACCTGTCTTTGTTGGAATGATGACTTGACTGTGGGTCGTATATCAACCATACCTTCCAATCCAACCCCCCAACACCAGATACGTCCAAGGAGGCCCACCGTGGGCGGTACATGGCGTTCAAGGAAGTCAGCTGTCTTGCACCAAACTTCCACTCTCCTCCTCATCTCCACCACCACCAATTATATTCCCCACCAACCCCCCCACACCAGATACGTCCAAGGAGGCCCACCGTGGGCGGTACACCGCGTTCAGCCTGGTGGGAGCTCAGAAGGGGAAGTTTGGCGGCATTCTCCATGGCTTCAGGTACGCTCAGGTGAATTTCAGGTGCGCTCAGGTGAATTTCAGGTGCGCTCAGGTGAGTCATAAATGAGCACCTTGATATTCTTCTCAACATGCGTATCTCTGGTAACATGGGTGGATGGGACATGGAGGAAGAAGGTGTGGAACGACTGCTGCATTCCTTCCACTGCTCATTCTTTCAACAAGCTGTGGAGTCGTCTCCAAACTATTCCCGAGGTGGCTCGAAATAGCCTCCGGGCGCTGGCGAGAGCCTGAGACATGGAGGAAGAAGGCGTGGAAGAACTGCTGCATTCCTTCCACTGCCCATTCTGTCAACAAGCTGTCGAGTCGTCTCCAAACTATTCCCGAGGTGGCTCAAAATAGCCTCCGGGCGCTGGCGAGGGCCTGAGACATGGAGGAAGAAGGCGTGGAAGAACTGCTGCTTTCCTTCCACTGCCCATTCTGTCAACAAACCGTTGAGTCGTTTCCAAACTGCCTCTTCTCACCGCCTCCTGTTTACCAGTTTCTTCTGCCTCTCTGCCTTTGTTCCCCAACGCCACCGAGTGCTGGCAAGGGCATGCGGTCGAGTGCTGGCTAGAGCATGGGGCGTGCAGAACGGGGACGTGCGGTGAGACTGGATAAAACTGAGGGAAGAGATGCAGAATAACGGCTACTTTCCTTCTGTTTTATTTTCTGCTGCCTCTCTGCCTTCGTTCCCCATCACACAGCCTCCGAGTGCTGGCGAGGCCATGAAGCATGGAGGAAACAGACGTGGAGAATGTGCTGCTTCCCTTCCTCTGCTCATCCCGCCTCGTGTTCACTTTTCTTCCTCTCCTCGTTCGTTCCCCATCACACAGCCACCGAGTGCTGGCGAGGCCATGAAGCATGGAGGAAGGGGGTGTGGCGCGGCTGCGGCTTCCCTTCCTCTTTCACCCTGCCTCCGGTTTACCATTTTCCTCTGCCTTTTTGCCTTCGTTCCCCATCACACAGCCAGCGAGTGCTGGCGAGGCCATGGAGCATGGAGGAAGGGGACGTGGCACAGCTGCTGCTTCCCTTCCTCTTTCACCCCTCCTCCTGTTCACCGTTCTCTTCCTCTCCTCGTTTGTTCCCCATCACACAGCCAGCGAGTGCTGGCGAGGCCATGGAGCATGGAGGAAGGGGGTGTGGCACAGCTGCTGCTTTCATTCCTCTGCTCACCCTGCCTCCGGGTTACCATTTTCCTCTGCCATTTTGCCTGCGTTCCCCATCATACAGCCACCGAGTGCTGGCGAGGGCCTGGAACGTGGAGGAAACAGACGTGGAGAATCTGCTGCTTCCCTTCCTCTGCTCACCCCACCTCCTGTTCACCGTTCTCTTCCTCTCCTCGTTCGTTCCCCATCACACAGCCATCGAGTGCTGGCGAGGGCCTGGAACGTGGAGGAAGCAGACGTGGCGCTGCTGCTGCTTCCTTTCTCTGCTCCTTCTCATTCTCCCTCCCGGTTGCTCTTCCCTTTTGCCTCCCCACCGCACAGCCACCGAGTGCTGGCGAGAGCCTGGAACGTGGAGGAAGCAGACGTGGAGAGGCTGCTGCAGGGGCAGAAGAATGTAGCCATTGCGAAGGTGGACCCAAGGAAGGTTGCATCTGCTGATCCTGATGCTGCTGCTGATTTTGTTGCTTCTGCCGCTGATAACTCGGAAGGCACTGTAGCGTTTGGGGACTTTGCGTACAACCTTATAGAGGAGCAGGCTACTATTGAGACACCTGAGGCCGGCACGTTGACCACTGCGGATGGATACAAGCTTCCGGTGTTTCGCCATCTGGGTGTTTCTGCTGCTCGCATTGACCTGCTGGTGAGTAAAGGAAGGAGGGAAGGGGAAAGGGTGGGGGAGACGGGGAATGAGAGGGAGGAAAGGGAGCAAAGAGGGAGCAGGCTAGTATCGAGACGACTGGGGGCGGCACGTTGACCACGGCGGATGGATACAAGCTGTCGGTGTTTCGCCATCTGGGTGTTTCTGCTGCTCGCATTGACCTGCTGGTGAGTAAGGTGGAGGGAAGGGAGTGGAGTGCGAGTGTGAGCAGGCTAGTATCAAGGCGCCTGGGGCCGGCACGTTGACCACTGCGGATGGATACAAGCTTCCGGTGTTTTGTCACCTGGATGTTGCTGCTGCTCGCATTGACCTTCTGGTGAGTAAAGGTGGAGGGACGGGAGTGGAGTGTGAGGGTAAGCAGGCTAGTATCGAGACGCCAGTGGGAGGCACTCTGGCCACGGCGGATGGTTTCAAGCTGCCTGTGTTTTGTCACCTGGGCGTTGCTGCTGCCTGGATCGACCTGCTGGTGAGTGAAGGGGAAGAGATGGAGCGGAGAGGAGAGGGGGGAACAAGGGGAAAGGGAGGGAGGAGTTAGGAATGCTGAAAGAGAGAGTGAGCAGGCTAGTATCAAGGCTCCTGGGGCTGGCACGTTGACCACTGCGGATGGATACAAGCTTCCGGTGTTTCTGTCACCTGGGTGTTTCTGCTGCTCGCATTGACCTGCTGGTGAGTTAAGGTGGAGGAAAGGGAGAGGAGAGCGGGTAAGAAGGGGAAAGGGAGGGAGGAGATAAGACTGATGAAGCAGTGAGGGAGAACAGGCTATTATCGAGACACCTGGGGGCGGCAGGTTGACTACTGCGGATGGATACAAGCTTCCGGTGTTTCGTCACCTGGGTGTTGCTGCTGCTCGCATTGACCTGCTGGTGAGTTAAGGTGGAGGAAAGGGAGTGGAGTGTGAGTGTGAGCAGGCTAGTATCAAGGCTCCTGGGGGCGGCAGGCTGACTACTGCAGATGGATTCAAGCTGCCGGTGTTTCGGCATCTGGGTGTTTCTGCTGCTCGCATTGACCTGCTGGTGAGTTAAGTGGGGGGGGGAGGGAGAGGAGAGAATGTGAGATTGGGAGCAGGCTACTATCGAGATGCCTGGGGGTGGTACGTTGACCACTGCGGATGGGTTCAAGCTGCCGGTGTTTCGTCACCTGGGTGTTTCTGCTGCTCGCATCAACTTGATGGTGGGTAAGGGATGGTGGAGGTGTTATCAGGCTAGTATTGAGATGCTAGGGAGGAGGGCATGCTGACCACTGCGGATGGATTTAAGCTTCTGGTGTTCCGTCACCTGGGTGTTTCTGCTGCTCGCATTGACCTGCTGGTGAGTGAAGGAAGGAGGGAAGGGGAAAGGGTGGGGGAGAGGGGGAATGAGAGGGAGGAAAGGGAGCAAAGAGGGAGCAGGCTAGTATCGCGACGATTGGGGGCGGCACGTATACCACTGCAGATGGATACACGCTGCCGGTGTTTCGTCACCTGGGTGTTTCTGCTGCTCGCGTCGACCTGCTGGTGAGTAACGAACGGAGGGAAGGGGGGAAAGTGGGGAAAGGGGGAATGAAAGGGAGGAAAGGGAGAGGAGAGAGAGCAGGCTAGTATCGAGACGCCTGGGGGCGGCACGTATACCACTCCAGATGGATATAAGCTGCCGGTGTTTTGCCATCTGGGTGTTGCTGCTGCGCGCATTAATCTGATGGTGAGTGAAGGGGAGAGGGAAGGGAGAGGAGAGAATGTGAGATTGTGAGCAGGCTAGCATCGAGACGGCTGGTAGCGGCACGTATACCACTGCAGATGGATACACGCTGCCGGTGTTTCGCCATCTGGGTGTTGCTGCTGCTCGCATTAATCTGATGGGGAGTGAAGGGGAGAGGGGGAAAGTGAGATAGAGAGAAGTTTGCTATGTAAAGTGAGCAGTTTAGGTATGTGATGCAACTTCCCTCTGTTTTTCCCGTTATTGTTTTATATGAATCTCGTTCACATGTTCCCTCCCTCCCTCCCTCCCTCCCTCCCTCCCTCCCTGCCACAGCCCAATGCCATGGCAGCGCCTCATTGGCTGTCCAACTCAGCAGCCATTCACTTTATGACACGTGGCAGTGGGCGGTTTGAGATAGCCTATCCGGACGGCAGGAAGGCGCTGAGGAAGCGTGTGAATGCTGGAGATATGGTGGTGGTGCCGGCTGCGTTCGCTCATGCTGTTGTGAGTGACTTCACAGCATGGTAACATGGTAACATGGTAACATACTAACTATAATGGTGTCACAGTCACGGCAACGCAGCATGGAGATGTGGTGTTGGTGCTGGCTGATGTGGTTGTGGTGCCAGCTGGCATCGCCCATGCTGTTGTGAGTGATTACACAGCATGGTAACATGGTAACATGGTGACATGGTAACATACTAACTATAATGGTGTCACAGTCACGGCAACGCAGCAGTGGAGATGTGGTGTTAGTACCGGCTGATGTGGTTGTGGTGCCAGCTGGCATCGCCCATGCTGTTGTGAGTGGTGCGGTGACGCGGTAACATGGTAACTCATATTGAATCACTGTAACACAGCAGTGGTGTTCTTGTGATGCCGACTAGTCTCGCTTATGCTGTTGTGAGTTTCACAATAACATGATAACATACCGTAGTAACAGTCTTGTATCACACTAGCAAAACAGCGGAGATGTGATGGTTGTATCATTTCTTGTCTTCACCCTCCATTCGCCCTCTCCACCCCCCCTCCCGCTGCCCTCTCCCCCTCTCTCTCTGAACAGGAGGCGTCAGGAGAGGGATTAGAGTACGTTGCTCTTTCCCCCAAGTCCAAGCCCAAGCCTGGCTTTTTAGCCGGCGCAAACTCGGTCTACAGTGCGATGCCTACCGCTGTACTGAAGGCTGCTTTTAACGTGGATGAAGCACTGGTGGAGAAATTGCAAGACTCTAGGGAGGGAGAGTATGTGATCCTCTCCCCTGCGAAGGAAAGGAAGGAGGAAGGAGGGCTCTAGGGAAGGAGAGTATCTGGTCCTCTCCCCTGCGAAGGAAGGGAAGGAGGAAGGAAGGCTCTAGGGAAGGAGAGTATGTGATCCTCTCCCCTGCGAAGGAAAGGAAGGAGGAAGGAGGGCTCTAGGGAAGGAGAGTATCTGATCCTCTCCCCTGCGAAGGAAGGGAAGGAGGAAGGAAGGCTCTAGGGAAGGAGAGTATGTGATTCCCTCCCCTAGAAAAGCAAGAGAGGAGAGTGGGCCTTAGTTGGCTCAAAAGTGCAGTGTCTAGGGTTCTGAGAGCATGCTATGAACTGGGAAGGGGAGTGAAGGTGGTGGTTGTGGTTGGCAGTTGAGGGCTTAGATGTGAGGGAGTGTTGAGGCAGGAGAAAGCGATGGTGAGCCGTAAAAGGCAGGCATTAACGGCAGAAAGTAATTGAGGAGGTGGGGAGGCTTTGGTGGGGTGGAAAATGCACGATGCAAAAGGTTTGACTACTCTTGGTAGGTTTAGTGGGAGATGCTCCAGGAGGTCGGGCCTAGAATGTATAGATCGGAGGGGAAGGGAACGGGGTGGCAGTGCAATGTACCCTCTTTAAAGAGACATTGTACCGTACTGTATATGTTACACGCGCTCAATGTGGAAAAAGACGAATGCCGCCTTGGGTACATGTCGACTCTGCACACGAAATCTTGCTTGACGAGGAGAATGATTGTCACCCTAGTTGGGAGGGGATGTGTTACACAATGCCATCAAATAGATGACCTGCTGTTAAAACCTGGTGTATAATGAGTTGTGTTACACGAGATTGCTACTGCAATTGCACTTTCAAACCCATAACCCATATTCGCCCAGATATATGACCCGAGACACTTTCTCGGGTTGTACCGTAACTTGTATTTGTTTCTTAAAATGTGATCCACCTCTTCGAAAATATTGATGTGCAGTGTGCTTGTAACATGGTGGATAGCGCGCTCCTGTGTGGTCGAAAATTATTCTGGTATACTCTGAGATCCACTTGGGTTTTTACAAATGGATTGTACAGAATTATGATAGCGCGAAACTGGGTGTACGTCTATGGGGGACCCGTTATATTCAATTTCGATCCTGCCCTAAACTACAATCAGTGGCCCGTTGTGTACAATTATCGGCGTGACTTCCAGAACGACGCGAGAGAAGCTCACCCCTAGGGCAGTGTACAACACAACCTTTCCGAATCGGCTGAGCATTGCAGGAGCCAATCCCAATCGCCGACAAGAACCTGCCGCCAATCTCAACGCTGCCTGCACGAACAAGAAACGATGGCGCTTGTTCGGTTCGGGAGAGATTGAAGCCCTGTCCCACTTCCAACATTTTTCCCGCCTGCCCTGCTTGTTGGTTCGGATCGCGTCGACCTGCCTCGTCGATTTTCCAAGCTGATTCGTGTCGTACCATCAGCATTGCCCAGCCTCTACATCAAAGCCAAGCTTGCCATCAAAGCCACAAAGCTCATTCCTTCCGTATCTTACGATTGCCGCTCGCGTTCGTTTCATCTCGTCTCCATTTTCTTTCTCTTCGGAGAAGCTTTCTCGTCTGTGCAAACATTGCGAAATGGCGGACGGTCCCGCGACTAGACAATGGACCACTGGCTGCTGTGGCTTCTGCGACGACATAAGCTCATGTAATGTTTACAGCCTAATTAGTACATGTAGTGGTGCTTGTGTTCCGAGCATGTAAACATTGTTTGACTTGGAACAAGCTTGGTCGGTTGCCCCTAATCTCACACGGGTAACGCACACGTGTGATGACGTTATTGCCTCTGTGACATAACTGATGAAACCTCACGTTCCCCTCGCTATCCCCAATGCAGGCTGCTGCGTTCTGTGGTGTCCCTGTGTCGCCATTGGCCGAATCGCTGAGATTGTTGACCAGGGAGAGACTGGTACGTTGGCAACGGTGGTCCAATGTCGAATATGTTAACAGTGAGTACAGCCGCGTCGCATGTTTGACAAGGCTTTTCTTGAATGTACACCCGCTAATGTCTCAAGCTTCTCTAAAGGCTGCGGGGAAACGACCCGTAGGTGACGGCTCTGCTCAGTCTTGTTTTGAGGCGCCTCAAAACAAGTGTCGTAGGCTTCTCTGAAGGCTGCAGAAACGACCCGTAGATGACGACACTGCTCAGCGTGCGACGCTTCGCTGTCCCAGTCATACAAATGTTATAACGGTTTTTGTTTCTTCGTTTGTTTGTTTTGTTTGTTCTCTTTTTACTTGCTTTGTTTCTTTGGAAATGACGTCCGAAATTTATTGCGTTCGAACATTTGTGAATCGTTTTGTTTTCGGCGTTTTTCCTTGTGCGATACAACAGGTGCCTGCCAGGGGTGTTGCTGCTGGTACTGGATCCAAGCTTTCACTATCAGTACCCTCGGGTGCCTTTATTCCAAGGGTATGCTCTCTCTCGCTCTCTCGCTCTCTCGCTCTCGCTCTCTCGCTCTCTCGCTCTCGCTCTCGCTCTCTCTCGCTGAACATTTTACTCTCGCCCTCTCTCGCTCACCAATTTACTTCGCCCTATCTTTCTTCCTCGCTCGCTCTCTTGCTCTTTCGCTCTCTTTCCTTAGCCCTCCAGACTGCGACCATTTTCTTGCCTCTCACACCTTTCCGTGTTTCCATTTTCTCCACTTCCCTGACCCCCTCCCCGCTTGACCTTATCTTGCACTTTCCCAGGTTTCCGTACGAAGTTGCGAAGGAGGTACGGCCTTCCAGCAGCACCGTGCGGTGACTGCTTGATGCACTGGTGCTGCCCCTGCTGCGCCGTCTCCCAGGAGTACCGCGAGCTGAAGAACCGTGGCTGGGACCCATCTCTGGGTAAGTTGCCTCTCAGTTACCCCCTTTTTCTCTATCTGGTAAGAAGAAGGGCCTGTAACGACTGCACAATGCACGCCGTCTCCCAGGAGTACCGCGAGCTGAAGAACCGTGGCTGGGACCCATCTCTGGGTAAGTTGCCTCTCAGTTACCCCCTTTTTCTCTATCTGGTAAGAAGAAGGGCCTGTAACGACTGCACAATGCACGCCGTTTCCCAGGAGTACCGCGAGCTGAAGAACCGTGGCTGGGACCAATCTCTGGGTAAGTTGCCTTTCAGTTACCCCCTTGCTCTCTATCTGGTAAGAAGAAGGGCCTGTAACGACTGCACAATGCACGCCGTCTCCCAGGAGTACCGTGAGATGAAGAACCGCGGCTGGGACCCATCACTTGGTGAGTCCCGTTACGTTCCCTCACAAGAGGCATTTGTCTCTGGACTCTCTAAGGAAAATGTCGTGCAGTGACTACTTGATGCACCGGTGCTGCGCCTGCTGCACCGTCTCCCAGGAGTACCGCGAGCAGTTAAGACTGTGGATGTATCCATTGTAGAGTGTATTCATCCTCCAAAACAAAAAGAGGTGTACCGCGAGCTGAAGAACCGCGGCCGGGATCCATCGCTGGGTAAGTTGCCTTACAATAACCCCCTCTCTTTATCGGGTAAGAAAAAGGGCCTGTAATGACTGTGCAATGCATGACGTCTCCCAGGAGTATCATGAGCTGAAGAACCGCGGTTGGGACACGTTGCTGGGTAAGTTCCTTTACAGTAACCACTTTTCCCTATTTAGTAAGATTGCATGCCTTTCATTTTAGGCTTTCTTGATTCTAGTGGAGAAATGTATCCTTTCCTCAATTCCAATCCACATAGACTGCTAGAAAGGCGACCTTGCCAGCAGCCCTCCTCACCAACCAACTGACTGATAGAGATTGATTTCTCACGTCCCTGTGCGCGGGTATTGGCGTTTTATGATTCTGCAGGTTACCAGGAAAACAAGAACAAGAATCCGCCTCCCCAGCAGTTTATGAGCTAATTTTCAATAAGGCTGCCAGTGTTGCATAGCACTCTTCATGGTCACCGATCTTTTAATCTGTTTATAGATTATTACCTTGTACCAGTTTATGCTATCAAGATGCATTGTAATTTGTCACTGCCTACCCATATTGTAGCTTTGTGAGCATATCTCGTACCTTGATCCCCAACACCCACGGGTTGCACAAGCGGACTTGTTTGCTTTAGTTTAGAGCATCCCCCTTTGCCCAAAATCATTATAGGACCCCCCATCCTACCGACTTGGGTCCCAAATTTCGGTGCCCAATCCCAACGTGCGAGATTTCTGCCTAGCCAGGACCTCTTGCTATATTATGTATGGGTCCTCGCTTGCATAAGCGTACTTTGAGTCACTCTTTTTCCAACTCATACTATGGAGTCTAGACTTATTGTTTGGATGTTTTTGTGCGTCTATGAAAATGGGGCCCAGGTTCGAAAAAAGACGGCAACTGGCCAAAGCTGTTGCGAATTTACAGACGCGTCGCGATCGCGCGAAACCGATAACTCGACCTAGGTACCGTACTGTATTCGGGTTTTCCACGAACCAGAACCTGTCCTTTTTATCCCGACAAACCCACCAGCTTCCCACCTGTGGGACACCAGTGGGTACACCTGCGTTCCTTGCCTGACCTCCGGGCCACGAACTTGCTCCAGGAGAGTTTGCTGGGTGAATCAGGCAAGAGTTCTGATCCTAGACATGAGATCAGGTCAGGTGCGGAGGAGTCAGCAACAGGCATGAGTGAACCAGCTTTCCTCTGGTTCGTTAGTGCAAACCAGGCCTGCCTAGCTGGTTATAGGTCGGGGGTGCCGAAGGAAAACCCAACCACTGGATTCGTGGCATCGACTCCACCTCACGTGCAGCGTCGGGCTTCGGCGGAAATGTGTGCGGTGCGGAAGTCGGCGAACCGAAGCTATTGGTTGGGGCCAGCCGCCCACTTGTGACACTTTCCTACGATTTCCTCTCTAACCAGAACTTACACCACCCACCACCGATTCATAGGCAAGCGAATCCCAACAAAATCCTCTGAACCACAAATAGTTCAGTCTGCCTAGAAATTGTTTAGGAGAGCACCACCACACTCCATTCCTTCCCACGGGAACTCACACCCTCGACTGGTTTACATACCCTTGGGATTGTTTTTCCAGTCAGCTAAACCTGAGTAGTTGCACCTCAATCCTTCTGTTGCTGTCCTTGGCCTTCACATTGGCCAAGAGAAGACTCGTCGCACTTGGTCCTTTTTTGTACCGTCTACACCTGGTCAGGGGCCTCGTCTCCAGACTACCAAATCTTCTTCGAGCAGAGTCAGAATGGCGGACGGGAACTACCCCCCTACAGGACAATGGAGCACTGGCTGGTGCGCCTGCTTCGACGACTGGAGTTCGTGTAAGGGCGTGTAACTTTTTCTGTTTTCGTCAAATGTCCGGACGGAGAGAGCCAAACCGGCCGGACGGAGCTCCGTCCGAACGTTTGGGAATCAGGTCCGGACGACTGTCCGTCCGGACCACAAATGTGATTTTTTTTTGCACTTTCGAAAAATATTTTTCACCACGAAAATGTAACACGCATTACGAGATTCGTGTACCACTAGCAAAATTCGTTACAAGAAAATCGCGGTTCGGTACTGGTTGTGGTTGTCACTTAATTCGCGCGCCAGTGATAGTGCAGCCAAAAAGGACCGTACGAAATGCCGTTCGGACGGAGCAGCGCGGTAGTCCGGACCACTTTTTGGCAGAAAAGTGTCAGCTTTGGTCCGGACGGTCGCGACTTCGCAGGGGGTCTCACGAATTTCTAAACGATGTCTGGCGAACATAGTAACCCTACAAAAGTCCGGACGGGGCCTCCGTCCGGACGATGGAAGGTGAAAACGTTACGCGCCCTAAGCTCGACCAGACACGCTCTTCTCAAACACTATCTAAGATGTGATATGCATTCGTTGCAATATTGGAACACGGTTTCAGAACATCACTGACACAAGAGTTCCGAAAACGGCCTTGACGCAGCCTGGCAAGCATTCTGTGAACGCTGGACCTCTAAATACCTTGTCCGTTCCTGTACAGGCTGTTGCGTTTTCTGGTGTCCGTGTGTCGCCATCGGCCGAATTGCTGAGATTGCGGATGTCGGAGAAGCTGGTAAGCCCTCATTGTCGGCTAATTTCCGGTTTAAATCACAAACGGTTACAGCGGCGCAATGTTTTCGTGTCCGCAAACATTCAGTTCCCTGAACTACATTGTGATCTTTGTTTGCTCGTCGCCTTGTGAAATTGCAGATTCCACGCAGACATGCCTCTTTTGGTACTTGATTGAAGCCTTTTCCCGGTGCGGGTGTCTGTACTCCATGGGTAAGTCAAGTCCGCATTTCAAATATTTTCTGCTTTGCATATTAAAGGGCACGAGAACTGATAACACGCGTCTCCGTGTCTGACCCCGCTTTTTGTTTACCCTTTTCTAATTTCTAACCGCCCCTTCCTCTCAAAACCCGATGTCCATATCCGCATTCCTTTCTTCGTGTGTTTTCAGGATACCGAAAGAAACTGAGGATGAAGTATGGTCTTCCTGCTGATCCCTGTGGCGACATCTGGATGCACTGGTGTTGTACGCTCTGTGCTGTAAGCCAGGAGTATCGCGAGCTCATGAACCGCGGCTGGGACCCAGTCATTGGTGAGTTTTGTGCAAAAGTGAGCTTTGTAGGCGATAAGCACGTGTCAGTGAAACGCTCCTGTTAGTGGTGTGCTGCGAAGCCACAAATCAATGGCGGGGATCCTTCTGATGGTGAGTTGCCAACGCTACTAAGTATTCAGTCAGTAGTGATTATCAACATACACCATAGCCCAGGATTAACTCTAATGAGCGCATGAAAGCTTAAGTTACAACGCCAATGCTTGCTGCTGACATCTTTTGTCATTATGCTTTTCCAAATGCAGGTTACTCGGCAAACAAGAACAAATCCCACCCTCCGCAGCAGTTCATGCAGGGTTAGTAGGAATGGCAAATCCTAAGATCTTAAGGAAGTGGAAAGTTCGGTTTAGTTGTTCTGGGAAAGGGTTTACTTAGCCATATCAAGTTGAATACCGGCAATAAATGTCTAAAACATGCCCCAAGGTTTAGGAAAGTGCATTATGGGAACGTCACAAGGAAATCTTTATGGAACAATGAATGCAATGTAATACCGATATTGTGGCTTTTCAGTACGAGTATCTTCAGTGCTTTGTTGTAGCGAGATGTTTCTTACGCTTTATCTATGTCGCTTGAACGTCCTGCTATTTCTCCGCTATTGCAACAATTATTGCAGAGGGGGTTCACAATTATTGCAGCTTTCAGCCAAGTCGCAATCTGAAGCTAATCGAGCCGCAACATACCTTCGAAACCCGAGCCGAGAGTTCACTTTGCCAAGCCTCACAAAGGTACGTATGTGTAGACATCATCCATTCATTGCCCTCAAGTGTCTCACACGTTTGTGCCATGCCTGTGACCGGAAGCTATTCTCCGAACTTGCCGTCTAAACCTGGGCTTCCATATCAGACAAGAACACAGCCGAGGTACCAACCAAACCAGTACCTGAACCTAATAATTTTCACCAAACCACACGACACGCATCTGCCCATGACACGGCGCGCCGCGGCTTGTCCAATTCCCCTCCAGCAACCAATTTATCCCTCCAGCAGAGTTCTGTATTTATTTCGAGTTCAAGCATCTGGGATTGCTACCATTGAGCAAATTCACTCGCCAAAGTCTACAATTTCGTTCTCCGTTCCGTTTTCTTTGCACGCACCTTCTCGTTCTCGCCCAGTGATTTTCGTTCGGTTCACGCATTTTTCCTCGCTTTTTCTCGAAGCCGCAAGACTTGTCGAATGGCGTACCCTGCAGCGTACCCCGCACCTGCACCACCCATGGCTGCGCCTGTGCAATTCTCGCCAGCCCCAGCCGGCACGTGGACGACGGGATGCTGCGGCTGCTTCGAGGATTGCGAAACTTGTAAGATATTTTCTACGAGCGGAAGAGTAGGAGGAGTAGCCTCAGCGTGACGACTCCCAGCGGGACGATCTTGAAGGCCGAAGCGTGAGGACATCTCGACGCAGCGGCTGCGCGCCTGCTGTTCTACTATTGCGGCATAATCTATATTTCCATAATTTCGTTTCCGTCGCGAATTCGACTTCATTGGTCGTGTTGATGAAATGACCAGCGTTGTGCGTGCCGTGATTTTCTGTCCGCAGGCTGTTGCGCTTACTTTTGCCCCTGTGTGGTCTTCGGCCGAGTCGCCGAGATCGCGACGGACGGTAACGTCGGTAAGTAGGCTTGAGTTGAACGGGAACGTCGTACGCTGGTGGTGAACGGGAACGTGGGTAAGTATGCTCCCAAAGCTGACATGCAATAATCACGCCTTTTTTTAACTAGCTTCTGGCAAAATAGAGCCTACTAAAATGTCTGAACTTGCTAATGGCGCCATCATCGAGAGCTCTCTTCCTCACTCGATTCTCAGTCTTACTATAACAGATATCGCCGTGTCCCTCTTCCCCTGTGATCAGCGATGGAGGAGGCTTGCGCCTTGTGGTATCTCATAGAATGTTGCCTCTGCGCTGGATGCGTGTATTCGTTCGGTGAGTGTTCCAGGCTTGCAACAGTCTGGTCGATGCGTTATGAATCGAGAGCAAGTGACGGCGCCGGTGATAGTTTGTTCTTCTTTTCTCGATTCGTGTGCCATCGAATCTAACGCAAAATCATCGTTTCATTTATGCAATCTCCTATTTTCTCCACCGTCGTGCTTCCTTCAACCTGCTTTGCCTCCATCCGTCTGTCCCAGGCTTCCGAACCAAGCTGAGGGCGAAGTACAACCTGCCTGGCGATTCGGTGAACGACTTTTTCTTGCACTGGTTCTGCCAGTGGTGCGCCTTCTCCCAAGAATACCGCGAGCTGAAGAACCGCGGATGGATTCCTGCGGATGGTGAGTTCATAACTGTCGTCATTTTTTTTTCTCTGCCTTATGTGTCCCTTGTTCACGGTTCAAAACCTTAATCTTGATCTCTTCTTGCACCAACAGGTTACAGAGCTAACATCATGAGGTTTCAAGCAGGAAATGTACCACCTCAGGATCAGTTCATGAGGAAGTAGAGTTTTCCAGGAAGAGGCACTTCCCCAATTTACTTTAGCTGCAAACTGCCATGTAACAACTTTCAATAAGGTGTTTGTATGGAATGAGATGCATCTTTCACTACGTTTCGTAAGTAGCCTTCTGAAGTACAAGAAAAGAATGGACAAGGCCAGTTTGTGAGGTGGTTGTTCCTTGTGGTTGTGTTGAGGTGTGTAGAGTAATTTCTCGAAGTTGAGGTTCAAGCCTCGCGGTGTTCCTTATGCAGCGTATATCACCGTGCGTGAATCTCTTGGTTCCCTCACCCATAGGGTATCGTTGGCCTTATGCCACACGGCGAAATAACGTGCACAGCTCACCGAGCCACAACCACAAGGCGTCACACACACACAAACAACCAACCACAGCAACGCCGAACCAAAAGGACAAAACCAAGACAAGCACCACCACCACTCGCTGGCACACCTCACCACCATACCTCTTTTGATCAGCATTCTAGTCTAGGTTCGGCACATCCCCTCACTTCCCCCCCCCCCCCACACCACACACACACACAGCCTCAATTCGAACGAATAAAATCCCCTTTCGCTATTCTGAGAGTCACTCTAATTGCCTCTCAGACCGCTTGTTCAGCACCCGCGCCGCCCTTCAACTTGTAGTTTTAACTACCATACGCCTTCCCCAACCCACGCTCGCTCGTCATTTGTCACTTTGAAGTTATCTGCATAACTTTCCCAGCATCCCGTGACCCGTTCCGTTTCCGTCAGTCGGAAAGTCCCCCGCTCGTCTCTATATCTGTTTTGTGGCAATTGGCAAACCATGGCTGACACGGTCGGATATCCTGTGCCTGGCCCAGCACCCGCACAGGCACCGGCTCCAACCGCGCCTCCGCCTGTGCAATTAAAGGCGGTGCCGATGGGCTCGTGGACGACGGGGTGGTGCGGCTGCTTTGAGGACATTAACGTTTGTAATAAAAGTTTTTATTCTCTACCCTTGTTTGTTTGTTTGTTTTTGTTTTGCATTGTTCGTTTTGTTCTGTTTGTGTTGTTTGTTTGGTTACTACGTTAGCGTTTTCGGCCGTTAAGGATTCCATCGCGTGCTGTTTTCTTCATTCCTCCCGCAGGTTGCTGCTCTTTCTGGTGTCCCTGCGTCGCTTTCGGTCGAATCGCCGAAATCGTGACCGACGGTAACGTGGGTAAGTGCTTACTGCGCTGACGGTTTTTGTTTTGTTATGATTGTCATTCGTTCTTTGCTTTTGTTCTGCCGCATGCCGCCGCTTTGCCGTTTGCATTTCCGTTTGCCTACCTTTCTCTCACTCTCGCCGTTGTTTCCTTGGATGGCCGCAGATGCGCAGGAGGCGTGTTTGATCTGGTGCTTCGTGGATGCTTGCCTTCTGGCAGCATGCGTATATTCATTCGGTAAGTTCAGCCCACACATTAAGAAGTAGTGTTTTGAGACCTCTCAAAACACTACCGCTTCGTGGATGCTTGCCTTCTGGCAGCACGCATATATTCATTCGGTAAGTTCAGCTGACCCAAGGCGTGCATGATCTGGTGCTTCGTGGATGCTTGCCTTCTGGCAGCATGCTTATATTCATTCGGTAAACTTAGCTTGGCCAGGGAGCGATCGTTTTTCCGCTTTGCCCTCTCGTCCGTGTGTGTCCGGACCTCGGTCCTTTCTTCAGTCCGGTCGTTATTCTAATCGTCTGCCCTTCGTTTCTCCTTCTGCCCAGGTTTCCGAGCGAAGCTGAGGGCCAGGTACAACCTGCCCGGCGATACCGTCAAGGATTTCTTCCTGGACTGGTGCTGCGGGTTCTGCTCCTTCTCTCAGCAGTACCGCGAGCTCCAGAATCGCGGATGGGCTGTCGCAGACGGTGAGTTTGTAACAAATGTACACTTATGTGGCTATAACGGGGCTCGCTGACCCATATCTTTAAACGATTCGGCTATGGTGGTGAGGGCCTTACATGAGCACCTAGGCGAGTTTTTTGTCTCGGCTCACCGTGAGGCCATTTGTGATATTGAAAAGCTCTTGGGGAACCTTCTAAAGGTGTGTACATTGTGAGAAGCGACAGCAGATTCTGATAAGATAATCCCTTTTTAGTGACTTCCAGCCCAGTGTTTATTCCTTGTCTGCTTTGGGTAACCTGTTCTGTAGGTAGTGTTGTCTAGGTTCTTCTGTCAGCTAGATTGAACGCATGCTGACAACTTAATGTTTCCTCTGGCTTTTCTTTGATGACATCAGGTTACAAGTCAAACATTCAGCGGTTTCAAGCCGGGAACAACACGGCACCTGAGAGTCAGTTCATGTCAAAGTAGGATGGGTACTGGCACATGGTGGTCATGGGTACATGCATGCGTCTAATGTGGCTTATGGGGAATGAAGATGCAGGTTGCTGGTTTATTGTCTGAGCTCGTGGTCAATCACAGATAGCATAGTCTTCTGCTAGTTGAGCAAGCATGCTACAATAATTTTGGGATGGAGATTGAATCACATTCTTCGGTCTAGGTCCCCACCAAATGCTTCTAGTTTAGTCCTAATGAACAGATCTTCAATCCTTTTCCTATACCTTCCGACCCGAGGGGTGTACTGTATACTGAGGGTACATTCCGCTGTGGACACATGTCCCAATCGATGTGTCCCAATCGTTTCTACCGCACTGCATCGTATTACACCAAATTGCACCCTAGTTTCGAAAATTTCGCGTCTCTGGTTTAGTTCGGTTCGGAGCGGTACACTCGATTGGGACACATCGATTGGGACATGTGTCCACAGCGGAATGTACACTGAGTTGAATAAATCTATGCCTCCCGCCTGACGGCCCTTATAAATCTCTTCCCTCAGACACTGCTTGCATTGCACTGGTGGAGAAAGGGACTTCTGGTTCTTAGTAGCTCATACAGCACATATCATGGTGGAACGGTGCTAGTAGGCATCTGCAATAGTTCGAAGGCTAACTAGAATACCGAATGTCGTTCATCAAACGACAGCAAATGCAATTGGAAATGGCAATAACACTGCACCGTGATATTGCATTGGAGCATTCTAGTGCCGAAACTGCTCTATGGAGGGGCGTGTTGGGCCAACTCTTTGTAAACAAGTAGGGCGGAGCATGACATTGTATTCTCTCAATCATTATATAGCCGTTGCGCAGTTGAGAATCAAGTGCTGTGCTATTGCGCTTTTTGCTTTTCAGTTGTAGATCTTCACAGGCTTCTCATAGGCGTGCCGGTTCTGCTGGGCAGGAATATAAAAGGACAAGAATTAGTATTGGTAATTACTGGGGAAAGAGAGCACAGACGCCAAGACGACGATTAGAATTAGTTGCAACACAGAATCTGGATGTAGACTCCTGGTTGTAGTAACACAAAGTTGCAGTAACACAAAGTTGTAGTAACACAAAGTTGTAGTAACACAAAGTTGTAGTAACACACACCTGGTTGTGCTGCACCCTCTTGGGGGGGTTGGTGTCTGGATGTTCCAAGCCCAGATAGTACTCCCACGTGTCACGTTTCTATTGGTGGAACAAGGGATGCAACGTAATGGCGGGATCACAGGATGACAAGGAGATGGGATGTGTGTGTGAGTGGGATATTGCTGCTGAATGGATGGATGGGTAGATGGATGATTGGATGGATGGATGGATGGATGGATGGATGGATGGATGGACGGACGGACGGACGGACGGACGGACGGACGGACGGACGGACGGACGGACGGATGGGAAGCTCCACTTGGCAAACTCCTCCTTGCTGACATGCCCCAAACCCCCCCTTGATACTTCAATATTTTTCACCTGGAAGCGAGCAGCAACGACATCGGAGTCCTGGAGATACTCGGGTGTGCCGAGAGCCACAAAGGCGAAGTTCCACTTGCCAAACTCCTCATCCGCTGTGCCCAGCCTTGCTTTGATCCGCTGCTTCACCTCCGCGAGGGTCTCCGCCTCCCCCACCACCAGGAAGAACGGATCTCCAAACGTCTGCAGCTGGTGGGTGGGAGGGTGCAGCGACAGGCAAAAAAGGGGGGTAAATAAGGTGAGAACTTGAAGGTTCACCTCCGCGAGGGTCTCCGCCTCCCCCACCACCAGGAAGAACGGATCTCCAAACGTCTGCAGCTGCAACAGCCGGCATGGGGAGGGGTGGGCAGGGGCAGGCAGGCAGGCAGGCAGGCAGGCAGGCAGGCAGGCAGGCAGGCAGGCAGGCAGGCAGGCAGGCAGGCAGGCAGGCAGGCAGGCAGGCAGGCAGGCAGGCAGGCAGGCAGGCAGGCAGGCAGGCAGGCAGGCAGGCAGGCAGGCAGGCAGAGGGAAGGAGGCGGTGGTGTGGTGGGTAAAGAAGGTTTTAGCCACAAAGGCGAAGCTCCACTTGCCAAACTCCTCGTCCGCCGTGCCCAGCCGCGCCTTGATCCGCTGTTTCACCTCCGCGAGCGTCTCCGCCTCCCCCACCACCAGGAAGAAGGGATCTCCAAACGTCTGCAGCTGGTGGGTGGGAGCAGTGGCAGGCAGGGCAGAGGGTGTGGTAGACAAGAGTAGGTTTTTATGTGCACAAGGGTAGCTTCTGCTTCACCTCCGCCAGGGTCTCCACCTCCCCCACCATCAGGAAGAAGGGATCTCCGAACGTCTGCAGCTTGGGGATGGGATGGTTTTAGGCGCAAAGGAAAGGAGAAGCTCAAAAGCCACATGCGGCACGGCTTCAACAAGCGGATTTGATTCGACTTAATTTGATTCGATTTGTATCGATTCGATTCGATTCGATTCGAGACACATGGGGAGTGATGCAAGTGATACACATGAGCAACTCACCATCTGGTTCTGCCCTCCCGCATCCCGGGTGTAGTGATACACATGGATCACCCGGTCTTGAGGGCCCATGCTCAGCTCCTCCTCTGGAATCTGCAGTGGTCGATGGGTGAAGACAGGCAGGTTCCAAGGGGAGAGATTAAGACAGCCAGGCGAACACATAGATTCAGGGTGAAGTGATACACGTGGATCACCCGGTCTTGAGGGCCCATGCTCATCTCCTCCTCTGGAATCTGCAGTGGTCGATGGGTGAAGACAGGCAGGTTCCAAGGGGAGAGATTAAGACAGCCAGGCGAACACATAGATTCAGGGTGAAGTGATACACGTGGATCACCCGGTCTTGAGGGCCCATGCTCAGCTCCTCCTCTGGAATCTGCGGTGGGTGGGAGATGCAGAGAGACAGTTTTCAAGAGAAAAGATTGACACGAACAGGGGAGCAGAGCTTTTGCTTGAAGTGATACACGTGGATCACACGGTCTTGTCTTGAGGGCCCATGCTCAACTCCTCCTCTGGAATCTGTGGTCGGCGAGGGACAAAAGCAGACAAATAGGAATATTCCTTAAGGTATAAAAAAAAAAAAAAAAAAAAAAAAAAAAAAAAACAACAACAACAACAACAACAACAACACCAACATCTAGTTTTCTGATCAAATATCCTAACTGCAAATACTGTGTGTGTGTGTGTGTGTTTTTTTTTTACTTCTCTCACCTCCTCCGCGCGGATGCTCCAGTACTGGTCGTTGATGGTCTCGATCTGCTCCGTGAGGGGGAAGATCTTGTAGATCTTGTTGTAAAATACTTGCAGCATGCGCAGCTCTGCCTTGGGGTTCGACAGCTCCACCTGATGGAATGGTACAGAGCGGTACAGAGCGGTACAAGAGGGTACAGAGCAGCAAAGAGCGACAAGATTAGTATGGAGTGAGGGGGAAGATCTTGTAGATCTTGTTGCAGAACACTTGCAGCATGCGCAGCTCTGCCTTGGGATTTGACAGCTCCACCTGGAAGTTACAGAGTGGTACAGGGCGATATAGAAAAGTACAGGGCGGTGCAAAGGGGTGTGGAACAGCACAGAGCGACAAGATTGGTATGAAGCGAGGGGGAAGATCTTGTAGATCTTTTTGTAGAACACCTGCAGCATGGGCAGCTCCGCCTTGGGGTTTGACAGCTCCACCTGCAGTGGTGCATAATGGTATTATGGTACAGTGCGGTACCGAACGGTACGTGGGGGTTAAAGGGTAGAAAGGTTGGTATAGAGTGTGAGGGGGAAGATCTTGTAGATCTTGTTGTAAAACACTTGCGTTGCAGCATGCGCAGCTCTGCCTTGGGATTCGACAGCTCCACCTGAAAGAATGGTACACAAAAGGGTAGAGAACGGTACAAAGCAGTATGGAAAGGCACAGAGCGGTGCAGAGCCACACGATCGGTATGACGTGAGGGGGAAGACTTTGTAGATTTTGTTGTAGAAGACTTGCAGCATGCACAGCTCAGCCTTGGGGTGAGACAGCTCCACCTGAAAGCAGCGGCACAGAGCAGTGCATGACGGTACAAAATGGTACAGAGCGGTACAGAGGGTTGCAGAACAGCACAGAGAGACATTGCAAGGGAAATAATTGAGGTTAAGAGCGGTATGGAACGATTCAGAGTGGCATGTTAAGCACGGGGCCACAAATGAGCAGGTCTTGAGCGGTGCTCCAAAGTGCAGCTAGAGATGCATTGCGCTGCTGTGCTGTTACGGAAACATATGAAGCTCTAATGCATCTCCACCGTCCGTTACCTTGGTCCTTAGGTCTGCAAGCACATCTGCCACCGTTGATTGCTTGGGAAGGCGAATGTTGTGCACTGACACCTGCGGCCAGGGCAGCCCAAAGATTCATAGAAGGCGCAAAACATGAGTTACGACATGGGTAGGTAGGAAGGAACAGAGGTGACTTTTGAGTCGACTCATAAGTCACCTAGATTCACAGAAGGCGCAAAACGTGATGTTAAGCGTCTTGAGCCGCTGCAACTCACACCAAGACAGCTACACTGACCGATACTTCCTTTTCCCCAACTCTCTCCCTCCCCATCCTCTACCCTCACCTCCTCCGCCTTGCTGTTGTGGAATGTAATGTTAAGCGTCTTAAGCCGCTGCAGCTCGGGCAGAGGAATATCGAGTGTCTCAAAATAGAGGATGTCTGACGACTGCAAGGCACAGGAGACGAGGGGAGGGGGATAATGGAGGGGGGTACCAAACGGGGGAGTGAGAAGGCAGCGACCATGGTAGTCCCAATCCCAGCTCCGGCAAAGGGATGTCTAGCGTCTCAAAAAAGAGGATGTCTGACGACTGCAAGCAGAGAGGGGGATAGTGAAAGGGGGAATGAGAAGGCAGTAACCATGGTGGTCCCATGCACTGCAGCTCAGGCAGAGGAATATCGAGTGTCTCAAAATAGAGTATGTCTGACGACTGAAAGGCACAGGAGACGGGGAGAGGGGAAAGCAGAAAGGGTGAAAGCACGGATGAGCATGAGCATGAGTACGAGCATGT